CCTATGCATAAGTATTCATCGCAGTATCTGCATTTGAAAGTCGTCTTGCATTGTTTGGCCAACTCTTTGTCTTTAGCGGCAGGATTGGCAAGTACTTATTTTGGTTGATATTTGAACAAATACTGATGGACGAATAAAACATTTTCCACAGAAATTTTATATGATGATATAAACTTCCCTTCACTTCACCATCACTGCATGCGTTACTCGACGTCGGTGCTTCAATCATATCGGGTTAATATCATATCGAAACTCGGCGACCGATGCCCCGCTGAGAACGTCGTCGTAAAAGTTGCGCGTTTTGCCACGCAATACGTTTCGAACGTACGTATCAACATCTTCATGACTTTAGTCACGTGATCGGCTTTTGCGTAGCTGCGTAATCAGTGCGCCATGGCCGGTTATCGAAGTTGTTCACCCGACACAATTGAATATTTAAATATAAAATTGACTATACGGCAGCCACGATAATAATTCGAATATCAACAAAAAGCTTATGAAGAACTCTTTATGAACATCAATTATTGGCAGTATATTTTGTACCAAAATAACAAAATTTGGAGCCATAACTCACTTACATGCAGAAAAATCACTGTTAGATTAGAGTGTCAATTTTGTTGTTTTTGACAAAGTGTATTTCAAAAGGGGAAATACATTCTGAATGCACGATAAAATTTTCTTTCGATTGAAATATCACACAACGTGCTACCTAAATTTGATAAAAAGTTACAAGCGTGCCAAATAGCCAGTATTTAGAATTATTTTATTGTTCTACCAATACGGCGCCGCGAACCTCCAGGGTGAGCGAGTAACTTCGCTCAGAGACGTCAGATAATATAATATTATATCGGTATATTCACAAACTAATGTACCAAATTTTTATTGATCATGCGGAATTATATCTACTTAAACCCTAACCCCAAATCCATCAAAACTTTATTTAAAAGAAAAACGTTCCAACTTACCCAATATTTGTTACCATAAGGGACAGCCCTGTCTTTACGGCCCACCTGCCGTGGTTACGGCAGCAAAATATTACCTGCCATTGGTTTTCAATTTGCCGCCGTGGTAACGGCAGCTCGTCCTTGGTTTGTGGCAGCTAAAAAGTCAGTCGCCATAGGTTTGGCCGTAGCGGCCATGGTATGGAAATATCGCCATGATTTGCGGCAGCTGTAGACGCCACAGAATACTTAAAACTGCACTTGCCTTGCTTAGCAAAAGTTGGAAGTTTTGATCGGGAACGGTACACGGTAGACCGTGGTAACTGATCTGGTAATATAGAAGTGACTCGGATCATTTAGTATTTCATTTCACGTCGAAACTGAATTATGAAGAATGAATCATCGTCACAGGACCTGGAAAGCTAGTGAAGTTTCCCTAGTCAAATTAGTCTCTCTGCCGGTTAGTGTAGAAAATTTCGTGATATTTTTCTATAAAAAGCGAGATTGCTAAGACTATGGACCTTTCCACGACCTTTGATCCCCGAAAAATTCTTCCTATACTTCACCATTGCAAAATTTTCGGGGCTATTTTAAGAGTGCTTTTGCGAGTCGGCGCTTGTAAAATGGGGTATTTGTTTCAAACCATCATTATGATTCATCGCATAAAACAATCTGTTTTTTAAAAGTACCGGTAAAGAATTTTAGCCTATTCTACCACAGCTATTTCTACACTATTTTTTTATTACTGCAAATAAATTAAAACTCCTAAGAAAACAGGATCATCATTGGATTATCTGATTTATATTTAGGTTTCCGAAACACAACTGCTAATTGCAGTAATAAAACGTCGCAACGTATTAAAAGGTATAAATAGCTGTGATAGACTGGGCTAAAATTCTTTGACGGTACTTTTAGAAACGAGATTGTTGTATGCGATGAATCATAAAGAAAATTTGAAACACATACCCGATTTTACAAGCGACAACTCGCGAAACCACTCTTTTTGCAATTCTAAAGTATAGAAAGAATTTTTCGGGGATCAATGGTCGGGAAAAGTCCATTATATCCAGGCATTCCACACCGTCCACGTCCTTATTTTTGGCTTATTTTTAGCTCGCGTCCTTATTTTTGGCTTGCGTATCCTTATTTTGTCTTATTTGGACTTTATAAAGGAAGCTTTGTGTAGTTTGTCTTATCGCCAAAGCTTTATTGTGGCATCATAAAAGCAACGCAATCTTATTTGGAACACAAAGAAGCAAGGCACAGATAGGCATGAAGCATGGTTAGTGTGGCGATCGTTAGGTTTTGTTGTTGTGGTGGTTATTTTAGCCTAAATTTACAAATGAGCAAACGTAAGAACGTTTTTCGTGAGTACGGGAAAGAATTCAAAGTTAAACGAAGCTTGAAGGGTGAGTGCTTCGCACATTGTGATTTGTGACGTCTGTAATTGTGACATTAACCTGGAGCACATAGAAAAGCCAGCTATTTCTGCTCACAATGCGGAAATTTTTCCAGTCGTTTATATTTTGGGTTCCAGATCGATGGAATCCCTGATTTTATTCCAACTGCGCAGTGATTCCCACTAGCGATAGAGTCTGCATCGAACATGTTATTGGAAGTTTTAGCTTGGAGAGCTGAATCTATGTCTGTAAGTTGAGTTGCTCCAATAATTACTTAGTCATAGGTTGGTACCGGTAGAATTGCAATGAATTTAAATTCGGCAAAAGAGGTTCGATGCCGGTACGGTACACTATATTAACTGCGGAACTGTCTGTAAACTCGCTTAATTTTAGTTACGGTACCGTAACTTACCGTATTTTTTGCCCACAACTTTGTAACTTCGGATGAAATTTTCAATCGTTTATATCTCGACTAAATTACGTCATATTGTGCTTCTGACAGTTTCTATAGTGAGTCCTTATATATTTAAATCTGTTATCATATTCAATCGCGCAATTTAATTTATTTATTGATTGAAAAATTATGTTTTACGTGAAAATTGACATTTCGTTTTCGAGTGGCCCAAATCGTGACTTCTACTGATGCTAACTATCTCAAAATACCGTCATTCGATAGATGGCGTTATCAATGTATATAAAAATTAGACTGACCGCGAGATGTCGCAGGAGACTCGAGAAAAAGTTAAAAATTCGAAATAATTCTTTTTTATTAAAATAATAGCATCTGACGCACACGTTGAACTTGACGCCACACTGACGTCGCTCACTTCGAAGACGACGTCATGTTATGTCGTCGTTACAGATTTGAAGCCAGACATTCCGGCGCCGACGAGTTGGCGTACCCTTGAAAATAGCAACGATATTTTGTTTGATTGGATCAATATCGGCTAACATATACATCAACAGTTTTCTGTGGATCTTGAATTCATGGCGTCAAATCTTGGAAATGTAATTTAATTAAATTTAGGAAAAATGGCAATTAACGAAAAGCATTTTCGTTCGATTTGACAATTTAAAATTCCTCCATTTGGAACAGCAGCTGGTTTGAAATAGAAAAATTGGGAGCAGTCGTGAAATACTGCGTAATTATAAAATATAAATCCAGCGATAAATTGTCGCAAATGAGTTCATTTTCATTAATTTGACGAAAGTAATTTAAATCAAAATGGCCTATTGCCAAATCGGTGTTTTGTCGTGATTTATGCGCGACCAACATTTAAATAGGTCAATTTCATAAAGGAACCGTCATATGAATGCTCAATAACATTTATCATTTACGACGTGGAGTTTGGCAAACGGTACCAAAGCATTATCGGCTATAATAAAATCAGCTTTGATCGGTGAATATTCGGATCTAAAGTTACGATAATGAAAAATAAAACGAGACGTTTTAGATTAAAACAACTTGAAAGTGCCGCACCGGAAACTGTACGGACGTCATTATCACCGCCGCTCCCGACGTGGATTGAACATCTGGCATTTAAGTCTTCACGCACACAATGTTCGCTCGAGTTGCGGTGACGCAGAGAGGTGATTCCCCATCCGAAGTTAGATATTTACTGGCATAGTGAAAAATGAAACAATTAAGACATAAAAATTGATTCGATCGACGAGAAAATTAAATGCATGTACAGAGAATAACACCAATGTAATTGTAATATATTGGAAGTTTGACGCGAGTCGGACACCAAATGGCTGAGTAATTGAGAAAAGTATAGTGAAATCATCCGAAGTTACCCAGTTTCACGGTACCGGCACCGGTATGCCGGGTCTAGTATAGTACCGGTACCACAAGATACTTTCAGTGGGCGTGGCATAACGAATTTTGCCTATGTTATTCCTAATCCACACCTGACTACGCCATCCAAATATTACGTTACTACGACGTCACCAACACGTCATAGGGCTTGCCAAATTATAATTACGATCGCCCGAAGTGGCATCTGCGCCGCCGATAACTCGCTGAAGCCGGCGATCTCTCTCCTATCATGATCGTTGTGACGAGAAAACGAGACAAAATCGCTTGCTTGATTTCGGGTGATAGTCTGCGCGTTTTAAACAACTAGCCTTATTACGCCACTGTGACGTCGAAATGACGTAGTCAGGTGGGGGTTAGAAAATTGTTAAGCCAGGTCAACTAGAAGTGCATGTGGTACTAAACTATACCAGTCCCGGTACCTCAGCACTGCATCTACTTATGTGTTGGAATTGTTCAATGTTGTGCCGGTACCGGTACTGTTTATATTTTATTTGTGTACCGGCACCGGTACGTGGTGAGATGAGAAACGCTTCCTAAGTTAGTTTGTTTGTGGCTGTGCGTCTCAAACTGCCGATTCATTTGTTAAACAGTTAGTTACCGGTAGTCTATATGCCGGTACCAATACTGCAATACCAGAATACCGGTACCGGTACTGTAGTTACTGTTACGGTACCGGTAGTCTACGTCAGTGTGATTGTATAGCTCTATTGATCTGTTGATAAGTGAAGGACGATCGTCTATCGTACCAGTAACTTTAGATCTATGACAAAACGATCTGTCAATGTATAGGCTACTCGTATATAGGCCTATGTTGCATTACTGTGTTCTGTGGCACCAAGAGCAATCATCATAAAGATGTGAAAACAAATATTACTTATTCTTCAAATTTAATAAAAATGTGAGTATCATAAGAAATAAATAGTGTATGTTTTTGCAACTAAAAGCAGAGTTTCATTTCATGTGATCCAAGTATTTCCATGTTTTCGTATGAGGCTAAACCAGAACGGCCAAACCAGAAAGTTCTGGTTGCGATAAGATCACACGAAAATGCTTTGTAACCATTGTGACGTAATAAGCTAAAATTATTAATATTACGTCAAACGTCACGCTGTGGTCAACCGGCTATTTTTGCCCCGTTAATGGTTAAAGTGTTTTCCCTGAAATTCCCAGCCCTATTGTTTATAGAAGAGAAGTCCCTTAACCTGGGGCGGACAAAGCTTCCAAGCTGCTTAATTCACAAGGTGTACAAAATGGAACGTTTAATTGGTAAACTGTAGTCTACCGGTACAGTAATTCCAAGTACTGAAAAAACCGATTGCCAATCTCTGAGTCCTGGAGTCTAATTACAATGCAGAATAATGCCCTTCGCTGCATTCACATCTCAAATTATGTTTCAGTCCGTGCATATGCCATTACTGGACTAAGTTTTGAAATGTCAAGATTCCAGTCTTGCCAGCCAATGTCTCCGGAAGCAATTTTTCTGAGCCTATTTTAGAGCAAAAGTGTCAAACTCATATTGTTTTCCATGCATTAAATCTAATTTAAAACATATATAATCACTGGGATTTACTTTGGATTGTACTTTATAAAAAGATGGCATTGTTTTTCCAAGTATTTGTTGAAGCGTTCAACAGACATATTCTCAAAGGACATACAGCGAGAGAGGATATATTAACTGGAGATTTCTACAAGTCTTGTGCAAAGGTATTATCATATTCTCATCTCAACTTTATATCTTTATTAGCTTTACTCATCTTAGCACAAACCTAAATGGAGAGTAGAATAGAAGGATAGGCTGTGAGGCTTGCTCATGGTGTTAAGCATAAGAACTCGCATGCCATTACACCTTTGATCACCTCGTGTAGGGTTCTCAGGTTCGAATCCTGTCAATAATAGTTTGTGCAAGAGGATTGCTGGACTCCTCACCGCCATAACCACTGATCCTCAACAATCAAGTCCATGCATTTAAAACAACTATTTCCATACCAAGCATAAATTTAAACCGAACGGGAGGACGTTGTCACATGGTTAAGCTGTCCCATTACCTATCTTCACCCTCAGGATATTTGCTATACTTCCAAATAAAATTGTTATTGCGTAATATTCAAACTTATATGAAAGGCTACAAATCATACATGATTGCTTCCAGTTAAGTTCCTAAATCCTTTTTGTTTCTACAGCTTTGCTCTTGTGACACAACTGAAGAATTTATTGAAATAACAACATCGTTAATAAAGAAACTCGTTTCGCCTTCAGTAAGTATTTCTATCTTTTTATTATTTGCTCATCGCAAGGTCATACGACCAGCTTGAGCTATTAGTGAAGTTATCGGTGACCACTAAAGTGCAGTGCCAAGAGCTGCCTGATCTATGAGGAAACATAGTGTAGAACAGTGGTTTCCAAACGGGGCCCGTGGCCCCCTAAGGGTGCCATTTTACATTTCCCTCACATGAAAATATCTCGTTCTTCCTGGTTTTGTTGCGTGATGAGTTAATTTCACAGGATGTTTTCACTTTGTTGAGCATGAATAGTTCAATAAACATAATGGGAATCAGAATCCACCAATCAGAATAACACTCTAAATACCATTGGAATGATAAACAGAAGAATGGTGAACATAAGTTCTAAGGGGTTCACAAGCCATAAATGGTGGTGTACAAGTTTTGATTAGTTTGTGCATTCATAGATTGGTTATTTAACCGCAATCCAATTATGACTCCTTCAATGAAATATGCCCATATGAAATTTTTTTTTGCCCTTTTCAGAAACCCATTACTGTGTTCTGTCGCACCAAGAGCAATCATCATAAAGATGTGAAAACAAATAATACTTATTCTTCAAATTTAATAAAAATGTGAGTATCATAAGAGATAAACAGTGTATGTTTATAGCACCTAAAAGATGTTTCATTTCATGCGAGGCAAGTATTTCCATGTTTTCGTATGAGGTTAAACCAGAAAGGCTGAACCAGAAAGTTCTGGTTGCGCTGAATAATGATATCTTTAACATATAGTTAGATATCAGTGACTGCTTGTACAGAGTCTTGTTCACAGCCAAATGCATGAATAAGCATTATGTTAAAAAAGGCACTTTTTTGCAGTATCTCCATTGTATTGTTCAAGTCAGCTCTGGGCTTCCCGAATTTCATGCTCGCGATCTTTTCCATTGTATTAAAATTTTCTGTTACCCCCTGTTCCGAGTAGTGCCGCTTGTCAAGTCTTACGAGTTACGATCAAAGTCGTCATTGATATGCAAGCGTACAGCTTCTCTGATCATATGTGTTCTCTCGAAATTGTGATATTTATGTTTTGTTTAATAACCTAATTGCGTTTCGAAGCAAAAGTTTGAAAAAGTACAATAGATATAGAACTTCTCTATTCAATTGAATAGAATGGTTATTTTCACTCTTGCTATAGCATTCTTGCGTTATACGCATATGGATCCATCTGGGCAAAGGCATAGAGCAAGAAAAGGTAGTTAGTTTCACGTAACCCCAACTGTTAGATATAGAACTTTATGTGAATTTGGTGTACTCTTTGCGACCCCTAAAATTCGACCCCTAGTTTGGGAACTTAGGTTTATTTGATGTTCTCATATTTTTGTTAATATTTCAGTTCAACGCCGGATAAAAGGTGGGAATCGATTGTTATTCAAGAAAAAGAAGAATTTACAACTTCTGGGTATTTTCAACCAGGAGAAAGAGGTTAGAATTTTATTTGGTAATTTTTGAGATGACTGGGTTTCCTAAAAATAAGACCTCAAATTGAAAAATGATTTTATTATAATCCCTCGCCTTTAAATAAGACCTAGGCAAAAAAACGTTATTTATAAGTAAATGGATATTGGTTTTCCTATTTTGTATATTTGAAAATCTCATGATTTTTCGCTTTGTAATTGTGTTTTTGACAAATTAAACTAAAAGACATCGAGCCCCAGTGGTATTTTTGAGAGGAAAATCGGAATAAGACCATGTCATATTTTCGGGGAAACACTACCTATTATTATATTTTACCAACTAAGTCTAATGAAAGAGGATGTTTGGATATTCAATTATTTCTATAAGGAAAAATTGATAATCTATAGATTCAGTTTGGTACCGGTAGTTACTTTTGCGATTTACAATATCTATAAAAGCATTTTTATTCTGTTCTAATCTCAAAATTTATGATGTTCCCCTTTTTTCTATGTTCTATTTTAGTATTTTACAATGCCCCTTTTCAATCCGAAAAATTTAGTTGTGGATCCACTCCTTTAATATCATTAGCATCTCGTCACTGATAAATATATTATAAAATAATAACTCCTTTTTCACAACAAACTCACAATTCTGTACAAGAACTCTGTTGAACACTGTCCAGTTATTAAGATAAGTTCAATATTTGAACTATTAATCCAGAAGGTACTTGTAACAGTGTTATTTAGGTTTGATCGGTTTCGGGGTAGTTTGCGCGGACACATTCTTCACTAACAGAAACTTACACGATCAGGTCATCTACAGTCCACACATGGGACAATCGCCAGGATCATTCTAGCCGAGTACAATGGCTAAGCTCCGCCTAGGCAGGTATCTGCCTGCTTGATCGCGCTTGACTAATTTTTGTTTTTTATTTACAGTATTACTCCTACCTGTGTTTCCAGACAAACGGATCAAGTATGATCTAGTATTTGTGGTAAGTTATATATATTCTGTTCGGAATTTTAAAAGCATATTTAATTTTTAATTGTAATTATTAGAAATAATTTGAAAATTGAATTTAAATTTTCAATTTTTTTGTGAAGAAAATTTTTTTATCTCCATGTTTGTACAATCTTTGATATGGCCACTGATCAGTTAGGGCTTCCTCCACACTGAGTCCATGCATCTGGAACGATAAAATAGTTTAATTTGTATTCATGTAGGATAGAGTTTACATGTTTTTCCCAGGAGAGAGGAAAGTCAAAAAAACGGCTAAATCATATTGCGGTCCACGGCAGAAAGTTTTGTTACCAGTTCATGTTAGGTATGGTATGGGATTAGTTAGTTATTTGTTTCGAAAGCATGGATTTATTGGTGGAGGAAGCCGTAATCGATCATCGATTATGTGAAGCATCCTACAACAAGAGGAGTCCAGCAATCCTCTTACCATAATTATTCCCACATTATTCAAAACTGCGAACGCATGCAGAGTTGCGATTGCGAGCATATTCCTAACGCTCCGCTCGATGCGCCATACTGTCAGTCGCATTACTCAACATGAATCGGTAACAGGCCATGGTTCACAATTATTTTTCTTGTTGATTTTCCTCTTTCGTGGATAATCATTGAAAAAGCTGATATTATGTACTCTTCAGCTATAGTCGAACATAAAGCCGTTGTGTAATGTTGCACAGTTGACGCATTTTTCAATCTGAACTGGCCCAGAATGTTTAATGCCCTAGTTCGACATACAAATTATAAACTTCAAGTCAAGTTCACACAGGTCTTGTTTGTCCATTCTTGTCCCGTTTTTCCCAAACTTGCTTCACTTGTTCCCACCTGTTTTGCATGTCGTCACTCATTTCCGGCTTATCTCACACACTTCCTGATTGTATTTAGCTTGTCTTGATTGCCTCACACTTGCTCTGCTTGTCCCACACTTGTTCGCTTTTACACGCTTGTTTTGCATGTCATATAATTGTCTCGTTTTATTATTTTCAAAACATGTCCATGCTCGTATTATGCTTATCTTCTTGTTTCACACTGGTTCTGCTTGCATCCCATTGGGCCTGTTTGTCTTATACTTTTCCTACTTCTTCTACCCTTGTCCTGATAGCCCCACATTTGTAATGCATGTCTCAATTGTGTCAAGTATGGAGCGTTTTAGTTTAACATGTTTCCATTGATATTTCATTGGTATTGAATGCAATATGTTTCTGAAACTTTATAAATTTTTATCTTTTTCAGGCCGGCCATATTGAAATCATCCAACATGTAGAGCTGCTCGACTCCTATTTGAGCATGTAAGTGCTAGTTGTGATGTAACACAGGGCTCTTCAAACTGGGTTCCGACCCCTCGTGGGTCCCCAAAGGGCTCAATAGGGGTTATGTTACCCATTATTGTCAGAACTAGCCATAATTACTCACTTTACATAGTTACTCTTCTCTTGCGACCGCTTATCCACCATCAGAGATTCGATCTTTTGTGCAAGAATATACATTGCATCTGTCTTAATAATAAAATATCTGAGGGACGTAAAATAAAAAGGGCTGTGCCACGTGGGTCGTGATTAAAAAGTTTGAAGTACACTGTGAGTGCTCCAGGAGTGTGTGCACCAATATGGAGGTAAATAATTTTGTTGCGCATTTTACATCAAGTTGGTAAAGGGACTGAAACCTATGGGCAGGGGGTATTCACTTGGCGAACACAGACAGCCCCGAACTCGTAATAGAACTGAAATAAGTAAAATCGTAATAAAATTATGGCCCAACTCTAACCTGGTACACATACTACAGGAGTACCCACTGGTGTTACATAGGCTTGGTAGTTCAGAAATATCAGACAGAAATATTATCTTTTGTAAAAAAGATGAACAATACTTAACTTAGTTAAGGTTTCTTAAATCATTCAGAATAGTATCTTCAATTATAACAATTCTTCAGCAGCGTTAATTTACTTGAAACTAAATTAATTGGCCATTCCAGGACAGACAGATTGAAATGTTTTGGAACATCTGCAATGAAAGATCCATCATGTATCTGTCATTTTAAAATCAATCCTCAATCTTTCCCTGATGTCCAATATTGATTGATTTCCATTACAAGTACTTTAAAATTTATAGTCATTTAGCATTGAAGATTGGATTGTATTATTTAAATCAAGCATGAGCTGTGATTGGAGAATAATTATAGGTCTGCACCAATCACAGCCCGAGCTCGGCGAAGTGTGAAATGTTTTTTATTGATTTTTTATTTTTTTTTTATCTGGTTTTGTTCCCAGGAGGATATTACTTGATTGGAAATAGGTGGCTGAATAATTATGTATTAATGAAGCCGCACAGATAATAAATGTTTTATAAGCCGGCCATTTGCAACCCAACCGTGTAAATCGCCAAAATTAATAATATTAAAGGATTTAGTTCAAAATATTTTTTAATGATTAAAGCAGTGGTTCCCAACCTTTTCCAATGAATTCCTCGGCATATTTTAGATCTATTTATTCCTTCCTTGCAATGCAATGTTCATTCTCTAATAATGCAGTGGTTCCCAACATTTAGGGCTTGTGGCTTCCTTCTGGCGGCTTTGAGCACTCATGGCCCCCCTGTTTGTCATTACAGTAGTATTTATAGGGTTATTACTTATCGATTTTAATAGGTATGTTTAATAGGTATTTTAGTAGGTATGTTGATAGGTATTTGTCTGTATTTCTGTCTGCAGGCGATATCTCACGAAAGCGAGATTGAATCTGCTCCAGATTTTGCATGTGCATTCATCATATGTCGGACCAGAAGCCTATTGATTTTGGGCGAATTATGTCGTATAATTAGCGAGTTATTAATTAATTAGTGATGAACACAAGGTGTCACTATGGAGTAAGAGCGCTGGTTTTGGGGATCCCCTAACTTTCGATCGATAAGTCTTCGGTCTCTGACCGATATTCCCGTTATTTCTGGTTGATTCTGAATCCCATTATGTTCAAACAATTCAAGTGAAAACACCTTGTGGAATAACCTTGTCAAGCAATGAAACTGGGAAAACGGGGAGTTTCCTGTGAAGGAAAGGGTGAAATCAGTTTTGCAACAGCTTGTGGGCCCCCAACTTTTTTTGCGGCCCTCGGGGCCCCCCTTTTGGACCACTGCTTTAACGGATCGTTATGCGGAGTCGCACTCTAGATTTTGTGCAGTTTTAAATAGTTTATATTGTGCCCACAATAGGTATAAGGTATTGCTAATATCTAATAATATTAGGAAACTAGCCAAATGAAAAACAGTTTTCCTTCCAATACCTACAAAATTTTCCTGGAACAACCAATATCCATTTACTTAATTAACACGTTTTTATTTAAAAAAGAAAATGCTATTAGGGTATTATTTTAACGGGAGGGCTTATATTAAAATTATTTTAAAATTAAGTCTAGGTCTTATTTTGGGGGAAACAAGTAGGGATGGGGGAATATAGAGTAATTTACTATTCTAGAATAGTTAAATAGAATCCAGAATACCGAATCCTATTCTATTTTTATACTTTTTTAAATAGTGGGACCACATTGCTGGATTTAGATGTTAAATTATGAAAGCAGGCATTTCCCAGGATAATGAAATTTAAGAATATTAAAAAAAAATTTTTTCTCTAATTGTTCAAAATGTATGTAATCCCTAAATGCTGATATGCTATATTAAGACTCTCTCTATACACGTTAATAGTAAATGGTCGAACACAAAAATATATATTAAACGACATTAAATCATTAATGTTAGAGTGCCGAGAATACTCATCCGCTGAGAATTAATTAGGTGCAGGACCAGCGTGTCACCACTGCAACCTATGCGGGTGGTGTGAAATAATAAATTTAACCACTATCAATCCAAATCGACTATGGGTCTGCGTTTTTATAATGTACGTGAAAGACTTGCCATCTTCTTCATCGTCTTCTTGTTCTGAATGTGCTGGGCGGTATTGCCATGTTTGATGTTTACCGATTCTGAGGGTATTTTACGAGAAAACACGAGTATGATTAAACGAGAGAGATTTCCACGCAAGAGAAAACGCTCATCTTTGATTAATAAATTATAAATGGGAAATACAAAATTGACGCATGACGCCGAAGAGGCGGAAACCGAATCCTGTTATCGGATCCTTGTTGGATTTGAATCCTCCGGATTCAGTATTTTATATTGCCCATCCCTAGAAACAAGGTATCTCTCGTGTATAAGTAACAATGCATTTCATTCAAATATTCAAATTTTCAATTATATTTAACAAATACCCAAGGGCATATGTGCTATGAAATAAGCATTTGTAAACAGCTTTATGATGTCTCTAGGGATGTTTTCATAATCTCAGATCAGAGTCCAGGCAATTAGCTATGATTAGAATATTTATAAAATAACAGTTGACATTTGTACTCTCGGGATTTGGGAATAAAGAAAATAGTTTCGGAGGTTTGAGTTTTTCATTTTTTTTTTCGTGTATACTACATTTGGCTCTTCTTTCACTATGAACAATGGACTCTCTTAGTGAAGTAACAAACGACTACTAGAGTTCCAAGAACTGTTGATATTATAAAGCAGTAGTTCCCAACCTTTTAGCACCCCTGTTTATCATCCCAATGGCATGTATAAAAACCAAAATTTTCTTACCCCAACTACTAGAAAACCTATGTTGATTTTAATAAAGGTACGGTCGGCGGTTTCACCCAGTTATTCGTATCTGGCTCTCCCGTATTAAAGGTTACACCCTTGGTTTAATATCAAAATAAAAACCATGAGAAAGATCTTAATTATTTAAAATAATTTTTTAGCGCCAATTACTGAACTTCTCCTTAGTAAAAGTTTATTCAATTCAGTTTTAAACCAGTTCGCAGTGCGAAAAGGGTTACCGACGCCTAGCTTAGGACGTGATAGCATGCCAACTAGTCATACAATAGCATTTTTGCTGTCAAAGCAATCCATTAATCTCAATTAAATAATATAGGTAAATTTATATTTCAAGTGTCAGTAGTTTATTTTATCACGTGCCGAAAGTACACGTTGTACAAACATAGTAAAAGACAAAAAAGTGCATTTTAGTGTGAAGCGTGACGCAATAAATCAGTGATGGTTATGGAGCAACATGTTAGATCATAAAAATTTCTGTCTCCTTCATAAGAATTGACGCAGGAAGGCGACTATCATGACGCAGAATCAGTCAATAAATCTAATTTACCAAAGAACTGTGGTGGCATCCCTTATTCAATTATTTATTTAACTAGGTAGGCCCAATCCATAAGTAAATATAGTAATGGAGGAAGGGAATTTAATAATGATGGATATACAAACAGAAATTTAGAGTAAGCGTGATGAGTTATGTCCAAAATAAAGTGAATTAAAAATTATTTTTCAACTGGTTATATACGGTCTTATGCAATTCAAGAGTCCCGCTGCACACTATTACAAATTTATTTCTGTAAGTTGTAACGTTTCATTTGATTAAATCACGCTGCCTTTCTAGAATTTTTCAAGTCTTGCGCTCCATCCCATAGATAAATAGCTAACGATGAGCTACCGGTATGAATAATAGATACTAAGCCGGATTTTTTTATTCAAGAAACACGTTGAAAATACATGGATGACACGTTAATATCCAAAATAAAGAAATGTAAATATCCAAAATAAGGCTGACAAGATCAAATCTTACAAATATTTTTTATTTTAAATTAACTTCATGACTCTCTCCAAAAATTGTCTACGTCCCCCTTTGTGGTAAGAACTTGAGATCCACTGGTGTAACCAATACATCTGTATTATTTGGTAGCATTACTCTTGAATAATTTGACATCTAGTCTTGCAAAGATCTATTAAGCCTTTTTATAATTTGAGAACTGCAAAAAATCATTCGAACCATATCTTATCTCAGCATCATTGGTGCTTGGAATAGGGATTCACTACTCAGGAATCATTTGAATTAAATTTATTGATTTTGTTGACAGCTTTGTTTGCAAATAGTTGTAGTCTTCAGTTGGATTCAATATTCTGAGATATTCCAGATTTACTGTCGATCGGGTCAGACATGATTGAAATCTGGACTTACCTATGTTGTGTATAATATCAGTAACCAGTTGTGCCATTACAAACTCATTAATGCAATGGTGTTTTCCAAAATAAAAATAAAATTTCAAATTCAGTTATATTCATTATTCATAAATTCTGGATTTAGAAATAATTGGGGATAATAAATTTCAGGAATAATTGAGGTTGATTGTTCCTGTTGATGGCTAGGTATTTTATTCGCTCTGAAATGAGTCTCCTTTATTATATTCGAGTGCAGGGTGAAACGAAGCGAATTCCCTTGAAAATATAGATGAAATGGGACATTATAAAGCAAAATTAAGATTTTCCAACGCTTTGAATAACAGAATAATTCTTTACTAAATGAAAACGATGCAAATAATAATAATTTAAATTTAGTGTCTTTGTCAAGAGAGTATCAGAAGCAAAAATTCCGCAAAAATTGTCGCGTGGTCAAATTTCATTTGCTTACAAAAGTTAAAGATCTATTTCCTTTTTGCCCAAGGCATGAGCCATGCATTATCATCAAGGGTGGTGCGTTCACTAAAAAATTATTCTTTAAATTATCGTATTATTTTTTACAGGTCACAGCGTGCTACAGCCGTTTATACAAACACTCAAAGATAACTGGTAATGATGATGGATTTCTTACAACCCTATTCAGGCTGTGCGGTGAGTATTTCAATGGTCCAAATATCACAATTTACATTTATCTGCTTTGTTGTTAAATTTGTTAATAGCATTGAAATATACAGGGTGTCCATAAAGTCTTGGAAAATTTTAAAATTGCAAATGAAATTTATCGATACCATATGCTGTTTCGCACAGATGTATCAAATGAAGTAAAAACATATGCCAATGAATGCTAAGGGAACTTGGATATTGTGTATTGAACTGCAGGTCCTTTCTCCTTGTTTACTTTTTACTTCGAATCCGTATGTGGTACTCACCACAAGGATGCTTGAACGAGATAGTATTAAAGTGATAAGTAAAAATAACATGATCTCTTTCAACGAAATAGTAAGTATATTTGTGAGCTTTCGTTAGATCATGGTCTAACTTCTTCAAACAAAAACACTTGAACAATTACTGATTAAAAAACAACAAATCTGGTCAAAAATATTGAGAACTGGCTTCGTACCATATATGAAATTGTGAAGGGACTTTATGGACACTCTGTATATTGATCATTTGGAGGTCCGTTCTATATATATTCTCAACATTATTATAGCTAGGGATGGCCAAAAATATTATTTCACTGTTTCGAATACATTGTGAGAAAATATTTTTGAATATAAAATATTGAATACATTCTAAATTGGTGATCCATGTGGAAAAGTTGTACACATACTACGGAAGTATCATTAATACTCCTAAGGATACAACCTCTTATGTTTTAATTTGGTCTCAATTATATTCTCGTTATGAAACTGGCACTCAGTCATGTCGTTGAAGTGCAAAGTGACAATTCTAGCGCTCACAGTAACCTGTCATAATTTATTACTGTGACGTCATAGTTCAATTTAAAAGTAAATAATTTCAAGTCATATTTTGATAGAGGTGATATATCTCCTTAAAATTTATTTGCTTCTCACCTTATCATTTTTTCAATCATTTACAGTAATGATATGAGCAACATTGGTGTTCTGTATTGTTTGCTGTTAAACTGAATAAAACATGTCATGTCCTGCCTCAAGTAGAAACGTCAAATTGTTAATAAACAAAATTTAAAATTGCTAGCTGCGATTAAAAAAGAGAATTCAGAATTGTAGAATATTAACCTGTTTCAGACGCTCAATCGAGCCCAATTTTGAATACATTTTTATTAATGTCATACGACCCCCAAAAATTTACCCAATATACAATAATTATATACCATTGGAAAGGTATTTTAGAGTACTATACGCTAGATGTCACTGGAGGACCGTAAACTAAAACACCTCTTTCAAGAGGTCTCTCGTAACGTCAAAAAATAACAAAAATATTTACACTCTCTCATTCTATCAGCTGTTGGACGTCTATCGCTATTGTAAAGCTGAAATGTGACTATACAGTTGACTGCACATTGGTTTTCTCTTTCATATGATACTAAACGCTTTTCCGTAGCGCGCGTTGTTCAAGCGTTTTGGAAATTTTCCGTTTGAGAAGTCACCACATCGAATCAGGCCAGGCTAAGCTTGATAGATCGATCGGTTGTTTGTTTGTGCTTTATCGCGTTGAAAGCTTTTGTGAGTCATAATAAAACATTTATTATGAATCATAAAAGCTTATAATCGTCAGACAAGGAGAATTTGCGAGATAAAACGCCTAACTTTTTTTCGGTGAGGCTGCTGCGATCAAACGACTCGATATTTTTATAACTTCCTGACGTTGTGAGATGTCCACTCTCCTATGTTATGTAGCATATAAAATGACCTTCAAAATAAGACCTTATCATACTAGCTTTTGTTATTGGTTTGCGCGCAACGCCAAGGTTTATGGAATCATTTTCTTGTTGTGCGACGTTTTTATATCGCAGCGGGAAGTACACGCGTGATATGTAAGCGAAATTTTATCACTTCTAAATGTCATATAAGGTTCATTCTCATATCGTTGTGTGGGGAATAAGATTTCCTTTCAAGCAAGACCATAACAAACATTCCAGACCTCATGGTATACACACAGCATTGCAAAACGTCTGAAACGTCGCGCATGCGTCAAACCGGGAGGATTAGGTTAAGCAAAATATAATTTTTGTTTTTTAATAACTTTTTTTTACTTTCACCCTAATAAAAGATATGTATATGGTTCCGATCCTTTTGTCTGTTCCACACTTTTCCAGCTTGTTTCACACTAGTCACGCTTGTATGAATTTTCTCTTTTGCTCCTCATACTCATGAATTGATCTATCCATCAAAATAACACTATAAATACTATGGAAGGATAAACAAAGGCTCCAGAAGGTGGTCACAAGAGGTTGGGAACCACTGCTGTAAAGATTACAGGACTTTCAAAATTAGTAGATTCTCATATGCGTTTTGCAGAGTGAACGTGTGAACCCATCATAAAGAAAAATTCTAAATTTTTTTTTTATTTTCCAGCTGACTGGGACGAACACAATGCATCAGAAATGGAAGTTAAAGTTATGAAATATGTGAGTTTTTTCAGATTTTCTGAAACAGAGTTATGTTAAATCATTCTACTGGAATGCCATTCTTCTCCAAAACGTTTTGCCGGATTTTAAAGTAATAAGTAATAACAATAGAAAATTTCATCGTTTCTGTTTATTAATAGTTCTGCTTGTTGTTCTCATTTATCATACAATAAAATTTATTTGAACTTACTATTTTTATTACTATAAATCGGGCTAAATTTTAAACTTTCATTACTATAAAATCTGTTGCAATTTTTAGACACCTTGTATAATAACTTTTGAAAGCCCAGGGATGATCAGAACTAGGGAACAATTTTCAATATCAGTTACCAAATATTTTATGGAACATTTCAACAAAGTATTTCACTGGCATTTTAAATCAATAGTACAATGTTTTCGTTGATTGCTTGTAATTCAATGGTTCCCAAACTATTCGCCACCGCCCACAAGCGCATTGCAAGAAAATAATCCATCCTTGTTTAGAAATTGATATAAATCAGGGGTGAGCAAATTATGGCACGTGGGCCATACCCAGCCCATTTGTTTCTGCTGAAATTACAAATATACCGCATATGCTTGTTTACTGCCCGATCTTGATTAAGGGCCTGTTTGAATAGCCGCCCGTGTGAACAGAACATAAAAATAAATAAGGGTCGGTGCTTGAATACCCGCCCGATGTAAAAGCTGATTTTTTAGTGGTAGAGAACAATAGGAAATAAGAAGCGCTTTTGTCACAACGCTGTTGAATTTTAAGCGCCAGTAGATAACACTCACGCCTTAGGCATCCAAGTACATAACAGATAACATTGATTAGGTAACACGATGGTTCTCAAACTGGGCGTTGCGACGCCCAAGTGCGTCGTTTCAATATTGATAGGCCGTCGCAAAGCTTTTCTTCTTTTGCAGATTTGTACCTGCGGTGCGTGGAAAAAGTCGAAATTTTTGTTATTCATGTTTAACAAATCATACTTGAGATATAACAATATATTAATTATTGTAACGATCGAGAATAACAAGCGCCCGTGCTTGAATAAGGGCCCGGTTAGTGAGTTGGTTAAAAAAAATATGGGCCCAGGATACAAAACGAGCAAATACGGTAGTTTCGATGAATATAACTTTCTATAAAAGATATCGATGAAAATAACGATCAATAAATACTGTAATTTTTCATATTTTGAAGATATTGGGCAAAACAAGCCACATACTTGATACTCAAGTATTAATGATTGTGCCACTTGGTACACTAGATGTTTTTTGTACATCAGTTATTACACTCTAGTTCTTTGGTGCTACGAAGTATGTGCATCAAGATGGCGCACAACCTGAACATAGTATGTGTACCAGGTTATGGTTATCAGGTTGTGCGCCATCTGGTACACATACTTCTAGAGTGCCAGTTTTTTCGTTTATAACTGATTTTATTCATAGTTTCATATTGCGCTTCCGGTCCAGTGACCGTGTCTATGATCAGAAACCGGCCCACTCCATAAAGTAATTGTTCACCCCTCTGCTAGGCTATTCAATACAATTTAAATCATTTTAAATGTGTGAAAATATCAAAATGGGTGCTCCCGAAGTATGCGAACCAAGATGGCGGACATCGGAACGTAGCATGGGTAACAGGTTAGGGTTAGGCGATAATTTTTTTCCAATTTCCCTTATTTTAGTCCTATTATCAGTTCGAAGACTAGCCAAGAGCCTCCCGTAGTATTTATACCTAAAATTATGGCCTAACCCTAACCTAGTACACATATTACATTCCGATGTCCGCCATCTTGGTTCGCATACTTCGGGAGCCCCTCAAAATATTCAAATGATGCTATTCAGTTTTTCTTTTATTTTTACTCAGTTATCAGAAGATCTTGACTGTGAAAAATGTTGCTTACTCACTGTAGAAGATGACCTCAGCAATTTTGTATCCCGAGTTATCGGTAGTGAAATATTAGAAGTTGAATATTATACTCCGGTAAGTAAAAGATGTGAAATGAGGAAGGGATGGTGCGAGCGACCTTGATTTGATCAAATTACCATAGAAAACACTGCTGATCTGTAGTTCACTGAGTGACTTGTCATGTTCACACAGTGACCCAGTTAGTCACAAATTATTGCAAAAAGCGTAACAACATTTCAATGATATTAATAATTTAGCTGGCCTAAATTTTGTTTGACAACAAATCACCTATTATGAAATTAAAAGTCGGAAAGTGGCGACTTTGATGTGGTTAGTTAAAATAACATACGCCAATACTAGCTCAAAGACTTGTCCAAAGCAGGACTTTTCTTCCAATATATTAAAATTTTCTGTGACTCCTGTTAAGTTGGCATTGTCATGAAAGCGTGTCACTTCTCTGATCCTATGTGTTGTCTCTAAACCGTGAGATTTATGTTTCGCACTAGTTTTGATAATTGTGTTGTTCGAAGAGAAAGTCTTAAAAAGTACAATAGATATTTTGTTTAAAAATTGGTATAAATTCCGCGACCCATAAAATTTGTTTTGCCCTATTCCTCACCCGTGGGTTCGCAACCCCTGGTTAGGAAAGCCCTGGTCTAAAGCACATAAGAATAGTACAGTAAACCAAACGAACTGAAATGTGCTTTTCTTTTGTCAGTTAAAAGGAGGATTTTTTGGGACCATGTCAAGAAACCGTCAACCAAGAATTATGCAACAGTTTCTTCCTGTGAGTATTTTTTATGAGATCATTATAACCTTCACTAAAACTGACACGAAAGAAAATACTTTTTTAGAATATTTCGAATGTTTTGGTTTGATTTGGGTTTTAGGCTCCTTCTACGACAGTGGTTCTTAAACATTTCAAACAGTGCCGTGCCATCTTATTAGAATACGTAGAGTTTTGCGCCCCACCTTAAGAGTAACTATCAATAAGCTACAAACGAGAATATCGGTTGGAGACCGAAGACTTATCGATCGAAACTGTGGTTTCGAATCATGACTCTATAGTGACACCGCGTGTCCCATCACTAATTAATTAATCAATAACTAATTATACAACATAATTCGTCCAAAATCAATAGGCTTCTGGTCCGAGATATGATGAATGCACATGTAAAATTTGGAGCAGATTCAACCTCGCCTTCTTGAGATATCGCATTCATCTAACAGAGGGACAGACAAATATCTATCAACATACTTACCGATCTTAAGATCGATAAATAATAAGATAGTATATTTTATTCAAAAAACAAATTGAAAATATATGTGGACGGAACATAAATAATGAAATGAATGAGAAGATTTAATAAAAACAAATAGGGCGAGCAAAATTTTCAAAGGGGGGGAGGGGGGGTTCTGACATTTTTTTTGCCAAGTTAGATCTAAACTGCTAGCAGGTCCAATCAAATGCTGGAATACGCATGTTTTTATTAGTCTTGAGGTCTAAAAAGCATTCCAAGCTACGGAAAATTGCTATCTATGATACAGAAAAATGATTTTATTTTTTTTACATTTCAAATGGGGGGGGGGGGGGGTTCGACCCGAAAAACCACCCCCCTGGCTACGCCACTGGGCACACCCCACCGTTTGGGTACCAGTGTTCTATGGAGAATATAAAATTATGATTTGCAAGAAATGTCAAATCCCAACTTTGCAGCTCTGAAGACTTCTCTATTTTTTGAGGTACTATCGCATAAATACTTACCTTGTGAGGGGGAAGCCCACGAGACTTTGAATTCTATGTTTAACCATGGGCCATTATCCTGCCGCTCATGCTATATTATCATACGCACTCTGCATCAGGTGAGGTTGCGGGTCAAGTCAACATATCAAATCCACCTCTCTAACCGCTAAAATTGTGTATCCGTGTTTCAAATAACAATAAATTTCTTGATTTAGAACGAACAAGACTCTCTTCAAGAACTTTTTAAAACTGCAGTTTCTTCATTTATGTGCGTTCCTATAATATCTCATTCATCAAAAGAAGTTGTTGCTCTAATATGTGCTTGTAATAAAAGCAATGGGCAAAGGTATGTTGAAGGAAATTTTTTATCGTAAATATAACAACGAGAATATCGGTCGGAGACCGAAGACTTATCGATCTTAGATCGGTAATTAGTTAATAACTCGCTAATTATACGACATAATTAACCCAAAATCTATAGGCTTCTGGTCCGAGGTAAGATGCATGCACATGCAAAATTTGGAGCAGATTCAACCATGCGTTCGTGAGATATTGCGTTCATCTAACAGACAAACATACAAACAGACAGACAGACAAACAGACAAATACCTATCAACATACTTACCGATCTTAAGATCGATAAGTAATCAGATGTTGCAGGAGGCCAATCAAATAGGAATTAGGACCGAGTTACCATCCCTTTTCCTAACTTGCCGTTCATTTGGCAACCTAATATCCCTTTCTATAGGCTGTTTAAGTGGCGATTTAGACCATCCATCTCTATCCTTAACCTGATGTCAATTTGGTAGCCCAATAGCTCTGTCTATATAAAGAAGGCCATTTAAATAGGATTAGGTCCATATATCCACCCCTGTTCCTAATCGTCTATTTGTTGGCAACCCAATATACCATGCACGGAAGAGGTCATTACTTATCGATCATCAGATCGGTAAGTATGTTGATGGGTAATTTGTCTGTTAGATGCACGCGATATCTCACGAAGGCGTGGTTGAATCTACTCCAAATTTTGCATGTGCATTCATCATATCTCGGACCAGAAGCCTATTGATTTGGGATGAATTATGTTGTATAATTAGCGAATTATTAATTAATTAGTGATGGGACACGCGGTGTCACTTTAGAGTCATGAATCGAAATCGCAGTTTCGATCGATAAGTCTTTGGTCTCCGACCGATATTCTCATTTAACTGTTGATATGGACCATATACCCTATTTATAACCTGTTGTCTATATGAGATCCTAATAGCTCTTTACAGATGAGGCCATTCAAGTGCCGATTGGAACCATATATCCCATCTACCTATTCCTAACCTGCTGGTTATATGGCAGACCAATAGTCCTCAACATATTGACATATTGAGCCATCATGATGGCGATTGGGACCATATATGATTGACTCTGACCAGTTTTAATCAGTTGTAGAAACACTAGCCTAAAATATTTAGGGGAACACTGTTTCTAAAAATGAAGCAAAACACTGTCTTTAAAAATAAGTGGGAACACTGTTTTTAAATAATTGGAGACACTTTCCAGTTCCCACCCTAAAATAAAGGGGAACACTGCCTTAAATTAATGGGGAACACTATTCTCAAATGAGGGGGACATTGTGTTAAAAATAAATGGAAACGTTGTCTTAAAAGTAAATTGAAATAAAGGGGAGCACTACACTTTAACATAAAGGGAACATTGTCCTAAAAATAAAAGAGAACACTACCCTAAAATTAAAGGCAACACTATCCTAAAATAATATGGAACATTACCATAAAAATAAAAAATAACACTACCCTAAAACTAAGTGGAACACTACCTTACAAACACAGGGGAACACTATCTAAATATTCTTTTCCCCATTTTAGATTCACTGTGAATGATGTTTCAAATGTTCAAACCTGTCTCCGTTACACGTGGACACTTCTCACATCTTCTCTGGCACTTCAGAAGGAAATCAAAGTTAAAGATGAATGCCAAGCTATGCTGCAGATTGCAAGGAATTTATTCAGTCATTTAGGTTGGTTATACTTACGAAATAATATATTTTGGGCAATTGGATTTCTTTGTGTCCAGAAGTTTCGCCGTAGGAAATCTTGCCTCAGGAAATTTCATAGCAAGAGCATTTTGCTGTAAAATAAGTATCGTATTTTCCGGCGAATAAGACTACCCGGCCAATAAGACGAGGCCTGTTTTTGGCACCAAAAAAAGGGATTTTTCCGTGTATTCGTCCAATAAGACGAGTAAGAAAATCGCAACCCTGCGTCTCCGTTCGACAGTTTAGCAAAAAAGCGCACTATTATTTTTAACCGATTCTGTTGTTGTATTTCAGTTACGCGCTAATGCACTCTCTTTTCATTGATCTTTGTCGTGTTGACGATATACGCGACAAATTCAAAAGCGCCTTATTCACGGGCTAATGCACTCTCGCTTTCATTGACCTTTGTCGTGTTGACGATATACGCGCCAAATTGAAAGCGCCTCATTCACTGCGTCATCAGTAATATAAGTTTATTATTTCGCCGTGAAAGATGTCTACATCTACAAAAAGAATGCGTTATGATGCTGCTTTCAAACTAAAAGTAGTTGAGCTAGCCTTACAAACAACAAACGTGAAAGCCGCTCTCCAATACGGTGTTACCGAAAAACTGGTCCGTGATTGGAAGAAAGCAGAATGTGTACTCAAAGAAAGGCCGAGAAAAAGTAAATGTAACCAGAAAAATCATCCGAAATGGCCAAAACTGGAGGAATGTGTAGCGGAATGGGTGGAAGCAAACCGAAAGAAAGGCTTGACTGTCACGCGTGCACAGGTGCGTCTTTATGCACTAAACTGGGCTGGTAAAAACGAAGAAGATTCATTAAATTTCAGATCAACTAACAGCTGGTGTAATCGCTTCATGAATCGGCACAACCTAGTACTTCGTCAAAAAACTAAGATTGCGCAGAAATTGCCAAGAGATATGGATAATAAAATCGCCTCGTTCCAAAAATTTATCATTTGTCACCGTCAAAAACACGATTACCCGTTACAGATGATCGGAAATATGGACGAGACACCTGTATATTTCGATATGGTAGGAAACAAAACTATTAATAAAGTTGGCGAGAAAACTATATGGGTTAGGACATCAGGCCACGAGAAACAACGTTTCACAGTAGTTCTATCGTGCCTTGCGGATGGAACAAAATTGCCGCCTATGGTAATTTTTAAAAGGAAGACCTTTCCAAAAAAACAAAAATTCCCGAATGGAATGATCGTCCACACTCAAGAAAACAGATGGATGGATGACGAGGGGTGTATAAGGTGGATAAATGAAGTGTGGTCGCGTCGTCCTGGTGGACTCCTGAAACCAAGATCCCTGCTTGTTTGGGACATGTTTAAATCACATCTCTGTGAAAATGTAAAACAAGCAGTTAGACGGTGCAACACAGATATTGCCGTGATTCCCGGTGGTCTAACATCTGTCACGCAGCCATTGGACGTATGTCTAAATAAACCTTTTAAAGATCGGCTGCGTAAATGCTGGAATGAATGGATGGCTTCCGGGGACCAAACTTTCACTCCAGCCGGAAATATGCGCGCCGCATCACTGGCCACGGTTTGTGAATGGGTTTTGAAATCGTGGGGAGACATTAAGGTTGGAACAGTAGAACGGTCTTTTAAAAAATGCGGCATTTCGAACGCTATGGATGGGACGGAGGACGATCTTTTATGGTTGGATGACGGCGAGGACGACCGCAATACTCAACCAACACCAACCGAAAATGACCCCCTATGACGATCAGGTGTCCGCCGAAGACTGGGGTCGATAGTTTGACGATAACGATGATGATGAAAAAATTTACTTGACTTGAATTTTGTGTTTTTAAAAGTTATATATTTAAATGTCCATTGTTAAATTTAGTTTCCGCTCAAATGTTGTTTATTTGCGTTAATATTATATTATTCAAATATTTCTGCGGCTAATTATAAATCCATGGTGAGACCTCCGTATTTACGCATGGGCAATTCAAAGTATTGAAATTTGATATTCGGATTCGGTCATCGCGCAATAACTTTGATCTGTCTAGTAATGATTAACAGATTGATGTTTTTCTCGCGATGGCGTGCGCGCCCGCCTCTCTCATTTCATCGATTACTTTTGCTCGTGATGCACACACAAATGCAACGCCATCTTGGCGACTTATACTCTGCTCGTGATGCACACGCAAATGTGGAAACTTCAAATACAATAATTAAAAAGCGTTTATATTCCAGATTTACCAAGCGAGAACGCCTATTCATCAAACTAAACTGTCGGGGAGGGCATATTATCGCTCGCAAGATATTTCATGGTCCTAATTGCAGAATAAACTGACATCGAAAAAAATTAATATTACCATATTCGCCCAATAAGACGACCCCCCCTAAATCAGGCCAAAAATTTAGGTCTAGAAAATCGTCTTATTCGCCGGAAAATACGGTATTTGTGATAAAACCAGTTAGGTTTATAGGTTTAGGGTTAGAGTATGCTCTCAAATACTGAATCTTTTTTAAATAAAAAGCTACCATCTCTTTCAGATGATGTTACTATCCTTCTTGGCGAAATCATACAAGAAGCTCGGACATTAACGAACGCTGAACGTTGCTCTGTGTTTCTTGTTAATAAAGAAACAAATGAGCTGGTTGCGAAAGTTTTTGACGGTATTATAACTGTCGACGAGGTTGGTGTTATTATAGTTTTCTTAATATTCCTTTTTCATTCTATTTTGAGGGTTGTAGTAGATAAGCTAAAGTAATTAGTGTATTTTTAACATGCTGTAGCTAGGAATGGGCATTTTCCAATACCTGATGATTTCAGAATCTAATCGAATATTTTTTCGAATCGAATCTCGAATACTTGGGATTCTATGGGAATATGGTTATTGCAATTGGTCCTGTCAACATGAACTACTGAAAACATTGAATACATCACTCAGACAGATTGAGGAGCGTTCACACACAATAAAAAACGCGTTTTTATCAATGAATCACCACAGAAAGTCATATGTCAAAATTGCTTTGCAGATTTTTTTCAAAATTAGCAAATATATTCTGAATTTGGCGTGTTTTCTCAACACCGATCATGACCTTGAGATGCTAAACGGTTGGTTTTCTAGCAAGACAGTGACGTGACATGTCCCTTAATTTGAAATTTTGTTATTATAGTTTAGTGTGTCAATGCCTCCGATTTATTCATCCTTGTGTTGTTATGCTATTACATCTTGCCAGTAATTTGTTTTGGTTTTTACGTATGGACCAATGTTGTCATTTTTCTTCTTTTTATTATTGAAAAGTGGGTATACTCACAATTTCTCTAATGAATGAAATGAAGTACACACCGTTTTAGGGGTTCGAATTTGAAAAAAAAATAATTTGTAAAACCTAATTTTCAAAAGATATGCTCAAATACTAAACAGCATGTAGTCGCTTTATGGCCAAAAAATAAAATTACAAGTACAAAATATTAATTTTCAAATAACAGGCGACCATAGGAGGTTTGGAAATACTAACGTTTTATTCATTGGCACAAGAGTATATTAGCAGTCACTAAATGAACAGTTTTTCTTCTCTTGGGTGGCCCTTTGTACTTAGTTAGGTATAATACATTATTCATAGCCATTCAATGCAGAATAAAGGAGAAAACTTTTATCAATAAATCATTTTGCTTTAATAAAAATAGCCTTAATAAATATTTTGATATCTTTAACTTCTCTTCTAATATTTACAGTTTTGTTGATCCTTTTGAGCTTTTGAAAAAATGGCAATTTACTGGTTGGCTCCATAATATTCTAAAATAGGACTAGATAATTGATTTGTTCAGATATCTGGAACTTTTATCAATACATAAGAATGGGTCCTTTAAAAATATTATTATATCTATAACTTGTTATTAACTTCCAATATTTGGTATTTGAGGTTTTGTTGATTCTTTTAAGCTAAAATATGGCTAAAAAAGTTTTAATGATTGGCAGCGTAATATTTTGTCTTCAATCATGAATTTCTCAACCTAATCTTTGTATTGTAAAAAAGAATCAATTTGGCAACTGTTGGAATGGCTGGGCAATCAAGCAACTAAATAAAATAAAAATGTGCAATTTTTTTGAGGGGAATATTATTTACGCAAAGCAAATTGAGGAGAATTTATAATTTATTTTCAACAACATTTTTAATTCATGCCAAACATGCTCTGGTAATCAATCAGTCGAGGCCCTGGTATGGCGAAAATATTATTTTAAAACTGTTTTCAGGCCTAATTAGCGTACATATGCAGCAATTTTGTCAAGTTCTTGTCACACTGTGTGAATAAATGTAATTTTTCATGCAATAATATTTATATTTCAGTCATTAGATCCGAGGCAATATGACTTTGAGGTAAAGCAAGTATTTTTATAATCAGCTTGTGATCATTACACTAACAATAATTTGCCCATGCTTGAGAATAATGCACTTTGGTTTGGTGTGGCTTTGGGGCTTATGGGTCATTGGCATTTGTGGGTAAACCTTTTGCAGAGATGGGCATTTGACCTTGGGCCAAATGTTTTTCCATTCTAGACTGATGGGCCATGTTAATGTGACGTAAAAGATTACATTTTATGAACAATATTTATAGAGTTACAAAAGGAAAAGCCTCGTGCCAAAACTAAATTTAATCCTAATCTAAGCAAATTCCTTGAGCTATTTTTACCGAGCCAATGGTGTGATTTTTGCCCTGTTAAGTATATTTTAATCCTAACCCGGAACATAGAAGAAGAAGAATCCCACTTCGCACCCTTACTTTTTAAGAAGCATTCTTGTAGGTTGAGCAAAAGGTTTACTTACAAAGGAGATGCCCTTTTTTAATAAAGAAGTTTTGCTTTTTTCACTAACAACACCACTTTGCTGTTTCCCAATTTTTGAAGGATTTATATTGAATTTCTAATATGATTTTGGTTTCTTGGAGTTGAAACGTATTTTCGGAGTCTTGTTTAAAAGTTTGTTTCCTGCTCAAACTACCATTTACAGAAATGTTTTGTTCTTCTCAAATTTATTAAATAATCAATTATTCTTCAATTTTATCTAGTATCTAGTCCAATTTGAATTCGAACGAATTGATTTCAAACTAAAATAAATAATCCAATTTGGATATAAATATATTTTATATCAGGATCTTAGATGAAAATCCCAAATTTCATTAAAAAAAAAAAACATTATTTTCAATTTCCTGAACATCCCAAAATATTCTATTTTGAAAGATTCCAATTCAAGTTTTACCTCCTTCATTTAAGGTTCGATTCTCCTGTAGGACACTCTGAAATGCTGTTCTATATATTTCTAAAATAGTTTAGTTTACAGACTACGATACACACAAAGCATTATTCATTAGAAGGGGGTTGGTATTCTAGGCTGCTTGGCTTTTCATTTGCGAATAAACTCATATTATACCAGTGTTCACTTCAATCTTATAATGGATACTGATTTTTGATTCAATATTTCAAATCAAAACTGCTTCCAGTGTATTATTTCCCAATTGTTTTATAAGCGCAAATCATTTTTTCTCTTGGAAAAAAATCTTGCATTCAATTTTTTATGAAAATAATTTATGAAGTGAACACTGATTTTAAGCATCGTTCATCACGCTTGTTTATATTTGTTTCCATCATGGCAATACAGTACAGTTTATGACAAGGGTCCGCAGCCAATCCGGTCGCTTCACTGAATTATAGTTACAAAACAGCTGTTTTGACGATTATATTTTTTACGTAACAGTATTGTGAGACGAGTAAAATAATCTAACAAGTCTAAAATTCACAATAACCCCTTTGATGAACCTATAATTTAATTATAATTAGATAAATGGGAACAAAACGCAGAAAAGTTGATGCTAAGTGCTAAGGGTTTAACAGCGCTGAAAATATTCAAATGGAATTTTTTGAGATGCAATGAGGAAATAAATGCGGGCGACTGCGGACCTTTGACTTATGATATCGTTGATTAGTCCAATTTAGTTCATTTTCCAAAAAAAAATAATAATAATTTTTGAAGTGAACACTGAATTTAAGCGATATTCATCACACTAGTTTATTTTCATTAACTATTCATCTTAGCAATTCAACGACGATCGTGAATTGGTTTGTACTACATGTTACTAATCATTACAATAAAAAATAATTTCACACTAGCTTTTAATTCTTGTTGATCTTAGTTTTGTCTTAGGTAATTTCTTGTGATATGATGCAACGGAATTAAATAAAGTGATCACTTCTCTCTATTTTTGTAAAAATTGTTGGAGTGAACACTGTATTTAACCGTTATGTCATCACATATAATAAATTTAATTCTGTCAAAAATTAATCGTTAAATAATTCAATGCTGATATGGGTTAATTTTATTAATTACCAAAAGAGATTCATGTTTAACATCCTTTTCCTGTTTTTATATTCAATTATTTAAAGTGAACACTGTATTTAAGTGCGTAGAGCATATATGCAATGTTCTGTATATGTATTCAAATCATTTTTTGTTGAGATTAAACCCAATCTTAATATTATAATTTTTCCGCCTTGCAACTTAAATATGCATTCATCAAATTCAATAACAATCATTATTTCATGCTGTACTTTGTGCAAACATAATTCTTTGTTTTTATCTATCAAGTTATGTTTACTTGTAACAGCAGCATAACTTAACAAATTTTGCTTTCATCAGCATCACTATATCTTTGCTCAATCGCTACTGATAACAAAATGTTGCAGTTGATGTTTCGATAATTTTCGACGCTTCATTCTATCTGTGCTCAACATTCGTTCTATTCACAATGCTGACTATACTTTGTTGTCAGAACTTTATTATTGCCTTCTTATGATGTCATCACAAACTCAACATGACTCCTTGGCCTATTATTAATCGTATCAGGATTTCCAAAATTTTTGGGCTGCCGCGACCCACTTTCATTGCCATTTTTTCTGTGCAACCCACAATGAGACGTTGATATATGAGAAAAGAAACAATGTATTCCCATGCAATTTACCTATAATGTGAAACTTGAGCCTACATATTGGATATTATTAGATCAAGTCAGATAATGATGCTTAATTCTAATTGTTACATTGTTACGTAAGGATACTGCCACAATTTCTCGATCCAATCCAAAAACTGCTTGTAACCTTTGAAATACTCCGTGACTCACCTTGAATAGCTCGAAGAGACCCACTGGTTGGGAAGCACTGCTTTAACCAAATAAGAGTTTCTAACGACAACATTTTATAGTTGAAGTTTTACTTTCACTGTATTTGGAAAATTATTACCTTGAGATCTGGATATTTGAATAATTTTAATCTATATTTTCTTCATTTTCATAATTTTATTTTTATTACAGCTCATTTTAAACAATACTAAATCGAAAGCATGCCATTAATTTGCTTGCTGTGTTGTTCTAACTTTAGTAATCAGGTTCAGGTGGTTTTGGGTGTTTTGCTTTTTTATTTGAACATATTGATGTTGGTAAACAGCTTTTATTATTATGAAACCTAGTAATTTGATAGTGGTTTGGTTTGATCGACTGTAAGCATTCTTCGGGGCTCCCGAAGTATGCGAACCAAGATGGCGGACATCGGAATGTAATATGTGTACTAGGTTAGGGTTAGGCCATAAGTTTAGGTATAAATACTACAGGAGGCTCTTGGCTAGTCTTCGAACTGATAATAGGACTAAAATAAGAAAAATTGGAAAAAAATTATCGCCTAACCCTAACCTGTTACCTATGTTACGTTCCGATGTCCGCCATCTTGGTTCGCATACTTCGGGAGCACCCATTCTTCAATGTTATTGATTGGGTTTTTACTTTGAAGAATACACTGTATGGGCAACCACTGCTTTGGAAGAAACAGAAATTATCTTGTTTGGCTTTGCCGACTCAATTTTTTACGTCCTGGGTGAGGTAGCGGACATGGGGTTCGAACTCAAGATCTTTAATTGGGTTATTGTTTTTCATGGTGTGTTTCATAAACAAGGCACAAGAAAACACAAAAAACTATTATTTTAACTACTGATGAAATTGCAAAGGGAATTTACCGATATCATATATTGTTTTGGCCCTCACAGATATATTAAATGAAGTAAAAAAACTTTAACAATTACTGATTAAATAACAACAAACCTGGTTAAGATATTTTGAGAACTGACTTCATTGCAAAACTAAAATTATAAATGAATTTTATGGACAACTTGTATTATTTTAACTACTGGAATCAACCTGAAATTTCACATAAAAGCTAACTGTTTGGCACCATTGTTTATATGCACCACATAAAGTTATACCCATTCATTGAATTCTTTAGCTTAGAGTCTGCCCATATCTGTCAGTATTACATCCTTCCATAGTTATTCAAACAAGCAAATATGACCAGGTCTATAGCTAATTACAGCATTTTGTTTCCTAATACCAGGGAATGAATGAAGTGAGGCTGCCGTTATCTCAAGGAATAGCAGGACATGTCGCAACTACAGGTAACTAAGAGCTTAGAAATTAATTTCCTCGTCTTATTTGGTTTTACCACAAAATTGGTGGTTTCTGAAAATAATGCTTTACTGAATAAGTCGCAACTACAGGTGAACTTCAAATCTGCTTAAATAAATTTGTACTGCGTGATATTTTTTTTTGAGTTAGAGTAAACCTGAATATTACTCTTTGGAGCATGCATTCAAATTTCCATATTAAAATAGTTGTGTGGCTTAACAATTTTTAATATGACCTTCCTGATATGTTATTCAAAAATTAGTCCACCGTGACGTAGCCCGTCAATCCCTGCAAACGATCTCACTGAATGCAATTGAGGAAACGAGAGAGTATAACTTTGTATACAGTCGCAGATCTTGACGGGCCTTATTACTTACTTTGCATAAAATTGTTGGATGACATGATCAGTTGGTGGTCGGGAATGACATATCAGAAAATTATTGAGCCACGCTCACCAGAAGTACTTGTGGTACTAAACTAGACACTCGGACGTTATTTATGAATAAATGCTCCTACCCAATGCTTAAATATCAATACCGGACAAATACAATCAGACATTTTATTATCATTTTTCTCACTCAGAAGTATAAAATCATATCATGTTAAACAACAATCTTTCAATCCTGTTATTCTGCAGGTCAAACCCTCAATATTACTGATGCATACTCTCATCCTCTCTTCTACAGAGGAATCGACGAGGCCACCGGATTTAAAACAAGGTTCGTACTAACGGGTGTTATAAGTAGGGACCTACAGTAACTACGACATATAAGCTGACCTCCTAAAAACAGCCCTAAAATGGTGAATTTATAAAAATTCGCATGTAATCCAGCCGTACAAATTGTAAAACGCCATACAGCAAATGGTTGCAGAAGAGAATTAGTGAAAATGATAACCATTATTGGGTGCTCCCGAAGTATGTGAACCAAGATGGCGGACATCGGAACGTAACATGGGTAACAGGTTAGGGTTAGGCGATAATTTTTTTCCAATTTTCCTTGTTTTAGTCCTATTATCAGTTCGAAGACTAGCCAAGAGCCTCCCGTAGTATTTATACCTAAAATTATGGCCTAACCCTAACCTGGTACACATATTACATTCCAATGTCCGCCATCTTGGTTCACATACTTCGGGAGCCCCCATTATTGTTATGTTTCACTTCCATCAATGAGTGGGTCCTACACAAACTAATACTGTTTCCAACATTTTTGATATACTTTTATCCTTTTTCCTATTTTGAAACTCTTCCATATCCCCTTGCTATCTATAAATATTCTGTTCTCTTTTGTTTTTAACCCTTTAAAAGATTCTCAGCTAGTTTTACAGACCAACTCACATTCCAAGTTCTGTACAGTTGGCATAATTTCATATAAAGTAAACAATATTAGAAATACTCACACTTACTGCAATTTCCTAAATAAGACTCTTTCCACAAAAACACCAAAATTCCTATCTGGTAATAAAAAGCCTAAAGCCCAGCAAATTTGAAATATTCAAAATTGTAGAAATTAGGAAGTTATTAAATCACTTAAACTCAATGAATCTATATTAAAACGTTGCTACTCGCCATCTAGTATCTTATGCTTGAATTATTTTTCAGGAATATTCTCTGTTTTCCTATTAAAGATGATGGAGGAAGTAAGTTGTGGATTAATACTTCAAAATTATTTTAATAAAAATGTTTTTAGCTAAATTTATTTCTTTTTTCTCCCATACTAAATGTTCATTGGTCTTGTGATAACTCGACCTTGACTTGACTCGAGAATCTGATGGCTCATGACTCTGGATACTTAATATTGCCCACTGCTGCCAATTTATACATTTGTGTTAGTGTGGAGCAGGACTCTTGAATCAAATAGTAAGACGTATCTATTGCCGCTACAGCATACGCATACGGATTGACTAGCATAGAGACATTAAGGAAGAGTTGTGAATTTGGGAGTTGCCTACTGCAACCCAACTCATAAAAACACATTAACTCCTACTTGTCTTCTTAAAAACTGTTCTATATTTTTTTCACAGATGTTGTTGGTGTTTCACAACTATGCAATAAAATAAAAGGTATGTTGAAGTTTTGCCAGAATTACCTAGTTCTCTTGTACAGGGTGATCGCCAGAAAAGCAGAAAATTAGTCGAACAGCTATTTATTCTTACGAAGGCAAATTTTTACAAAAAGGCTTATCTTATATTACACTTCTAAAGGAAACAAAAACGTATCGAAAAAAAATAAGTGAGCACTCATTTTATTTGTGATCCGACTTTCAACAAATGTTCTGCTCTTCTAGCGACCACAGTGTATATTTTGAAAATGTTTAAGTAACTCATTTGGAATCGAAGCAGCTTGGTGGAACAGTGGCTTCCAACCTTTTTTGTTAAATTCATCCCTTTGTCTATTTTTGAGTCCCAAATTTCTGTTTTACTGTGTATAAAAAGTACCTTATTTATTCAATCATTCATGATCTTTCATTTGATTAAACCGGATTGCACACAATAATACCTGAAAAACATTTAAACCTATTACTTAAACATGATTAAGGTAACTTTACTTTGCTAGCCTTGCGTTCATAGAATATTGACAGAGACCTATAACATGATTAAATTTATATTAGTGTTTTAAATTTAGTAATTAAGTAATTTCCACCTAAAGTTAGCATAAAGCAAGTGAAAGTACAGAAGGTTCATAAACCAGCTTTCCGGTTTAACAGTGGAAGGAATTCAGTGAAAAAATGCTCTTTTGCTAACATTCCTTTCCTTGTCTTTTTACTTAATTGTAAACAGAAATTAACCACTGCGTCTGCACATATACCCCAGCGTTTCGGTTTATCAGCGAAGGGTAATCAGTAAATAAGTGGATAATTCTCCTTAGTGTCTTTTTCTCTGCTGTGAACAGAAATTAACCAACGTCTTCTTGTTCCCACCCAGGTCATGCTTTCACTCAATATGATGTAGACCTTGCAGAAAGGTTTGCTGTTTTCTCAGGAATTTCTATCTCTCATGTAAGTATATTAGTATGATTTCTATGGATCTGAACGGCTTAAATTGCCTCGTCTTTCGAGTAATTATTTCTGTGGGCGGTGATGTCAAAAACAAATGAAATTTTCAAATTGAAGTTCATTATAAACTTTAGTATCAGAAAATGCAATTACATGTAATGTATTATATGTGAACTAGGGATATCAAATACATTAGAAATGTGACTTTTTGAGCATCTGATGGTCAGTTTCCTTCGAATCAGCTTTTTTTAAACTCCGCGAAACACAAGCTTCTTCAGAGCGCTTCGTAGAACAGGGATCGAATTGCGACTAAATTGGTTGTCATGGCAATATCGGTCGTACTTCGGCGACTCTGGGTAATAAATTTGTCTCTCAACTGGCTACAAACAGGTGGACTTGCTATCTAAACAATCGGACAGGCCTCGTGCTAGTCTGGAAAGCATGGAGTTTTTGTTGATCGTTCAATATTGTTAACCGTCTGCCCATTTTGTCTAGTCAAGTTTACATCAAACCTTTTAATTTTACCATAGGATAATTTTTTTGGAAATCACCCATCAATTTTACCTCATAATTTCTTGGTGTTTAGCAAGTCGAGATAAAAAGCATAGGTGTTCCGGGACAAAAAAAGTTTGAGAAACGCTGCTTTAAATTATTCTAAACATCAAAATCAGTCAAAAAAAATGCTGATCCAAACTTTCCGGCATTTGCAAATTGAAAAAGTATGAAAACCAATCAAACAAGTCTTTTTCTTCACAAAAAGATCAATCTGATGTATGAACACTTAGCGTCCATCTCAATATGGACTCGACTTGATAAAATCAAAAGTTGAAATTGTATTTTTTTTTCAGTCTCTTCTATACAAGCAAGTAATTGAAGTTCAATGCAGGAATCAACTAGCAAATGAGTTAATGACTTATCATATGAAGGTGAGATAATGTAATAAAAACACAAATCGGTGATTTTATAAGTTAATTTTAAAAAAAGTTCTTGAGTTGCAAGAAAGCTATCCTGGGTCTAGGGGCGTGTTTAGAGGCGGGGCCCTAGTGAGTGGCAAATCTGTGAAGTTCATTTCAAGAGGCCTGTTTCTGCAACCTGTCGGTATATAAAAAAGGAGGCTCCCGAAGTATGCGAACCAAGATGGCCGACATCGGAATGTGTACTAGGTTAGGGTTAGGCCATAATTTTAGGTATAAATACTATGGGAGGCTCTTGGCTAGTCTTCGAACTGATAATAGGACTAAAATAAGGAAAATTGGAAAAAAATTATCGCCTAACCCTAACCTGTTACCCATGTTACGTTCCGATGTCCGCCATCTTGGTTGGCATACTTCGGGAGTACCTAAAAAAGTTCCACCTTTCCCTAACTGTTTCTCACTGTGATTGATGATTGAGCCGCAATAAAGCTATTCTAGACCTAGGGGCTAGAGTATTTGGAGTGGGTCATAATACTAGTCGCAAAACTGATTTTACTTTTCACTTTACCAGGAAAATCCCCGTTTTTTTCCAGCTTCATTTAAGATAAGGTTATTTTAAAGGATGTTTTCTGTATTCATGTTTCACGTAAATCATGTGTCTTTTTCATTATGATATATTTTTTCTATAAAAGCATCTAGGTAAGAAGGTACTGTATTCGGGGTCACTGAATTTTTTCGGTTCGAGAAGAATGTTCAAAAGTCTTTATTATTAAAAGTCTGTACTCGTTTGGTAACAGTCTGGGGGTTGTATTTTACTTGTTTTTTTCAGTGTTTATGTTATTTATCTTCCAAATTTAAACCCATATCTGAGTTTTCCTCACACCTAAGTTAACCAAGAGATCTCTTTCTCTGCTTCTAGATCCGTCAAGAAGAAGTTGATCAATGTTTAAAGTCTCTACCGGATTCCGCAACATTTTTTGACCCTGATTTCAGTAATTTTGTTTATTCACCAAGAATGCTTGATGATGAATTGAAATGCATGGTAAGTGTTTTTTACACGTGTTTGCTAATAGCAAGGCTGTAAAAACTGAAAGTATAAAAAATATTGATAGAAGATTTACTAGTTTTCTCGAAGCACTGTTCCGAGTAAGTTTGCTGAAAGCAAGTATAAAGGTTAAAAGAGAATCGATTGAAGAGAGTTGATGTAAATTATAATAAAAATGATAGTTTTGAGCATCAGTTCAGCCAATTCTTCGAAACACTAGCAAAATAGGGATCTAAAATATGGGGAGAATTTTTCTGGGTCAAGAGTTGGGGAAACATCCATGACTGCATTAGTTCAAAAAAATTCAACTGTCATTTGTTCAAATTTTTCACAACAATATAACTTTCACTTTTGTTTGTTGGCTTATCGTTAAACAAGGCAGACAAAATAATCGATGGGAACGCTTTAAAAGCAGGAGCCCATAAGTATTGAAAATATTTGGAATGGGGTCACAGGTCATGAAGGTTTGAGAACAACTGCACTAGGCCAAGCTGTAGTACTTGCCGAAAAGTTTGCCACAGGAAATTACGCTGTAATTTTGTCGGATAGGAAAAAACACGAGATCATTTTGCTGTAAAACAAGTATTTGTGATAAAACAGTTAGGTTCATGAGATCGAGGTATGCTCTTAAATAACGAATCTATTCAAATAAGGCGATTTTTCCTACGCGACGAAATTTCCTACAGCGAATTTTCCTAGAACCGCTTCAGTACACATTTAATTTATTCCCCTTATCACAGGCAAGCGTGCAGATGTATATTGAGCTGGACCTGGTCGCTCGTTTCCACATTTCAACCAAGACCCTCACCAAGTTTATCATGATGGTAAAGGAAGGCTACAGGAACCCACCGTACCATAACTGGAATCATGCTTTCTCTGTTGCTCATCATGCTTACCTTATGGCAAAGAACTTAAATTTTGGAGAAATTTTTGGGTGAGTGTTATGTGTTTGGGTACTGCCGTAGTATGTGTACCAGGTTAGGATTAGGTCATAATTTTATTCCGATTTTTCTTATTTTAGTTCTATTACGAGTTCGAGGACTGTCTGTGTTAGCTAAGTGAATACCGTCTGTCCATAGGCTTCAGTCCCTTTACACAACTTGATGTAAAGTGGGCGAACAAAATTAGTCACCTCTATATTGGTACACATACTTCTGGAGCGCATGTGTTTGATCTTAAAATTATGTATATATGTTCGTTTTCTCTTATGAAAAGCCTGTATACAAACAGCCACTGATATGTAACGATATATAGGGTGTCCATAAAGTCATAAAAATTTTAAAACTGCAAATTGAATTTATCGATGCGATGCATTGTTTTGGCCCTCACAGATGTATTGAATGAAGTAAAAGTACTTAAACAATTACTGATTAAAAAGACAACAAACCTGGTTGAGATATATTAAGAACTGACTTCGTAACAAGGTTGAATTTGTAAAGCGACTTTATGGACACTCTGTATACTACTTATATGGCGCTTATTCAGTTCATTCGCTTATAACAAGCCTGTGTACACTGTACTAGCATCCACAAGCATCTAACGATATATAGGAACTAAATAAAAGGACTTAATATAATATTATTCTTTCAATTATTGTCTACCCAGTATATCACATGACGGGTGAGGTGTCCTAATGCAAGGTTACCCAAACTTTTTGGGTCGCGGGACCCTATTTGTGAATCCTATTTTCGACGCCCCATAACCTATTTTGTATCAATTTAAGTGCCTAACTAACGCTTCCTTTGATGAAATAAAACTCATGAAAGTCGGATTCAATAGATACTAGCGTTAAATACACATAGGCTAAGGGCAATTCGATAGGAATAATTGTATCTGTTTGGGGCTCTTTTTATATCGTTGCGGACCCCCTGTGCAGTCATCACGTACCCAAAGGGGTCCGTGGCCCCAGTTTAGGAAATCCTGTTTTAATGTATAATCGGGTTTCCTGTTTTTTCTGTCGAGATGGATAACGATAAGATGGTTACTAATATAGTGAATCATGACCTCTCTTCTCACACTTCCTAGTGCTTGATGCGATGTGTCAATCAAATCCCATTTTAATTCGCACGAACAAAGGTCGCCAGGTTTACACTGCCCGAATCTTATTGTACTTTGTGAACTGTTTCTAACAGCATTTGGTTTTAAAAAAAGCAGTTTTTTTGACTTTTTTTTTTTTTTTTTTTTTTGAATTATATTTTACATATAAAATCGAGTCCCCATGCTGTTGGAGAAAGTTAACGGACTCTGTTAATATTTAATTAAATATCTACTTTTGGCTGTGCTCAAATGTTCAATTTATTTCTGAATTTCCTGATTAACGTTTTTGAATCTAAATGTAAAACATTTGTTTTTAGTGATTTGGAAGTCCTGGCTCTTCTGACGGCAAGTCTATGTCACGACTTGGACCACAGGGGGACGAACAACGCTTTCCAAGTATCATCTGTGAGTATTTTGTTATGTTTATAAAGCCAGAGGAAGCCAGCATGAGTCTCGGCTATTATTTCATGTTTTAATCTTAAAATATTTAAAAATTAGTCTCATTTTCACAAGACTTGAATCACTGATTATAGCAGGGGTAGCCAGTTACAGATAATAGACTTGGTTACTGGGCCGTAGGCTCAAAACTCAATATGAAAAACTATGAATTAAAAACAGTTTGTTTACAACAGCTAGGCTAACGTTTGTGTAATAATAAGCACGATCGAGATGTTATTTTCATTCATAATTTTAAACAGAAATTTATATCCATAAAAACTATAGTCGTCATCTCAGCACACACTCGTGAGCCAGATCCGATCTGCGGGTTGTAATTTGCCATTCCTGGATTATAGTCATACCTGCAATCTTGCATTATACTCTACCAGTGCAATAGCCTAGAGGAAGTTTATGTAGTTGGTCCACACTAACTAAATAAATTTTTCAGATATTTATCTCAGTGTCTTTCCATTTTCATATTATTTTTGAGTAATCAGAGAGTAATTAAAAAGTCAAAACATTGAATCATTGGCATCTTTGCACTCGAGATAAAAACGATAAGCAATTTGGCCCAAAAAATTTTAGTTTCCATATTATTCTTTTTGTTTTGATTCTCATATTATTTTCTATGTTCAGGCATCAACACTTGCTGCTTTATACAGTTCACAAGGATCTGTTTTAGAGGTGAGACTATATATTCTATACTGAACTGCGTTTTTTGCGAAGTATTTCATGCCTTTACTCTGAAGTCCCTACATAAGAAGACACTGATACTTGAAGAGGTAGTATTCTTTGGGGGGGGGGGGGTCGTGGGGGTATTGGGCAAAATCTCTCCAGTTAGGCGGTGTCTGATCAGTTTATTACACCCTGTGAGAGATGATGGGCATGCGATTCGAAATCGATTCTCTTAGATGTTCTCATAACAAGGCCCTTGACAAGACTCCACTGTTAGGTAATAGCTACTATGAACGGAAGAAACGAATCTTGTTTCGGCCCAATTTACTATCCTCGGTTGAATGGTCGGGATTTGAGACTGAGATGTGTAGACCAGGGGTGTGCCAACTGCGCCTCGCAAGAAAGATTGTGCGGCCCGCGAGAAATGCCAATTTTGAATGATGTGTCAGCGAAACGAGTTTTTAGTTTTGTTAATCTGGTATGTGAGAGCAATTCAACACACAAAAAAATGCGACACAAAGAGATTGGAACCGGATACCAGTGCTTTTTCTGAGTTTTGAACTCGACTTATATGCATGGGTACGGTGATGCTATTGCTATTCAATATATACTGAACAACACACTAGCTCATTACTTATCGATCTTAAGATCGGTAAGTATGTTGATAGGTATTTGTCTGTTTATTTGTTTGTTTGTCTGTCTGTCACGACCGTGCGATATCTCACGAAGGCGAGGTTGAATCTGCTTCAAATTTTGCATGTGCATTCATTATATCTCGGATCAGAAGCCTATTCATTTTGGATGAAATATGTCGTATAATTAGCGAGTTATTAATTAATTAGTGATGAGACACAAGATGTCACTATGGAGTAATAGCGCATGAATCGAAACGGCAGTTTCTGTTTTGGGGGATCCCCTAACTTTCGATCGATAAGTCTTCAGTGTCCGACCGATATTCTTGTCTTTTTATCTCTTTATCTTTTACAGCATCACCATTTCGCTCAAGCAATGTGCATTCTCAATTCTGGATCATGCAATATCTTTGAAAACATGAGCAAAGTGGTGAGTTATCATTATCATGTGCTAGGAGACATGTTCGAATACTGCTGGAGATAATTATGTGTGAAGGGCTTTGTTTCAAAAGACCAAACTTGATAAAGATATTCTAAGGAAAACGTATCATTTTTAATTTAAATTCCGGTAAATTTATATTGAAATACCTTAATAATGAGGAGTGCTTCAAACTATGGTTATTTATAGAATATACCGTATTTCCTGCCCAATAAGTTGCTTTTCTAGACCCCAATTTTTCGGCCTGATTTTAGGGGGGGGGCTGTCCGGTTCTCGAAACTTTTTTGTTAGAGAGCCTGTTGAAAGATTGACTATTATATACGGATCCCCCCCAGTTCGATGTGAAATTAAATTAAAATAACATTTTTCATAAATTTATTCGTTTCAACTCACTATTTCTGCAAGAAACCCTAATAGTGCCGTAACGCAAACTTCTGAAGAAACAGCTATTGTTGATTTTATCGCCACACAGACTTTAAATCCAATTTCGTGAAAAATACGTTTTGTAATATATATCGTATATTTTGCAACAAAATTTTGCAAGCTAGTTTTGCTAATATGACAGTGGCACTCAAGTACTGGTATAGGCTATGTTGCGCAGAAAGATTAGAATTGCTAGCACACACCAGATTACCTAAACTAAATACTCGTTCCGCGGGCACACCATTCAAAATTTTTATCTCTCCGCGGGCCACACAATTTTTTCTTGTGGGCCGCATTTGGCCCGCGGGCCGCACCCCTGCTTTAGATCAAGTCTGTTTTTCGCTTTCTTCTACTCCTTGTTGAAAATCCATGAGATTCATTATTGCTAAAGCATTGATATATTATATTGTGTAAACCAATAGTGCTAGGGATCTCTGGTCATGTAGTGTAGGAGGGCTGAAATGCGCGATTCGGATGGCGTCATCTCACTTTGTGGTTTGTTCGAGCACCGCAACATTTTTTGGTCGACTAGCGAATTGCTCGAGTATCAATGTATCACTGTAGCTCATTACATATTAATGACATATTGCATAAGATTTTGGTCGAAATGGAACGTGATAATGCGTATCTCATAAAAGGAATACTTTCAGAAATATTATTTCCTAATACATTATAAATAGGTTTATGATTATTACAAAAAAGTTCATTATATTAATTCATTAAGCTTAAATTTGGGGATGCAGGAAAGTTATATAAACAGTGATTCAATAGATTCTCCATTTCAAAACTTTTCACAAAAAATTAATAAAGTCTTTGGTACTTCTGTAGTGTATGTACCGGGTTAGGGTTGAGCCATGATTTTATTCCGTTTTTTTTTATATTAGTTCTATTACGACTTCGGGGATGTTTCTTTACACACAACTTAATGTAAAGTAAGCGAACAAAATTAGTTACCTCCATATTGGCACACACACTTCTGGAGCGCCAATTCTTTCTAGTCATACTGTAAGAGCTCAATTGCTAAAAATTATATTTTTCAAATGAAACTATCCTCACTTATTTCTACATTCAAGAATTTGAATATTCAGAATAATTTATTAGTTTTTTACATTCCTCACAACAACAGCATTGTATTGCATCAGTTTTGGGTAGGTATTTCGGGTCTCATGAAGTACGCGCCCTCAAATATTTCTAGTGGGCGTAGCATAATGATTTTTGCATATAATATTCTTAACCCCCACCTGAGTACGTCACCTAAAAATTGTGTCACTATGCCATCACAATCACGTCATAGAGCTTGCTAAAGTATAGCTATGATCGTCCTAAATGGCATCTGTGCCGACTATAATGAACTCACTAATGCCAGCGTTCCCTTTCTTATCAGAGGGCTTTATTAAGTCACTGTGACTTCGCAGTGATGTAATTTTCGGATTGACGTAGTCAGGTGGGGGTTAGAAATGACATATTCAAAAATTGTTGAGCCAGGCTAACTAGAAGTACTTGTGGGCGTGTACTTCATGAGACCCGGAGTTTCCAAACCTCGACTCATCTGAGTCAAGATCAAGTCCAAAGTCAAGTAGAATCATTAAGTTGAATTTCACTATTAGTTTGTTAACTCAGAAACACTTCATGTGGATAAATTGCTCAACTAGGCATTGGCACATCGAGTCTGAAGTTGAATTAGCCACTAAGCTAGGTTTCACTGATAAATGATAACTCAAATGGAGTCACTGTTTGAATCAAGATATAGTTCGAAGTCAAGTCGAATCATTAAGCTAAGTCTTACTGGCAAGTAAATGGGTACTCCCGTAGTATGTGTACCAGGTTAGGCCATGATTTTATTCAGATTTTCCTTATTTTAGTTCTATTTGAAGTTCAGGGACTGTCTGTGTTAGCCTAGTGAATCTCTTTACACATCTTGATGCAAAAATGGCGAACAAAATTAATTTCCTCCATATCGGTACACACACTTCAGGAGCGCCCCTTTGATACTCCCGCCGTGTATGTACCAGGTTAGAGTTCGGCCATAAATTTATTCCGATTTTCCAAATTTTGGTTCTATTACGAGTTTCGGGACTGTCTGTATTAGCCAAGTCAATATACCCTCTGCTCATAGATTTCAGTCTCTCCACACAACTTGATGTAAAGTAGTTATCTCCATATTGGTACACATACTTCTGAAAATTGGGGGATCCCCCAAAACAGCGCTCTTACTCCATAGTGACACCTTGTGACCAATTACTAGTTAATTAATAACTCGCTAATTACACGACATAATTCATCCAAAATCAATAGGCTTCTGGTCCGACATATGATGAATGCACATGCAAAATCTGGAGCAGATTCAATCTCGCTTTCGTGAGATATTGCGTGCATCTAACAGACAAACAGACAAATACCTATCAACATACTTACCGATTAAAATCGATAAGTAACAAGACAACGAAATTTCTTGCGGACCGGTGCCGAACCACCAATTAACCACTTCAATAAATGAAGAGTGCAGTCAATAACGTAAATCTGCCTAACACTGACGCAAGTGTTCAGTGCTCTATGTCTTCATTGCCCGCCACCTCATTTTTTGCATAACGGAGATTGAGCGGGCTTTGCTAACTTTTTTATTTGTTATACAGAGATTTTGTCATGTTTGAAATTCTTTCAAAACTTTCAAATATTCAATAAAAACATCTCTTGCTGTCGGCCTTAACTTTGGGTCCAAATTTTTACATTTTTGATGAATAATTTCTAATTTTTTCATTAAAAATTTTTCCATTTTTGATCTTTCTATTAATTTTCTTGTAATGTCAGGAATCTTCCAAATATCAGATTTTTCATCGACTGGCTTTCTTGATTTATATTTCTTATATTCCTCAAGTGTGTATCTCTGCTCGGGTGCGATGAAATAAGGTTTCTTCATTATCCCATTGAGTTCCTCTCTGAAAAGTTGTATCAGTCGTTAGATTTTCTCAAAATTTAGCAAAATTTTGGATGCTGGGCCTGTTCACGGTACCGGTATTCTAGTATTTAATCATGTAGGGAAAATACCAATTTAATTGCATGTCAGGAAACCCCATCTTAGTTGAATGTAGGGAAAACCCCAACTTACCTACATGAATGGAAAACCCCAAATTATGTATATTTATGTATAAGTTACATACATGTAGGAAAGACCCCATCTTACTTCAATGTGGGGAAACCCCCCATCTTATTTGAATGTAGGGAAAACCCCATCTTACTTGAATGTAGGGAAAACCCCAAATTATGTGTATTGATGTATAAGTTACGTACATGTAGGGAAGCCCCCAACTTACTTCAATGTGGGGAAACCCCCATCATATTTGAATGTAGGGAAAACCCCAACTTACGGACATGTGCATGTATGGAAAACCCCAACTTACTTGCATGTAGGGAAAACCCCATTCTCCTTGTCCACCTGTGGTAGCTCATCCACATCACTCATGAATACAGACAAGTCTTTGGTAACGATGAATTGCGTCATTGCCTAGAGATGAGAAAAGATGAAGTGGTTCAGTGTGATAAGTTGAATGAGAGTTGAAGTCGGTGGTCCTCAACCAGGGTCTGTGGCGCACCACGGGGGCATAATGGGATTTGGAATCTACCAATCGTAATCACACTATAAATACCACTGGAATGATTAACAAGGGGGCATGACTGCTAAAATCCTCGAAGGGTTCCACAATATATAAAAGGTTGAGAACTGGTTTGAGTGCTTCATGTTGAAGGTGGCAATTTTTTGATTATTTCTATCTTGACTTAATATGTCTGTGGACAAGTATTTATATATATATAAAGGAATAAATTTTTTAGGAAAACTTGCGAAGCCCCTTTGCACTCATAAATTTCTTATAGTGAACACTAGTGTACAGTGCCTTTTATTGGTTAAAACTGTCTTATTTATTGTTTTTCATTCATAAGTGTAAAAAGTAACCACTATTATCATCACTATTATTTTTAGAAAAACTTGCGAAACCCCTTTGCAATCATAAATTTCTTATAGTGAACACTAGTGTACAGTGCCTTTTATTGGTTAAAACTGTCTTATTTATTGTTTTTCATTCATAAATGTAAAAAGTAACCACTATTATCATCCCATGCGTCAATACCCTAAAACAGAGTCGTGCAACCCTAATACAGGAAGGCCAGATTCAAATAACTGGGAAAAACTGCGGGCTGCACCCTTATTCAACATAGGCTTTCTAGCAGTTGCAGGCACAAAAAAATTAGTTATTTTTCTTATGACATACGTTGTTTTTGTTCGCTTCCCAGAATCTAGCTTTTAGCGCATTGTAACATCATGGGCATAGAACATAAATTGGACTAAGGCAGTGGTCGTCAAACTTTTTGAGACGCGACCCCATCTCAAAAATTATGACGTATGATAATGCTTGTGACGCCAAGGTATGGCGAGGAAAAAAATATTTCAAACCACTAAAAACTAATCACAGTAAAATCTCATTCCCAAAAATTTTATCACACGCTCTAGATTTCGTGTTACAATTTATTATTGCCGTCACACAATAGCCTTATTATAAAAGATATCACTGTAATTCAGAATACCCAAACTTGCTATGTAGTGCTAGTCAGCTCAGTCAGCTCAATGTACAATGCACGCAATAGAATAATGAAAAGAAAAAAAAAAGAAAACAACGCCAGACACTCAGCATCCCCCGAAATATTCAAGGCGACCCAACTTGGGGTCGCGACCCACACTTTGGTGACCCCTGGACTAAGGTGTAGGCTTCGCAGCGCAAAGGGGTTGGAAATACTTGAACCACAGTAAACTAAATGGATCGTTTCAAGGGCCGCACATTATACCAAATTGGCACTTCTCCGCAAGCCGCACAATTTTTTCGTGTTGGCCTGCGGGCCGCACATCCATGTTCTGAAACATACTCTCAATCAATTTAAAAAAAATTTATTTTCACCTCTGTCCGAGTGTGGAGGTCACAGTGCACCCTTGGTAACCCCAGTCCATGGTGTAAATAATCGAACGCTCCAACGATTTTCGTTGCCCATTCAAATCTTTGTCGATCACTGAAGCCCCTGTACGAGTGATTATTCCTTCTGTGTAGCTTAGCCAAATCCATACATTTTTCACAAGATTCCGTTAATATTGTTGAGTTGGGCGGCTCCTCACAGTAACCTATAACCTAACAGTAAACAGTTGTATAAGTTGAGAGTTTATTTTTTTTGCTAAAATCCAAATTTGCTGTGTTTCTCACTTTCCATGGCCGCCTAACCATTCAGCTGAAATCTTAACTTTTATTCAAATTAATACGGTCACAAATCTTTTTTAAAAAACACCTCAGCGCAAAAATAGCCAAAACTGAATAATTCACTATTCCGAATACATTCTAAAATAATATTTTCGAATATAAAAAGTCAACTCCAGAAATATCGCAATCTTATATTTGAGTTGAGTAACTTGAATCTATAACACCTTGCTCTCAAGTCAGCGCCTTCGAGAACTGGTTTACTCATTTTTCAGTCAAGTGTCTGTGAAAATCTGGCAAACTTTAATCCAAGTCAAGTGACTCTGGCCACCTTATATTTGGGTCAAGATAAATTTGGCAACGTCATTTTCATGTCAGAAAGCTAACCCAAGGGTGCAAGGGTCCCCTGTGATGTCACAGTTACTATTCCCATTTTCTATGGTAGCAAATTTATGGTGGATAGCGTTCTTGACCAGAGATGAAAAATAAATGTAAAAATAAGAATAAATCAATATTTTGAATGCAGTTGTAGAAAATTTTTACGACATCCTCCAAGAGCAGGGGGATGCACAAAATTTTTTGTCCATCCCTGAACCAGGTGACCATTAATCTAGCAACCATAATTTTAGGTCAGGTGAATATGGCAACCTTACTTTCAAGCCAAAATTTCCTTGCAAAGCATAGTTCATGTCGGCTGTGACAATAGCAGACAAGTTATTTGTTCATTCTTATTATATTCTTTTGAATTTCGCGATTTTGGAAATCTGGCAACCATGTTTGTGTGTCACACAACACTAAAGATTTGGCAACTTTAAATCCAATTCATATGACAATTAATCTAGCAACCATAATTTCAAGTCAGGTGAATCTGGCAACCTTACTTTCAAGCCAAAACTTACCTGCAAAGCGTATGGAGATGGCTGAAGCATCAGTAGATTCCGGTTTCCTTTCATCACTCTATCAGTTTGCTTAGGTAGATTCCTGTTTTTGACAATCGCAAGTACATACTTGCCATATAGGAGTCCAGAATGAGCCTGTTAACACAAAATAGTCTCTGATATTGCCATGTTAGTTTTAAATGAGTTGGGGTTGTTTTTTGGCTAGGCATTTTTGAATACCTGATAATTTCAGAATCTAATTGAATATTTTTTTCAAGTCAAATCTTGAATACTTGGAAAATATATAATTGTAAGCGACTTTTTATTGTAATTAGTCCTGTCAAATGAATTAATGAAAAGATAGACATCACTCAGATATATTGCTGAGTGTTCACACACAATAAGAAATATGTCTCATCAATAATCCACTGCAGAAAATAGTCATATGTCAGAATTACGTAGAAAAAATATGGCTTCAATATAAAAAAAAATGGAAATTCACCTTGAGCATTGGCGGAAAGAGACCAAACAAGATGGCCGCGATTCAAAATTTTGCTCTGAACCGATTCAAATAATAATTTACTATTCGATTCGAAATGCCCAGCCCTAGGTTGTTTGCATTAAAATACATAATAATCGTGAGGGAGAGAACCCAATACGACGGCTTAATTATATGGCGAACCATGGCCACTCCTCCAGTTACCAGTCCGGTAGTGGCGGAAGCTGTAACCAACCAGCGTTTACATGAACCATTAACGAAAACTGGGAGCCGAGCAATTCTCTCGTTCATAAATATTCCCCACAGAGTTCAAAACTATGAGCCCACGCAGGGTTATCCGCGGTGACAAGCGTAGCACGATGCGCAACACTTACGTGAACCACCCTACGGCGGCTAGGATTCCAGCAACCCTCTCATTCACCCCCCAGGATTCGAACTTGCGAACTTTGCAATGCAGAATAGATACTTAGTTAGCTGATTATTATTTTGAATGTTTGTCTGAAAGTCGAAGTCATTTTTTGTCTGATCATCTGATATTAGATATTTTGAATGTGAATAACTTAAATTGGACGGATAAATAATCTTAATTATTGACTCACTATTTTTCCAATCCCGCCTCCCAAAACATTTCCTTCTTTCAGGATATTTTTATCTTTAATTTCTTCGCAATCAAGCCATGGCTGACATTTTTCCATTCCATCCATTCTAAAGTATCCATACTCGCACGGAATTGTCGATTCTGTCTCGAAACTTCGTCGCAAAAGCTTCGATAAAACTGGTTTTAGGTCGTCGGGTATTTCTGTTACATTTTGTAAATTTTTTGCATCGATTTTAAAACTTTTGGAAAATTTATCGTTTTTCAATTTATTGCCCTCATTTTTAAGTCCTGTTTTTTCAATTTTTTGATTTCCTTCTGCATTATGATGTAATATCCCAGAATCAGCATTTCGTGCCTCGCCATACCTTGCTAACTTATCGTTGATTTCTACCTCTGTAAATAATCGCTCATCCATGCCTCTCTCTTTAGTGAATGTCCTGCTACATCGGTAGTATTTCTTCGTTGTATATTTTACGACAAACGTAAAACAAATAATAAAAAACATCCCGAACAATAATTTATTATACAAGACCTGGTTCCTGTTATGGAGCCTCATCTAAAATAATTTTACAGCATTATATCTTAAATAATTATGTTGTTATCTGTTCCCATACTCAAGGGCTATTCAACTATTTTTACCAAAGATCCGCATACAAAACTTCAAATTTATCAGGGTCCATTCTTTCCAGAAGTTATATTTAGACATCAAGATAGCACTATTTGCATTGTTTATTATGCCGTTACAGTTCGTTCCATATCTAGTCAGGTGCAGAGATTAAAATAAACTTTAAAACTATAAAAGTCATTTAATAAGAGGAAACCTCAACATATCAAAAGTGGGGCCAATGATCAAAAAAAAAAGAATTGGGTGCGGCCAGAATCAGATACTCGAAAGGGTCGCATTCATACTGCGGTCCGTTAGTTGAACTCTGCCATACAATACATCAATACATTCTTAACCACATGAAAGGCCATGCTTATTAATCTTCTTTTGCTTTTCCTCTCTTGTACATGAATATAGCAAATTGAGGGATGTAACCCGATCAGACAAAACTTGAAAATGCTGTTTTGAGAAAATGATTGAACGGATATTTTTATTTTCAAACTCCTATAACTTTTCATTTAAATACTTGGCGCTCCCGTAGTATGTTCACCAAGATGGCGGACACCGGAACGTAGTATGTGTATCAGGTTAGGGTTAGGCCATAATTTTATTCCAATTTTCCTTATTTTGAAAATATTGGCACTCTTGTTGTATGCCAACCAAGATGGCGGCACCGAAACGTAGTATGTGTTAGTTTTAAGCTATAATCTTATTCCAATTTTCAATATTTTAGTTCTATTTCGAGTTCGGGGACTAGCCAAGTGACTCTCGTAGTATTTGTGTATACTGAAATTATGGCCTAACCTGGTACACATTCTATCTTCCAGTGTCCGCCACCTTGGTTCACATAACTACGGGAGTACCCTTTTTCTTGCCTTCCCTTTTTTGTGAGTGAATATAGCAAACTGAGGAATGTAACTCTGAATAGGCAAAACTTTAAAAATCTGTTTTGATAAAATTATTAAAATATAGTATTTTTTTTTAAACTCCTGTAATTTAAATACTTTGGTGAATATTGCTTCCAAATTTGTTTATATACTAGCTTAAAGAGTATTCGGGGCTCCCGAAGTATGCGATCCAAGATGGCGGACATCGGAATGTAATACGTGTACTAGGTTAGGGTTAGGCCATAATTTTAGGTATAAATACTACGGGAGGCTCTTGGCTAGTGTTCGAACTGATAAAACGACTAAAATAAGGAAAATTGGAAAAAAATTATTACCTAACCCTAACCTGTTACCCATGTTACGTTCCGATGTCCGCCATCTTGGTTCGCATACTTCGGGAGCACCCAGTATTCATTATTTCTAATATTTTCAAATAAAAGTTTTCCTCAAAATTGTAACATTTACCCTTCTGTCTTGAAACCTTAACCAAGTGTTTCAACCGGCCGACTTGTGTCTGCTGAAATTCCAACTATAGTTTTTATGGATATAAATTTCTATAGAAAATATCGATGAAAATAACGTTATAATGACCTTGATTGTTATATTGTATTTCTTATCATTAAATAAATGTCAGCCTAGCTGTTGTAAATAAACTGTTTTTTTTTTCCTAGTTAATACTAAGATTTGAGCCTCCGTCCCAATATTCAAGTCTGTTATCTGTAACTGGCCCACTCAGAAAACTGATTGCCAACCTCTGCTTTAATCTTATTCCAAGTAATCCTCACTGAACCTACATAAACTTTGCCTACTTAATTTCAAATTTCAACCGATACTCATGTTTCGCCTATTTAGGTTTCACTTGCAGCCCTCAGGCAGAATCAAGTATCTTCTTACTTAAGCATATGGCACCTCATCGTACTAGTAATTTAGCCTATTTTGAATGATAAGGCCTGAGGTAATGACTTAGGAAACCTGTCTCCCTCTAAAAATTGATTTAATCAAAATTATCTTTGATTAGCTTTGACCTAAGTCTGACTTTGTGCTTACGAAGAATCTCAAAACAAGAATAAACTGCACCAAATACTTTTTGCCCAAAATTTTCATGCCTTCATGGTTTTAATTATTATTAATTTGAATCATACATGATGTAGGTTTTTATGCCTCATGTTCTGAAGTTTTTGCAACTTATTCAAAATTGCAAATAAAATATGTTATCTTATGCCACAAGGTGATATTGTCCACATATTGCTTCAATGTCTCATGCCGAAACTGTATTGAAAGTTATGGCATTTTTCCTAATTTCCCGTCTTGAGTGTTTAGCTTGTGTGTTGTTATTTTTTGCGTGTAGTCAAACCCTTCAAGAAAAAATTCATTTAGACTGTTTTGTAGGTTTTCATTGTCTTAAAGTTGGGGCAACCGTGATAAATGCCAGCAAAATAACACAAGACTGGTTGTGCCAGGAATCTATTACTATCTCCAGATAGCTTGATGATGGTACCATTTAGGTCACATAGGAAACACTATCTAAATTTAAAAATAAATTATCTATCTATGTCAATCAGTCCCATATTTCGTTTGTTAGGGAATTGTTTCTAAGTTAAATGCAAGTTTTGTTTGCTTCCATTGTTATTAAATGAAATGAAAAACTAAAATCAGCTATTTTGACAGTGTTTAAATTATATGGTCATTACACATTCTAAAAATATTATTCAAATCTTCAAGCATCAACACTTACTTGTTCTAATTGTGCAGTCCTTTTTTAGACCAAAGTTATAGAAAGCCAGACATTAAGGACTTTTAGACAGGGCGAACGATTTTTATTTACATATTTATCTTGGGGGAGAGGAAAGCCAATAAGACGGCTTAATCATATGGCGAACCACGGCCTCTCGTCCGGTTACCAGTCCCGTTCGGGTATGGGATTAGTTAGCCAGGTATCAGTTTTCAGAAGCATGGACTTGGTGGTGGAAGAAGCCGTAACCGAGCAGCGGTTACGTTAACCACCCTACGGTGGCGAGGAATCCTCTCGCACATGATCATCCCCGCATGGGATTCGAACCTGCGAACCCACGAAAGGTAATCAGAGATGCGGTGGCGAGCGTATTCCTAACACTTAGCACGATGGGCCACACCGCCGAGCCGTTTAGAATAAAATATTTGAATAAATAATTTCAACTCATAGTAGTTTTTATACGGAATCGTCGCTCATGTCGTTTGCTCCTCACCCTGTATAAGCATTCACCCACTATCTACAGTGACATAGCCAGGGGGATGGTTTTGCGGGTCGAAACCCCCCTCTTTTGAAAAATAATAATAATAAATCGTAATAAAATAAAATAAATTTTCTGTATCATAGATAGCAATCTTCCGTAGCTGAAATGTTTTTCAGACCCCCAAGATTGATTCCCCCCCCTTTTCATTATGTAAGGAGCTATAGTTATTGGAACGGCCAAAATCTCATTGGTTCAGCATTGCCTACCCCAATTTATCACACTCTGGGTGATACAGCGGACATGGGATTCGAACTGGAGTAATGTAATTTGCGATGCCAACACATATAAGTCTAACACTTTAACTACTGGGCCAGTGGTTCCCAACGTTTTTGTTTAATTCCTCCCTTTGCGAATTCTGTAACTCTGTCTTCCTTCTTCAATATGGATAAAAACTACTTTCTTGTTCAATCTTTAATAAATCCATAGCTAGTGTTATGCGCAAGTAACGGTTCCACTTTTGTGCTGTTTATGTAGTTATATAATAAGTAATGTTGTAATAATAAAGAACTAAAGCTTATTAGAAATACCACAGCAAATACGAAACAAAACACCTCACCCAAAACCACAAAATTTCTCACTGGTGGGAGGGGGATTTTCCCTTGTTTGGGAAATGTAGCACTAGACCACTGGTTCTCAACCAGTGAGCTATCACCCACTGCAGGACCGCAGCAAAACTTTCAAGTGAGCAACAAATCTGTTAAAAAATGCTAAAGTTATTAAACAATTCAGTTCCATTTGTGTCACTATCGGTGAATTTTGATTATAATAGCAATAAATGATGATGCTGTTTTTTGTAACTGAAGAGTAATTTTTATTCAAATCATTCAAGTGAAAGTATCCATTTTCTGTGGACATATTTTTTTCCTCGCATGAAAAAGTTAATGGGCCGCAGATGTTCTGTGTAACGAAAATGGGCCAAAAAAAAGTTTGAGAACCACTGCACTAGACCAGAGCTACTCAACTGGCGGGCCGCGGTCCGAATCCGTACCTTTCGGGTATTCGATTCGGATCGCGCCTAATTCTTTATTTTGGATCATTAGCCCCACTTTTGGAGTTCCCTTTTATAAAATCTCTTTAACAGATTTAAATATATATGAAAAGAACTATAACACCATAATAAATAATCTTGATTAGCTAATAATCATTAGTCGACCGAGGAAGTGCATGTTTGAGGATGCCGAAATATAATTTCTGGAAAGACCGGACCCAAATATTTTTGAAGTTTTGTTTGCGGACCTTCGGTAAAAATAGTTGAGTAGCCCTGACCTAAACAATTGCTTTGACCATACCTTCGAATATTAATTTTCAGGATTATGTGAGAGTTCTTGACCTCATTAAAGACATCATACTCGCTACAGACGTCGCTCATCATCTTAAAATCGTTCCAAAACTAGAAGAAATGGCCGAACGTCGTCTCGATCCATCAAATTGCAACGAAGAAGAGAAATCTTTGCTGCTAGACCTCAGTATGACGGCTTGCGATTTGTCTGATCAAACTAAGGATTGGAAGAACACAAAGAATACTGCGGTAAGTTGAGAAATTACAGATTTAGAGAAAATTTAGGTATTTATTAGTCTGATTTGTTTAATGTTAGTGCATTAGTATTGCATTTGCAGTTGAGGACGGTCGCAAAAATGACAGAATAGCAACAAAACTGTCTTACTTACTGCCCTAAGTTAAGGATTCACATTTTTTGAGGAAATTTATTAATTTGCCGGTCTGATTATTGTTACTTGTTAGTATTGCATATTTGTACCTGTGGTAAGAATTTTGAGATCCGAGTGAAGATGGACTGAATATGACAGATATCAATATCTCTGGTTGTTTCAGCTTCTTGTAGCTTCATCCTCATATTCATATCATTGCAAGACTCAAACCCTTATTGGCTTTCATTTCCTCCGAAACAATTTCGAGATTCCTCAACCTGTCCACCAACACCGGTGCTTAAGCTGTTTCTATTTGCATTAATTCAAGTTCTTCAATTCCAGGAACTGATTTACAAGGAATTCTTTAGTCAAGGTGATATGGTGAGTAGGATTAATCCTTTTGTATATATTTTTGCTGTGCTGTCTTGAATGCTGCATCAGCAGGGGTGTCTACATCAAATATGGAACAATATGGATTGCTTTGCTAACCTTATGTTGTTTTTCTCAATGGGGTTTATATTTCGTCCAGAAATTTTTTTTTTCCAATTGAACAATTTTTATCCTAGCAAGCTTTGTACGTCAAGCATTTCAGCAAACATTATGCCATAAGGCCTTTATGTGCGGGTACCCATGCATCATCTCTGTTTTTGCTCTCTTGTTTTTTCCTATAGTCATTTCGAAGATGCCCAACACAAATCATATAAGTCTAACAAACAGTAAGACTACCTAAAAGCCTTTGTTTCATTTTTAAAAACTATACAAAATAGTGACATAACTAAATCATTTTTTATATACGAGTACCGATGCACAACCTTCTTGGCCATACATTTGAGCGAGCATCACTCGCTTGTTTTTTTTTTCTAAAGTCATATTTGATATTGGTATCTTTGGTTTCAGTAATAAGTTAAAATAATTACGTTTGAAAATTAGCATTAAAGTCTAACACCGATACTACGGTAAAAGACTCCGTTACATATTTAAAAACTGTAGAAAATAGTGACCTACTAAAATCATTGTTGATTTGCTCCATTCAAACTTATAGGAAGAAACATTGATTTCTACATTTCCCTTGTGTATGTGACGCTGTTTTCAACACATAAAATAACTCATTTACAAAATTGTTATTTTAGAATGTGTTTGGGGACAGAAGGTCATTTTGATTTCAGTCATTCCTTGTAATTTGGTTTACCGTATTTGCTTGTTTTGTAGCCCGGGCCCATATTTTTTTCAACCAACTCACTAACCAGGCCCTTATTCAAGCATGGGCGCTTGTTATTTTCGATCGTTACAATATTTAATATATTGTTATTTCCAGTTCTCAAGTATGCTTTAAACGAGAATAACGAAAATTTTCTACGCACCGCAGGTACAAATCCGCAAAAGAGGAAGGTTTTGCGACGCCCTATCAATATTGAAACGACGCACTTGGGCGTCGCGGCGCCCAGTTTGAGAACCATGGTGTTATGTATAACGTAATCAATGCTATCTGTTATGTACTTAGACGCCTAAGGCCTGAGTGTTATCTACCGGCGCTTAAAATTCAACAGTGTTGTGACGAAAGCGCTTCTATTTCCTATTCTTCTCTACCACTGAAAAATCAGCTTTCACATCGGGTGGGTATTCAAGCACCGGCCCTTATTTATTTTTATGTTCTGTTCACACGGGCGGCTATTCAAACGGGCCCTTAATCAAGATTGGACGGTAAAACGAGCATATACGGTATGTTAAACTTAATATCTTTTTTGTAGGAAAAATCTCGAGGAATTCTTCCAGCGATAACTAATGATAGAGAGAGAGCTTGCGTTCCTGAATTGCAGATAAATTTTATGGAACACATTGCTAGACCTGCATACAGGTGAGTCCGGTGTATAATGTCAAACGGAGCTCCAGAAGTATGTGCACCAAGATGGCGCACATCCTGAACATAGTATGTGTAACAGGTTAGATTCAAGTTGTGCGCCATCTTGGTGCACATACTTCTAGAACGCCTGTCAAACACTTTGCCGCTTGTTATGAATTAGGTTGGCAGGACCAAATCAAGATTTAGGGGAGAGGAAAGCCAATGAGATTGTGAACCACGTCCAGTTACCAGTTCAAGTAGGGTATGCGATTAGTTAGCCAGTTATTTGTTTCAGATGCATTGACTTGATGGTGAAGGAAGCTCTGTAAGATCAGCGGATGTGTAAACCACAATACGTCGGTTCAGTCCAGCAATCTTCTCGCACATAACCATCTCCGCATGGGATTCGAACCAGCGAACCCACACAGGATAATCAAAGATGCAGTGGCGAGCGTATTCCTAAAGCTTGGCACGATGCGTCATACCTGCGCTATTCATGTACCAGTGGATACTTCTACAGAGCCTTGTATATTAAAGGCCTGAAGTTATTCAGCATAAAAATAGCCATGAATTGCTTTCTCAAACAGCAAACTGGAAGCGCTGGTTTGTCCACACATAACACATTTTCACACATAATTATCTCTGCGAGATTGAAACCTGTCACGTATAGGCAGGGTTAGCATCTACCTGGAGCCAAAAATAAGCACGGGTGTCAAAGGAGTATTTTGCGGGTCACTTACCAACGGAAAAACACGGAATAAAAACGAAAAATAATTTATACACAATTCTATTCCGCTCTCCGCCCAAGTTTTATTATCAGCCCAAGTTTTCTTTTAAGAGTCGTTTCGAACAAAGAGCGACAAAGCTTTGTACTCAAAACCTGAACGAGTCATTTATGTTTCTAGGACAAAATAAGCGCGCAACCCAAAAATAAGCACTTTTCTTAGAAATAAGCATATTATTACTGTATAAGACGCGGACTGGAAAATAAGCACAATTCTTAAAAGTAAGCATGATATGGTAACCCTGCGTGTAGGGGAGTTCAGGATATTGTTATTCCTGCAAGATTCAAGCCTGCCTTCCCTCACAAAATAATCAACAGTACAATGGAGAGGATGTTCCAATTGAACTCTCAATTTTTAATTGGACTCGAAATTCACATATTCATCATTTTTCTAAATTGCTGTTGTTAGGGTTGAGCTTTTCTCTGCACAAGTAAAACGATGTTCACCAGTTTATTTTTGCTCTTGAAATGCAACCACTAGGGGGCTATCACATTTTTTTTTAAATTAACCTTCAAACCCCATGAGACCGAACTTTTCACCCCTAATTTTGCTGTATTGCCTCAATTTATGGAAAATACCTTCATAACATTTGTTTTTTAATGGGATTCTGCCAGTACAGTCCAGGGGTTGTCTATATTAACATAAAATATATGGTGGCCGTACATTTGAACCCACGTACATTTGAACCCATGTGTATATCCACGGGTTCAATCTATATGCGGGTGCTAAAACCCATGGGTTAGGGTTAGTATGGGTTCAACTATCCGAAAAACAAAAAAAATCTATAGGTGCAATTGTTGTGGGTTCAAATGTAATGGAACCATATTATATACAGGGTGGACGCTACTCACAAGAAAATTCATTAAACAGCTATTTCATTTTTACAAAAAATAACTTTACAAAGTTTTTTAAGGGGATATGTTATATTACATTCATAGATGCTCAAAATGTTGTCCGTGCACTTCAGAACAGTATTATAACCTAGAACTTTAAGCTCGTGTAGTGTTATGATGGTTAATTTGTGGGATATCGTTCCAATTCAACTTATATCGCAAGCGCATTTCATTTGTGATCTCATCTGACTTTAAATTTTCTGTTTTTCCAGCGACTAGTATATTGTTTATATTGTTATGTGAACACTTTATACCTTGCACTTCAGACTTTCATATCCACATATTTGATCATTTCTCCTTTATTTTTTACAGGATTCTCTCAGTAATTTTCCCTCCATATACCGAAGCCTACGATCGTTTTGATTCAAATGTAGAACGATGGAGACTCGTTTGCACAAAGTTTAAAGAACTTGGATTGCCGAATACTGGATTATTGGACTTTATAACAGAAGATTTCGAAAAAGAATTATTCTGAGAAAAGTCTCACGCAATGGGAGGGGGGGATTCACCGCGATGTGTGAACATGTTTTGGTTCTGTTTCAGACATTAGACAACGGCAGCATATGTGTAATGTGCACCACAGTTGATAACTAGTGGTATATTTGTCGATTTGAAACTTGAGAAAACGAAGTCGTACGTAATGTGATGAATTCTCGGGGACGCGCAAATTATTTGTGTTTTAGACATAAAATGACCGCAGCAATTGTGTAATGTCTGGTACTCCCGTAGTATGTGTACCAGGTTAGGGTTAAGACATAATTTTATTTCGTTTTTCCTTAATTTAGTTTTATTACGAGTTCGTGAACTGTCTGTGTTAGTCAAGTGAATATATCCCCTGCCTATAGGTTTCAGTTCCTTTTCACAACTTGATGTAAATTGGGCGAACAAAATTAGTTACCTCCATATTTTTACACACACTTCTGGAACGCTGAATTTTTGTACAGCCCGTCATGTTAATGTACCTCACGTAGTGTCATACATATGTTTTCTGAAACGTAGGATGCTGTTGTTAGTGAGTTCTATTCAAAAGAGAACCCATTTCCTAACTTTGGATCCTCTCACTGGTTGGCAGTTGTCATATGCAATATACAGACAAGACAAATTTTCAAATTAATGCTGCTAGTTGATGCTGGATCAAGCCAAAGAGTTGGATTGAATTGAAATTTGTAATTATTGGCGATTTGAAACCGTGAAAATTCGTGAAATCAAAATTTTTTTTTTTTTTCTTGAAGTAAAATTTGATACAATTGGTTGGCTACAATGTAGAATTTGATCCACACAAAGTGGCGTAGCCAGGATGTTTTCAAAAATGGGGGTTATGAAATTTCTAATTGGCAACTTAGACCAGGGTGGTCCAAGATTGGCAGCTCCGTGAGCCACAAAATTACTTTTGCATTGTTCGCGGGCCACAATAGTGCCAAGAACTTCGCTCGTTTAACTTCGCTAGTTGCCTCAGCAAGCCATAACACTAGTCAATTCAGTGACATTAGTGATGCAACAATATGTCAAAAAAGTTTTTTGGTTAATTTTATGACGAAACAACACGAAATGCGATTTTTTGATTCCTCTCCGAATGCGACGCGGGCCGCAGATAATGAAGCAGCGGGCCACATGTGGCCCGCGTTTGAACCACCCTGACTTAGACCATGAAAGCTAGCGTGTTTGGAGGCCGAAAACATGGGTTGTTACGAGTCTTGTGGGTGCAAAAAGCGTTTTTTTTTCACATTTCAGAAAGGGACGGTATTCTGTGTTACATCTACATTGTATTTTTCTAGTAATGCTTTAATTAAATAGTTATTAGTTCAAGTATTTTGACTTTTAATATTTGACCATCTCATTAGAATTTTCATGTTTTCAATTTATTCGTCTTGCTGTTTGGAGGCCGAAAACATGGGTTGTTACGAGTCTTGTGGGTGCAAAAAGCGTTTTTTTTTCACATTTCAGAAAGGGACGGTATTCTGTGTTACATCTACATTGTATTTTTCTAGTAATGCTTTAATTAAATAGTTATTAGTTCAAGTATTTTGACTTTTAATATTTGACCATCTCATTAGAATTTTCATGTTTTCAGTTTATTCGTCTTAGCAAATTATTTTAATGTATTTTGTAACGAAAATTTTTGCACAGCACTTTAATTACATTTTGGTATATTTCCTGGTACTTATATTATATTTGTCATGTCTAGCGTCCCACCTTAAAAATAACTAGCTAACAATAAGATACAAATAACAGATAATAAGGCGAAGGTATGTTTTATTCAAAAACATGTTGAAAGTATGTGGATGGAACGTAAATAATGAAAAAATGTTAATATCCAAAAATAAGGCGAGCAAGATCAAATCTAGCAAATATTTTTATTTATCTTCACACGCCCTCAGAAAATTGTCCACGTCCCCTCTTTGGGGAGCTTCCCCCCATTTGAGAAACCACTGATTTAATCATTTCAATCCTAACGATATCTTATGCAGATGTGATTCTGAATTCTTCGATTTCTTCAAACCTGAACCTTCATTTTTGATTCATTTTCTATTAAACAAACCGTGTTGCCATCTGAATTGGTAACATCCAAGAATTTTCTAACCAGACAAACCATGTTGCCATTTGAATTGGTAACAGCCAAGTATTTTCTAACCAGACAAACCATGTTGCCATTTGAATTCGTAACAGCCAAGAATTTTCTAACCAGACAAACCATGTTGCCATTTGAATTGGTAACGTCCAAGAATTTTCTAACCAGACAAACAATGTTGCCATTTAAATTGGTAACAGCCAAGCATTTTCTAACCCGACAAACATGTTGCCATTTGAATTGGTAACACCCAAGAATTTTCTAACCAGGCAAACCGTGTGACCATCTGCATTGGTAACATCCAAGAATTTCCTGACCAGACAAACCGTTTTCCCAATTTGAATCGGTAACAGCCAAGCATTTTCTAACCAAGCAAATCGTGTGGCCATCTGAATTGGTAACAGCCAAGAATTTTCTAACCAGACAAACCATGTTGCCATTTAAATTGGTAACATCCAAGAATTTTCTAACCAGACAAACCATGTTGCCATTTGAATTGGTAACAGCCAAGTATTTTCTAACCAGACAAACCATGCTGCCATTTGAATTCGTAACAGCCAAGAATTTTCTAACCAGACAAACCATGTTGCCATTTGAATTGGTAACGTCCAAGAATTTTCTAACCAGACAAACAATGTTGCCATTTAAATTGGTAACAGCCAAGCATTTTCTAACCCGACAAACATGTTGCCATTTGAATTGGTAACACCCAAGAATTTTCTAACCAGGCAAACCGTGTGACCATCTGCATTGGTAACATCCAAGAATTTCCTGACCAGACAAACCGTTTTCCCAATTTGAATCGGTAACAGCCAAGCATTTTATAACCAAGCAAACCGTGTGGCCATCTGAATTGGTAACAGCCAAGAAGTGTTTGACCAGACAAACAATGTTGCCATTTAAATTGGTAACAGCCAAGCATTTTCTAACCCGACAAACAATGTTGCCATTTAAATCGGTAACAGCCAAGAATTTTCTAACCAGACAAACCATGTTGCCGTTTGAATCGGTAACAGCCAAGCAAACCGTGTTGCCATTTGAATTGGTAACGTCCAAGAATTTTCTAACCAGACAAACCATGTTGCCATTTGAATTGGTAACATCCAAGAATTTTCTAACCAGACAAATCATGTTGCCATCTGAATTGGTAATAAACAATAATAATCATTAGTGAACTAGGGTCTGTTGCAGGGTTTCCCAAACTTTTAAGCACGCTTCTCTTTTCAATATATTAAAATTTCCACGACCCCCATTGACATTCAAAATGCTAAACAGTTCGATGTAAGTGCGGCGTTTCTTGGGTCTTGTGATCAAAGTTGGCATTGTTATTCTCTGATCCTATGTATTCTTTCAAAAAATGCGACCTCCGGTTTGGGATGCCCTGGTGTGTCATATGTCTATTAACCAGCTAGATATCCCAGATGTATGGTCATCTTTGATAAAAAAAAAACTATTGGTTTCGCTGGTTATTTAATGAACTCGTTTAGAAATGAATGATACTCGTACTTTTACTTGAATAATAACATAGATTCTAGTGCAAAAAAACTAATGCAAAACACAAATCTCACGATTTCAAATATGATCGGAGTAGTGGCGCGCTTGCATACCAATGCCGGCTTTGATTGTTAGACCCGATAAGTGGCGTATTTCCAAATCACCCACGGGCCGCACAGGAGTATCTAGCAGGCCGCATGCGTCCCGCGGGCCGCATGTTGTGCAGGCCTGTCATAGAAGGATCTCATTTCAAGAACCATTAATGAAAATTGTCAACTAACGATCATAGGGGCGGGGCACATATTCAGACTATGCCATAGGCACCATTTCATGTAGATCCGCCACTAATTTCAAACTAGATATCGATCGGAGGCCGCGGACTTATCGATCCAACTGGGGTTTCGATTCCTTCGCTTTGACTAAATAGCGACACCACCGTGTTCCATCACAATTAATTCGTAACTTGCTAATTATACAACATAATTCATCCAAAATCAATATGCTTCTGGTCCGAGATATGATACATGTACATGCAAAATTTGGACCAGATTCAACCTCGCGTTTGTGAGATATCGCGGAACATACGAAAGTGTCAAAGAGACAAAAACCTATCAACATACTTACCGATCAAGATCGATAGGTAACTAATATAATTGAACTTTAAGTGATTCAAAGGTTTGACTGCATCTGATAAAACGCATCTTTCATATGGTCATTAACTCTGTTATACCTCAGCCAAAGAGGTGGCAACTTTCTGCCTAGATAGCAAGTATAATTTATCACTTAAGACATACTAGCTTTGCCTATTTAATATTGGAGGTGTCTAATTCTATGCTTTATCTAATCTCAATCAGTAATTTGGAGCAAACACAATACTTTGCAATATATATATATATTATTTAGTTCCTTACTATATTTTTACTTTATTGATAAATGTAGCTATTGTTGTATTCACTGTCGTTTCGTCAATAAAACACGTGAAATATTTGTTTGTTTTTAAAATTTTTGTGAAAGCTGTAAGAGGAGTAGGGTTAAACTTAACTTTTAAAATGTGACATCATAATCCCGTTTTTGGAACTCGTTGAGAGTTAAATTGTTCGAAAATTTCGTTGACGGATTCGGTAATTAATGTGAATCCATGACAAAAAATATGTCCAGATACTCTTATTGGAAGAAAGGATGTAACCAGTGACGGGATTCAAATTTTTTGTCAGCCAGTTCCATCACAAAAGTCATATTTTCAGGCGGTTCTGTTACAAAAAGTCATGTAATGCTAACCGGTTTGCCGATCTCATAAAATTCCGTGAGACGGTTCTATAGAACCGATGCGAACCGGCTGAATCCCACTACTGGATGTAACATAGGTTTCAAGATATCGAAGCGATTAGATAAAATGTCTTGGTTCTATTTAAAACAAATATTAATTGAGATATTATGACTCGATTGCACGACGAAGCGGTGTTGTCTCAACATCAACCGAACGTGTCTCTTTGTTTTTCTTTTGTTGACAGCTTTTCCCAGGTCATAACGCTACTGAAGTTGTTATATTTCGTATGTGTCTAGACTTAGAGCAGGGGTTCCCAAACCAGGGGCGCGACCCCAAAGTGGGTCGGAGTGATAAGTAGGTAGGGTCGCAAACAGGTCATGGGGTCGCTGAGGTATGGTAGAGAATGGATGTACAAATCGACTAAGATTTGATACACCATGTTAAATTTAGCAGTTTGCACCATGGCTTACTGTAAACAGGCCCATAAGCATCGCTCTATGCTTATGTTATAGAAAATGTAAGGTACTTATTGTGACATCACTGTTTGGTTTTACCTTATTTTTTTTTACTTAATAGTAATACCACCACATGACCAAACTCAAAAGTCCAGTAAAAGAAGCTCTAAAGTTTTAAGAAAAATATATATATTGACCTGGGGTCGCACTGGACACTTGAAAGTTGTTTTGGGGGTCGTCCTGAAAAAAGCTTGGGAACCCCTGACTTAGATGAACCATTGGTTTCCTTCAAATTTGCTGGATTATCTGAAATGTTATGAATACTTACAAATATACAGGGTGTCTTAAAAGTAATATACACTTTTAATTTTGATTTGCTTTTCAGGTACTCACCATAGCGCGTTCATTTATTCAGAAAACACAAGATGGATATGTAGTAAAATTAGGTATTGTTTGCATCTTTCATCAACCTACACTAGAGAATGACAATGAGATACATTAACCCAAGAAATGAGGTGCAAAATTGTTGTTTGGCAAGTAGCATATAAATCAGTACGGCAAACTTATCGCCTCTTTAACAGAGAATTTGGAATGTCGGCAAATGTCTTCCTAGTTCAACAAATAATATTCTGTGCTTGAGTAACGTATTTCAATGTTTTGTCGCAGATTTAAACGTTTTAACAAATGTTCTTTATACTTATTTCATTATCACCCACTTTGCGCGGTCAAATTTGTTTCGCGACTCTCAGGAATTAAAATGAAGCTAAACTAATTATCAATAATACAAAAAATATCAAAACAAAATTATTAGAATTGAAAATATCTTTTAAGGGACCGATGTGCTTGCATATTTTCGCACAAAAGATCGAATTTTGGCTCTAAATCGGTGACAGTGGTTTCAGTAGCCTACTGGTTCCAAATATTTGAAACTTAATCGATATTTGTTTTAACATAAGTTAGTATCGCAAAAGATTTTGAGCTTAGCTCTTTCACGGCCCATCGGGGGTTCGGGACCCTTAATTTGAAAAGCCCTGGTTTACCAATAAATGGCCCATACCACTCAAATACAAATTCTTACATTACCGTAGGCGTAGACTGTGAATACCAGCGCGAAATTTGAACGCGTGTGACGAAAGCGTTTAAAGAGGTCGATCCAATAACGCTTGTAATTTTGAAAGCCTTTCCATACAATTTCGTTTCCTTGCTATATCTGGTAAAATAGGGATACTGTCGTAGTATGTGAAAAAATATGACGGACATCGGAACGTAGTATGTGTACCATGTTAGGGTTAGGCCATACTTTTATTCCAATTTTCGTTATTTAAGTTCTATTACGAGTTCGGGATCTAGCCAAGTGACTATTTGTACCTGTAATTATGGCCCAACCCTAACCTGGTACACATACTACGTTCCGATGCACGTCATCTTGGTTAACACACTTCGGGAGTACCCCAAAAATTTGGTAATTGATGTCATGACATGCAAAAGCACAGGTATATGCTTCGTAACGCAAAGAGATTGGAAAAACTCGCACGTAGGGCTGGGAATGGTTAATCGGTTAACCGATTTCAGATGGTTAACGGTTACGATTTAAACTGGTTAATTTTACCCGGTTAACGGTTAAATTTTTTTTTTCCTGAAATTCCCAGCCCTACTCGCACGTACTAGATTTTCCTAAATTTAAAAACTGTTTCGTGGACCAAATACAATTAAAATTGGCTTTTCTCCATTGGCCGCACATTTTTTCTTGTGAGTCATATTTGGTCACACCTCTATAATACAGAAACATCAAAACAGATAGATTCCGATTTGTTAAGGCGTTATAACTTTATCATTTGAAACGGCTAAATTACTGGTACGAAGAAGTGCCATAATATTACGAAAGAAAATACTTTTTCTGCCGTAGGCATAAATTATATGAAACTTGATAATTTATCAGCTGAAAGCCTACACTTGCAAGGCTTGTGTATCATAGAGGATTAATAGAAATAGCATTTTCTATATTTATTTGAGTGGAAATTATTGTAATTTTGGCTTAGCGGTGTGGCACATCGTGCTAAACGTTAGGAATACGCAAGCCATTGCACCTCTGATTACCCTGCATGGGTTTGAATCCCGTGTGGGATAACTATATGTGATAGGATTGCTGGACTCCTCGCGGTACATTGTCTTGCCAAGAGCAGTCGCGCGAATAATCATATGCGAGGGGATTGCTGGACTTCTCACTGCCGTAAGGTGTTTAAACCTTCCTATCGGCTTACACTTGCAAGTCCTGTGTGTAAGTCATAGAGCGGGGCTACTCAACTGGCGGACCGCGGTCCGAATCCGGGGTCTTACGTAGTTTCGTACCTAACGTACTTCTAGTGGGCGTGGCATAACAATTGGATCAGGATTGACATGTCAAAAAATTGTCATGCTACGCCCTCTAGAAAGACGTCAGATACGAAACTGCACGAGACCCCAAATCCGGACCTTTCGAGTATTTGTTTCGGACCGCACCTAATTCTTTATTTCGGATCATTAGTCACATTTTTGAAGTTTCCCTTTATAAAATGTATTTTATAGTTTTGAGTATATATGTATAAAAAGAACTATAACACTATAATAAACAATCTTGATTATCTAATAATCATTAGCCGGTCGAAGAAGAGCGCGTTTAAGGATGCCGATTATAATTTCCGGAAAGACCGGACCAAAATAATTTTAAAGTTGAGTAGCCCTGTCACATAGGATTGATAGAAATAGCATTTGCTATATTCCTGCGTGGAAGAATTATTATATCTATAGCTCAGTGGTGTGGCGCATCGTGCTAAACGTTAGGAATATGCTCGCCACCGCACCTCTGATTATCCTGCGTGGGTTCGAATCCCGTGTGGGATAGATATGTACAAAAAGTAGTTGGACTACTCACATGGGGGTTACGTAACCGCTGGTCGGTTAACGCTAAACGTTAGGAATACGCTCGCCACCGCATCTCTGATTACCCTACATAGGTTCGAATTACGTTTGGGATACTTACGTACGAAAGGATTGCTGGACTTTTCGCAGTCATACGGTGGTTTACGTAAGCGCTGGTCGGTTACGGCTTTTGAATTAGAGATTAGAATATTGGGCGTCGCTGCTCGATAACCAGCTTTCCTTCCCCGGTAAATCTATATAATCATCATTTTCTCGTAATTTGTCCCAGTGTGATATTTTTACTGGTTGGAAAATATAAATTGACTCGACCGCCATCAAGTCCATGCTTCCGTAAACAAGTAACCGGCTAACTAAGCTGTGACCCGACATGGACTGGTAACCAAACGAAAGGCCATGATTCGCCATATGATCAAGTCGTCTTATCGGCTTTCTTATCCCTCAGATTGTTCTTATCCGTGGACGATTGTACATTGCCTTGTTAAAAGCGATTGAGCGTTTAAAAATCAAACGATTTGAAATCTTTTATTCAGATGAGGCTTCATAAGAAAACGCAGGTGTTACATAATAATAAATTATTAGTCTGGATGTTTTTAATAATTTGTTTCACGTTTGTGGTAAAATATGCAACATTGAAATATTACCGATGCAAAAGGACATCGACTACAGAGAAAGGCATGGATGAGCGACTTTTCACAGGTGTAGAAATCAACGATAAGTTAGCAGGATATAGTAAACAGCAAAAAGCTGAATGTGGGATATTACAACATGATAAAAATAGAAATCAAAAAATTGAAACAAAGAATTTTAATGACGATGAATTTCCGTACAAAAAACTTGAAGTCGATGCAAAAAATTTACAAAATGTTTCAGACATACCAGACGAACTAAAACGTGTTTTATCGAAACTTTTGCGACGAAGTTACGAGACAGAATCGACAATTCCGTGCGAGTATGGATATTTTAGAATGGATGGAATGGAAAAATGCCAGCCATGGCTTGGATGCAAGGAAATTAAGGATGAAAATATCTTGAAAGAGGGGGAGCATATAGGAGGTGGAAAGGGGAAAATAGTAAGTATGCAATGCTTTTTATCGCCCAGTCAAGGTTTCCAAAAACGTAGCTCTGATCACCGCACGCAGGGGAGGGGCAGCAGATGTTGTTCTCGACGTGTTCTTATTTTAAGTAAAAACTGACATTAAAGGAATAGTCTTTATATGACTGATTGATTATCAGGCTTGTTTTATTGGCAATATCCAAGACGGTTGACTAAAATACAAATGAAACAACAATGTTCTGGTAACTCGACGACATGCCGTGATTCGCCTTAATTTAATTAAGCCACCTAATCCGCTTTTCTCTTTCCCGCGATGAATAGGAAAGTGGCATCCTTATACATAAAGTGTTCTTTGTTCATGTCGAGTATGGAAAGAGGGAACAAAGACCCCGCCACCGCTCGAATAAAAAAAATAGTAATTATCCAGTTGGAGTCAGAAATGCAGAATGCGGTGGAAATTCTAACTTAGGATAGGATAGGATTTACATATTTATCCAGTGGGAGAGGAAGGCCGATAAGACGGCTTATCCATATGGCGAACCACGGCCTCTCGTCCGGTTACCATTCCAAGTCGGGTATGGGATTAGGTATATTATTTGTTTTCGGAAGCATGGACTTGGTGGTGGAGGAAGCCGTAACCGACCAGCGGTTACGTGAACCACCCAACGACGGCGAGGAGTCCAGCAATCCTCTCGCACATAACCATCCCTGCATGGGATTCGAACCTGCGAACCAACGCAGAGTAATTATAGGTGCGGTGGCGAGCGTATTCCTAACGCTTAGCTCGTTGAGCCACACCGCCGCGCCACGTGGCGTTTTTCCCGAATGTCACATTTTTGCATTAGCAGCGAGGGTTTTCTGCAGAAGATAGTTGATCAGTAATCTGTATCAGATACATGGACTTGGTGGCAGAGGAAACCGTTATCGACCAGCAATTGCAAGAACCACCTTACAGCGGCGGAAGTCCAGCAATCCTCTCGCACATAATTATGTCCGCGCGCTTGTGTGGGGTAATCAGAAGTACGACGGCAAGTGTATTTCTAATGCTTAGCACGATGCGCCGACCGTCGATCCAAAAAGTGTACGATACGCGTTATATGTGTTAACAGGTTCGTTCTGGACTTCTCTACAACAAGTATGAACTTGCCATTGTCAAAAACAGAGAAAGAGAGGAGATTAGTAATAGAGTGATGAAAGGAAACCGGAATCTACTGATGCTTCAGCCTTCGCCATACGTTATACAGGTTAGTTTTTGTCTTCAAAGTGGTAAGGTTGGCAAGTCTTTATGACTAAGAAAATAACGTTACCAGATTTTTAGCGTCGCATAACTGATAGGAGTGTTGCCATATTTTCAGAGCCGCGTGACTGGTGAGTGTTTCGCCAGATTTTCAGAGTCACGCGGCTGAAAAGTATGTTGCCAGATGTTCAGAGTTGCGTGAATGTAAAGTGTGTTGCCAGATTTTTAGAGTCACGCGGCTAAAAAGTTAGTTGCCAGATTTAAAGTTACCTAACTGGGGAGTAACAATTTGAAATTTTTTAAGTGGAAGCGTGGATATTCAAGATTTGGCGTTTAACAACCTGGTATATTCTAATAGTTCCATTCGAAATCAAAATGAATACTGAAACAAACACAAATATTCAAACTGAATATCGTTACTATTCTATAAGCTCAAGTTTTTACACACAGCTTCTTACATGTAGTTTAACTCGGTGATTCCTAAACTTTTTAAGCCGCGCCTCCTTTTTTAGAAATTGCTCGCACCCACCTCGAAAAGAACCCAACAAATAAGAGAAAGTAGATCGAAAATATGTCCTTTTCAAATACGTGGATGGAACGTAAATAACTAAATAATGCGGGCAAGATCAAATCACAAATTTTTTTATTAGGTTCACGCCCTCTCAAAATATTCTCTACGAACCTTTTTGCGGGGCGCGCCCCTCGTTTGAGAACCACTGGAACTAGTCAGTTGCTCTATTCATAGCGCCTTATTTGGAGCAAAATGCGTGAATTAGCGTCGTATTAAGAATCAGAAAACATTTTTTTTATTTACCCTGAGGTCTTTTCAGAACAATTCAAGTTTTGTCTTTTTAAATTAAAAGAACTCAAAAACTTGGGGTGTTTAGTTAAAGTTGTCATAGAAACGGTAAGCAGGGAATTAGGATCTGCATTCATTTTTTTCGCGAATGCCTAAACCAATGGTTTTCAAACATTTTAATCACCTTTTAGATTTTCCCAAGTTTTGCGCCCACCTCAGAAATAACTAGTTAATATTAAGCTACAAATAATATATAGTAAGGCGAAAGTATGTTTTATTCAAATAGCGCGTTGAAAATACGTGAATGGAACGTAAAAATCCAAATAAAAAGTGTTAATAGTCAGAATAGGGCGGGCAAGATCAAATCTAACAATTATTAAGCTTCACTCCCCATCAAAAAATTGTCTACGCCCCCTTGTGGGGAGAGCCTCACCGTGTGAGAACCGCATGAAATTCTCTACTTATACATAGGGCTGGGCATTTTCGAATACCTGATGATTTCAGGATCGAATCGAATAATTTTTTCGAATCGAATCTTGAATACTTGGAAGGTATGAAATTGTATGTAACTTTCTTATTATTTTAGGTCCTCCAGACACTTGAATTACTGAAAACATAGAATACATCACTGACAATAAAAAAACACGCTTTCATCAATACCTCAATACAGAAAAGAGTCATATGTCAGAATTGTGTTAAAAAATATGGCTTCAATAAGAAAAAAATTAAGAAATTTACCTCGATCATTGGTGGATTGAGGTAAACAAGATGGCGGCGATTCGAAAATTTGCTCTAAACCGATTTGAATAATTTGCTATTCGATTCGAAATGCCTAGCCCTACATATACAAATGTTTTCTCAGGTTATAGGCTTCTGTGAAGAGCCACCCAACTCAACAGTATTAACGGAATCGTGTGAAAAATGCGCAGATTTGAATAAGATACTTAAAAGGGGTCAACGCAGTTCCAGCAAAAGGTACAGTGGTCAGCAAAGATTTGAATGGGCAACGAAAATCGTTGGTGCGTTCGATTATTTACACCATGGACTCGGGTTGCCGAGGCTGCACTGTGATCTCCATTTTCTGCCACAGGTAAAACAGAATTTGTATTTTTTAACCCGCTAGAGCAAGTGTGGCCAACACGTCGATCGCAATCGATCGGTCGATCGCCACGTCTCGAGTAGTCCGATGTCTGATGTCGAGTAAATTTAATAACATGCCCCCCTTGAGCAAGTTTCATGCAGCGCCTGTTGTGTTTTAAAACAGATCGAATACAATGCAGTACATGCGCAAAATGCAGGCTGTTTATCTCAATTGTATGACTCAAATAAATCCCAAATAAACGATAAAAATTGTTTCGGGTGAATTACAAAATCACATTGAATATAACATAAAAACTGTATTATCGCGCTCTGGAACTTATTTCAAAATAAGTCTCTTCGATATTTCTTGTCACCGCAGGCATTCAATCAATTCATCGTTACCAAAGACCATTCTTTATTCATGAGTGATGTAGACGAGATACCACAGGTGGACAAGAAGAATGGGGAATACGCTACATGCCAGTAAGTTGGAGTAGTTTCCTAATTCTTGCGTAATAAATAGCACACTTACCTTTTAAACTTGACTATTCCCTCATTCATAGTATATATACGGTATCATGACTCAAGAGGGTTGTATTTACGTCCAAATTTTATTTTTATGTACACATGCAGTGTATTTCGTGTTGTGTCTCTATTTACAGATGTTGTGTTGTCTTATTCTTTTGTACAAACAGATGTTACCATACCCTCTTTGCACAACTGTCTGTATAAGGGACCATATCATACCTATTTGATTTATTGTATTTTATATTTATCAAAAGGGGTGCATGTCGCGCATTCGTGTTTTAGGCCAGTATGGTCTTGCGCGTACATCCCGTCTTCAATATAGATAATTAATTAACAACCCTTGTATATTCTCTTTACGAGACGAATAAACATTCATACATACATTCTAGAAACTAATCATCCCGCTGTATTTGAAATTGGAAACTAGCAAACAGGGGAGGCCTAAACTAAATAATCTAATCCGAGTATATTCTAAAATTATATTTCGAGTATGGTATAATTTTTTATACCACGATTGGTCTTCAAAAAATGCCAAAATGTGTCAGATTCTCACTCCTGATGTCGCTTCCGTCTATTGGGTCGATCTGATTGAAGTCGACACCACATGCTTCGAGGTTGGTGGGCCCCACAATTCTGATTAGGGTGGCGGTTCTTACAATGGCGGCCGAATTAATCCGAGCGATAATAAGACGCGGAGGTGTGGCGCATCGCTCTAAGCGTTAGGAATACGGCCGCCACCCCACCTCTGATTACCCTTCGTTGGTTCGAATCCCATGTGGGGATGGTTATGTGCAAGAGTATCCTCATCGCCGTAGGGTGGATCACGTAGCCGTTGGTCGGTTACGGCTTCCTCTACTATCAAGTCCATGCATACGAACCAATCCCATACCCGACATGGAATGGTAACCGGATGAGATGAGCTATAAAGTTAAGCCGTCTTATCGACTTTTTTCTCCCCGATAAATTTGACAAATCCTATACATGTAAAAATGACAAATTTAGACAAATCTAACGATTTATCCAACTTTACAGTCGGGAGATAGGAGGAATAATGAAACAGCCTCATTTCATACCACCTGAGCAGAGATACACAGCCAAGGAATATAAAAACAAAGAGCCTTGCAAACCGGTCGATGAAAAATCTGATATTTGGAAGATTCCTGACATTACAAGAAAATTAATGGAAGGATCAAAAATGAAAGAATTGTTAATGAAAAAATTAGAAATTATTCATCAAAAATGTAAAAATTTGGACCCAAAGTTAAGGCCAATAGCAAGAGATGTTTTTATTGAGTATTTGAAAGTTTTGAAAGAGTATCAAACATGAAAGATGTACGAAAGATTTAGCAAATCCAAATTAACTTCTAATACACAATAAAGAGGTTGCGAGCAATTAATTAATGGATAACCCACTGAAAAGAGTTATAACTTTGGCCGTTATTGGGTAGACTTGACCAATTGGACACAATCGGAAAGTTTCAAAAGTGTTTCAAGCGTGACAAGCAATAACAGATGAATGATTTAGCAAATCCATATTATTCTCTAATACACAATGAATGGAGAAACAGCGAAAATGTACCCCGCTGCACATGGCATCAACTTGAGAACAATATTAATCAGTGTTTGGGAGATTTGAATCACCATTCAGCAAAGGCTAGAGGGCGCTCCCGGAGTATGTGTACCAAGATGACGCACAACCTGAACTCTAACCTTGTACACATACTATGTTCAGTCTGTGCGCCATCTGGAGTTATCTTAATGAAATGAGTCAGCAAATAAAGATAGTCCGATGAACAGGAATATAACTTGCGCCGGGATTGAACACACTTGACTAATTGACTTGGTTGGAGTTGTGCTCAAGACACGGAAACAATCAGTAAGTTTTTTCGTGTTGCACCAAATTATCAGGGAAAAAAACTCACGTCGCACGGACACGGTAAAAAAAATGTTGCCTCTAAATAAAACTCAATTTTGTCATAGGTATTGTGTACTTTATGCTTTTTAAAGTTTGTAAACATGTAGGCCCAGTGCGCCGCGGCGCACACTCTCAGAACCGCTAATTTTTCAAATACAGCTCTATCTCTAATGCACAAGGAATGAGGCGGCAAGCAACAAAGAGATAAAGCGTTGAACCGGGCTATAACTCGGGCCGGTGTTAAGCAGACTTGATTGACTCTACTTGAGTTAAACCGAAGGCGCCATTCATTAGAGACTAAAAAGTCAAAGTCGACTACGCATCTTTCGGACCCGCACAGTTTGCTGAAGTTTTCATTGTTTCACATTTCAAAATTATTGCCTAATTTTATACCGTGTATGTTTATTTAATGATGTTCTCAAACTGATTTTGGAGGACGGGTGTGTACTAGTAAGTTTTTTTTTTAACTTTGTCTGTAAATTATGCCCATCCTCCAGGCCCTCTGCACTCTGTTTGTCGGTTTGTTGTTGTTTTGTGCTATGTCAAAGTGACCATAATAAAATTGTTTGATTGACTGAAGTCACTCTAGTCGTGTAAATGAAATTACTCGTACTCAATTAGGTGTTTTAATTTATTAGCAATGATTATTAACGAAGATCAAATTAGCCGCCGTGGGGTGGTTCATGTAACCTTTGGTCGGTTTAAGGCTTTTTCCATTGCCAGGTCTTTGCATTCAGGTGAGAATCAGATATGGCATATGCAAAGACTGTTACGCCAAGTCCAATATACAGGGAGTCCTCGGGTTACGACGGTCGCGACTTACGCTGTTTAGAGGTCACGAACGCACTCCATAAAAAATGTAAAAGATAATGCTGTACTGTACAGTATTTGCTTTTATTCATGTGATATGGAATTGTTTTCTTTTTTTTTAATGAAGTACTCTTTTGCATTATTTGTACATTTTATTACAGTACCATACATTACAATACAGTACGATATGTATAAAGTGATTTATGAACTGTACAGTATAATGTTCCGACTTACACTGAAATTCGGGTTACACCGCGTCTCGAGAACGTAACAACGTCGTAAGTCGGGACTCCCTGTAAGTACTTGTGGTATTTAACTGCATTAGACCCTGATCAGATTTAGATATTTATTTCTGCCGTGCATGAAATATTGTGCATAAAAACATGAAAAATAAATCAATTGAGAGATATAAAAATAACAGAAATACAATAATTCAACTGCAATAGACGTGGGGCCGCGAATAAGCTATAAAGTTAACGTGTCAGCGACAACAAAATGACAAGACGCTGCATCTGGATTAAAAACTTGTTGAATATTCCCGGTCGACATAGACTTGTGACCAGGTGAGAGGCGGGGTTCCTCGCATTGTTACGTTCACTTTCCCTCCCCGGGATAAATGTGAAAAAAAAAAATTTCTCATCAGTCCTTTGTCAATGATATTTAACTATCTTGAGTTCTTATCTAACTCGAATATTTGTCTAGGCGAAAATGGTGTTTAAGGTGCCATTTTTACGCCATCGTTGACTTATTGCTGATTGATCATTGGTACGGAAATGAACAAGGAAATCGGTGCTCTGAGAAACATTCATGGCATATAGCATATCCCCATTATGCGCATATTTCATATTCTGGCGTCACAAAGTATATTATTGAACACAAAGTGTGGGGCTCCCGAAGTATGCGAACCAAGATGGCGGACATCGGAATGTAATATGTGTACTAGGTTAGGTTCAGGCCATAATTTTAGGTATAAATACTACGAGAGGCACTTGGCTAGTCTTCTAACTCATAGTAGGACTAAAATAAGGGAAATTGGAATAAAATTATGGCCTAACCCTAACCTGTTACCCATGCTACGTTTGGATGTCCGCCATCTTGGTTCGCATACTTCAGGAGCACCCAAAGTGTAATTTTGTGAATGTCGTTATTGTTTTATTGTATTTTTTATCACGATTTCCACAAGCTTGAAGCCTGATTCGAGAGCATCCATCTCGTTGTGTTTTTTTTACTTATATTATATACCAGGGTATGCAGTCTTCAATGCAGATGGGCCAGATACAAATAACTGGGTGAAACCGCGATCCTCACCGTCGGTCAACGTTGGCTTTTCAATAGCAGTCACAAAATGTTTGGTTTTTGATCTTGTGACTCGCGTTGTTCGTTTTGCACAAGCTCAAGTATACGCTTTGCAACGCAAAGGAATTGGAAGTACGTACCAAGTACGTAAATCAAAAACTCGCTTCGGGGCGCACACCATTCAAAATTGGCTATTGGCCACGGGCGCACAATTTTCTTCTGTGGGCCGCAGGTTGCACATCCGTTCTATCACAAGGTGAGATTGTCCATGGATTACTTTTGTGTCACATGTTCATGTTTTATGAATTTATTTGTGTCCTGTACGTTTGCCTTGTGTATTGTCTGTTTTTTTTTACAATATGACGAATCTTAAAATAAATTATGTCATCTTAATAGATGACTAGTTTTTTTTTAATTCCATAATATACACTAATTTAAATGGAGTATTCTGGAAATTGAGCAAAACTATTGAAAAAGTTTAAAACATGAGAAATATCATTTGCCCGCAACAAACACACAAAATCATAAACCTAGTTAAACAAGGCCAAGACAAATATGGCGACTATCTAAACCAGGGGTTCTCAACCTTTTTTTCTGTCAAGTACCCCCCCGAGTCACGAAACAATCAACGCGAACCCCCGGTAGTCAGACGCCGAACAAAGTTGTGATATACTTAGGGTTACCATATTCTTGTGACTTCAAATCGGGACGCCTCGAAAGACAACGACCCCTTAGCTGTGATTTTATAACTTCACATTTTCCGATTTTACTACATAGGCCTACATTCCTACATTTAAAGCTGTCTCGGCTGTCTTTATTGACTATATTGTTATCGAAATTTCATGCGCATATTCTCTGTCAAAATATCGGGTTCAGTTCGAAAAATAGGACTTTTGGCTGACTTATTGGGACGGCGGGACAAAACGATGAAAAGCGGGACTGTCCCGCCTAAAGCGGGACGTATGGTAAGACTAGATATACTGATATATTAACTAACAATTTGTTGCAACACCAATTTATTGACCATATGTAACTAAATTAAATCGTCATGTTGATATTATTGCCCTTGTCGTCCGCCTAACTAATGAATTCCTAAAATCTCTTCCAAGTTACAATAAGCATAATCACTTCTCCAATGCTCGTAGCACGCTGTCTTTAGAGATTTCACAGTTTGTACGCAAAGCCTTGAATTTTACATTGTTGCGTCATAATCACAACAACGCACGATCAGGGAAAATCTACGTTTCAATCGGCGTCTAGTTTCAATGAACACGCATTTTTTCATGGTAGTAATAAAAACAGCAACATACAAAACATCGACTGTCATCCAAGTACCCCTGTAAATCTTCTCGTTAACCTCTGGGGGTTCGCGAACCCCAGGTTGAGAAACCCTGATCTAAACAATAACTTATACACAGGCGGGAACAAGGTAATTTCTTTATCGTTCATAGAGTTCTTTTCTTTGGTAATGTGATAAGATTCGAGAAAAAGTCTTCTTCTGTAATGAGTTTTATTCTCTAGTATCCTGCTGTTTTCCCAGTCAATTCTGTGATCTGTAGGAAGAGCATGTTTTGAGAGGGCCGACTTTTCAGACTTCTTTTGTTTGACATCTCGCTGGTGTTTATTTCTTCGGGTTCCATGAAGTTTTTCTGAATGGAATTCGAAAGACGGTAAATTAAATGTTTTGCTAACACCGGTTGTGCTTTATTTATCATCGATATAAACCTGGTGGCAATAATGCGCTGTTGCACTTGTTCTTGTTGCTTTTCTCTGCTGCTAATTGACCTATCTATTTCAAACTTTCAGTCCTTGGCGAAGTTTAGCGTGGAGTGAGTACAATTACTTTTTAATATCTTGCTGAGCTCAGGACTACTGATTATCTCGAGTGGGATTGCTGCTGATTTATTGCCGTGAATGCTAGACACGGCGGTGTAGCGCATCGTACTAATCGTTAAGAACACGCCCGGCACCGCACCTCTGATAACCCTGCGTGAGTTTGCAGGTTCGAATCCTTGTTGTGTGCGAGAGGATTGCTGGACTTCTCGCCGCCGCAGGGTGGTTTACGTAACCGGTTACGGCTTTCTTCACCATCAAGTCCATGCTTCCGAATCTGAGTAACACCCCATACCCGATATGGACTGGTAACCGGACGAGAGACCGTGGTTCGCCATATGGTTAAGCCGTCTGATCGACGTTCCTCTCACCCGGGATAAATAGTATTTTAGCTTTATTCTCGCAGCTACGCGGTGGTTCAGCAAACTTCAATCGATTAGTTTTCAAAAGTCTTGTATCTGTGCATCGAAACATATTGAACCGACAGACTCATACCCGAACTGTGAATGTGATTTGCCAACACGTTTCCCTCGATACTTTTTGGCGAATCTTTTGATTATCAGTGTTAGGTAGAGGTCAGAGGACCCCAAACGCAGTGGCGTGTTTTTGTCATTAGTTCTCAAACTTTATCTATAATTTGCCACAAGCCATATCACAATGACGAATCAGTTTTGCTTCAATTTATCTCTGTTACATAGGCTACTTCATTGGATTGATTCCTTACATGGGGAATTAGTGCAGGCGCTGCTACAATTGCCATTCGTCGTCTGGCGACAGAGGAAACGTCTTCCTCCAACCAACAAATAGGCCAGAATATAACTTTCTTGCCTTATACGCATCATTAAATTAATGCCAAGCTTCGATCAAGAATTTTTTTTTCATGATGAAACTATGGATGACATCCTTCAAAAATCTATAATGGTTTAATTATATTTAATTAATTAGATGTGTTTTTGCACAGGTTTCTGTGCCAAAATCTATAATTGTGTCAAATTAGCTGAAAATCATGATAGGGTTTTAAAATCCCCTGTTGTAATGTTAATTTTGTTTTACAAAAATTTGGTAACTTGGAGACGAGTCAATTGGAGTTTTGGCAAAATGGTGGCTTGACTTCTCCCAGCCCTTGCAACGTTTCTCACATTACGGAAACCAGTGACTGATGTAATTGATAAATTCTATTTACGTTAAAAATAGACCAGAAGTGGGCACTTAATTAAAGAAGATACCAAAGACACATACCCCAGGACATGGTTAATCACGACCTGTGGTCTATATGGCGGCCCAATAGTAGTAATTGACGAAAATTGTATTCCTATTGGTCAGACCTATTCGAAGGGTATATGGCGTTTTTAGAACAGGTAAACTCCCCTATTCTCTCCTGACGTTGCCAAATGTTAAAATTAACACAGCATACAGCGAAGCATTAAACCGTGTGTAGATAATTTTTAAATACAACAGCAACATCAATATAATCACAGTAGACAAATTTAAATATGACAATCGGAAATATCGAATGTACGTTTTCCTCACATTCTTCATATAACTGTCATATTGGTAAAATGGCATGTCAGACCTATTGTCTATTTCAAAATGTCGCGACTTAACACCACAGACAGCAAATCATTAAAGTGTCACAGTAGACAAATTTAAATAGGACACTCGGAAATGTATTAATGTGGCACAACTTTTTTCTTTACATTCTTCCTGTAGTTTGTCATATTGGTAAAAAGACATGTCATGATATATGTAAAAAAAACAGACTTATTGTCTATATCAGGGTTTCCCAGTGGGTCCGCAACGATATCAAAGGGGTCTGTCTGTTCGAACATTAATGCATTTTTTTGGCTGAGCGGTGTGGACGAATATCCATTGCTGTCAGAAAAGGCAATTAAAATTTTATCGCGTTTTGCAACACCTACATGTGAGGCAGCATTTTCAGCTTTTACCAGACTTGCTGTAGAGACAGACAGACGAGTTTGCTTGTGACAAATTGCTAAGCTAATTGATGAATTGTGCACGGCACTGAGGTCCGCCAAAACTAAGATTTACAAATGGAGGACACAGCCTAAATAGTTAGGAAAGAAACCCTTGTATATATATATGTATATGTATAACCCTTGGCAAAAGATTCAAATGACGATTGGGAATAATATATATACCCATCACTCTTCCAGCCAGCTTTCTGTATAATGACCCTTGCGCAGGAATGACGATTTATACCTCATATCCTTCCCTTTTGAGAACCCAAATGTATATAATGTATTAGATACAACAGCAACATCAACATATTCACAGTAGAAGGTTAAATATGACACTCAGAAATATCAAATACGACATTCGGAAATATTAAATACAACACTCGATAATATGAGATGTACTACAGCGTTTTTTTGCTCCTATTAATTCCTATGATAAAAAAATTTGCATACAATGGTAAGTTTTGATGGCATGAGAGAATAGACGAAACAACCTGTTCAATAGTGATAAGGACTATATATCTGCTTATTTCTAACCTGCTCCATATGGCAGACAAATAAGGGCTACGAATACCGCCTATATGGGCACGGCGGTGTGGCTCAACGGGCAAGCGTTAGGAATACGCTCGCCACCGCACCTCTAATTACTCTGCGAGGGTTCGCAGGTTCGAATCCCATGCAGGGATGATTATGTGCGAGAGGATTGCTGGACTCCTCGCCGTCGTTGGGTGGTTCACGTAACCGCTGGTCGGTTACGGCTTCCTCCACCACCAAGTCCATGCTTCCGGAAACAAACAATATAACTAATCCCATACCCGACTTGGAATGGTAACCGGACGAGAGGCCGTGGTTCGCCATATGATTAGGCCGTCTTATCAGCTTTCCTCTTCCCCGGGATAAATATGTAAATCCTATCCTATGGCAGCAAATAAACCCTATGTTGAAGACTGGCACCAGTACATGACTATTCTTAGTATGATGTCCACGTGGCAACTGTCTACAGCAGTGGCTCTTAAAGTTGAATGACCGGGGACAAAATTAGAAACTGATGGATATTGACCGGAGTGCCCACAATGTGCCGATACCAGTACGTATATTTTCGATACCAAACTTACTCAAGTTCGGAGGGCCATATTAAATCGCTAGGCAGGTGTAATTGGCCAGTAAATCGGGACTTATAAGCCACTCGTCTACAGCGAAGGTTATACAAAACGCCCTTTCAAAAAAAGAATCTCACTCATGCATAACAATAATGGGAGCTCCCAAAGTATCTTCACCAAGATGTCGCACAATCTGAACCCTAATCTGGTACAGTTCAGGTTGTGCGCCATCTTAGTGCACATGTTCCGGGAGCTCCCAATAATGTGTGAAACACATAACTTAACAGCAGGGGTTTCCTTACAATCAATTTGTAAAATAGGGTGCTACCCCGATTTAAAGTAATGTTCACTTTCGAATAAATCCTCAATCCTCCTTATTTGAATTTTCTTCAATTTCTTGCTTCCGAGCACATTTTTCTACAATGGAATCAAAATTTCGGATGAATGCGAGACCGACAATTCGAAACAATCCAAGAAGGGTTCCCTGGATCAAAGCTGATAATGTTGAATTGCAAGGAGACATTCCTGAAGTTATTTGACCTGGAAAAGATGTGAATATGTATTTTAACGAGAATGAAAGATTCGGTATTCCCGAAGTATGTGAACCAATATGGCGGACATCGTAACGAGTATGTGTACCAGGTTAGGGTTAGGCCATACCTTTATCCCAATTTTTCTTATTTTAGTTTTATTATAAGTTCGGGGACTAGCCAAGTGACTCCTGTAATATTTGTACCTGATATTATGGCCTAACCCTAACCTGATACACATACTACGCTCCAATGGCCGCCATCTTGGTTCACATACTTTAGGAAGACCAAATATCCAAATTCTGAGTTTTGGCAATGTTTCGAAGCAGTTTTATTTGAAAAATTAAAAAATACCGTATTTGCTCGTTTTGTAGCCCGGGCCCATATTTTTCTAACCAAACTCACTAACTGGGCCCTTATTCAAACCGGCCCTTATTCAAGCACGGGCGCTTGTTATTTTTAAAGTAAAATTATACACAAAAATTACGGTAAAAATTTGAAGACAAATATTTGGCGACATTAATCCTTTTTCCATGTCAATTTATTCACGTCAAACGCAAAATATTCACATCTTTTCTATGCACCGCAGGTACAAATCCACAAAAGAAGAAAAGATTTGCGACGCGCTATCGATATTGAAACGACACACTTGGGCGTCGCGAGGCCCAGTCTGAGAACCACGGTGTTACCTAATCAATGCTATCTGTTATGTAATTGGACGCCTAGGGCGTTGGGGTTATCTACCAGCGCTTAAAATTCAACAGCGTTGTGACAAAAGCACTTCTTATTTCTTGTTCTCTACCGCTGGAAAATCAGCTTTTACATCGGGCGGGTATTCAAGCACCGACCCTTATTTATTTTTATGTTCTGTTCAAACAGGTCCTTAATCAAGATCGGGCGGTAAAACGAGCATATACGGTAAGTGAATAAGTCGCCAAAAAAATCTCATTCAATTTGTAAAACTACAAAAAAGAGAACGCATGGCCTAATCGCATATAGCAAACAAATCTTGAATCCCTTATGATAGTTATCATTACTCTTGCTTCAGCATCCTTGCATTATATGTATACAAATCCACTGACATAAAAGAAGGACAAGTAGTTAGCCCAGCAGAAACCATATTATCATTAGCGCAATTCAAATTTGATATTTCAAACTCCGAATTTTAGGGATAATTAGGAATAGTTTTATTGAGAAAATTTAAAATTTGAGCAAATAAAATGCATCGCAGAGATTCAAAATTGAACACATTCAATATTTCAATTCTGGTTTCTGGTGATTGGGAAGAATAGGAGCAAAATACATTCTTCTTATTTATTTGACTCTTATTGGATTTAATTATTATCACAATTAAAATATCCCATCTCCCACTTGAGGAATTTAAAATTTGAACGCCTGACTCCATCTCCAACGAAAACCCGTTGAAACCCTCCAACGAAAACCCACACCTACCTAATAAAAATCCTTCCAATCCTATTGTGCTCAAGAATTCCCCTTTTATTGCATCACAAACGATTCTTTTAGCAACAGAATCTGCGGAATGAAGACCTGAGGTCTCAGATATTATTTTGGTCTCTTCTGGTTTCAAATCACCTGGTCAAAAAATTAAGAATTTTATTCCTTATTTTTAGGGCACTTTTCTTTAAACAAGGTTCTAAATATGACATGGTCAAACTGCAGCCGGTGAGTCAAATCTGACCCGTTGGGTAATACAGTTTGGCCCGCTTGATTATGGATAAATTTAGTTTTGGCACGGGGCTTCTTTTTTTCACTTTTGCTTTTGTAACACTGTTTTTACGCCACACTGTTTTTATGGTCCCTCAGTTTAATTGGGCAAAATTTTTGGCCCCCCCGTCATAAAACTGCCTACCCCTGTTCTAGATAATGGCCCGGCAACTTTTTTCATACCAGGGGCAAAATCGCCTCAGGACATTCACAGCTAAGTGGTAAAGCAGGCAGGCGCTAAGACAAATCATCTGCAGAGGCCTTGTACTGTTGATTGCGATTTCATAACTTATAAATCATATATCAGTAGTTCTCAATGGTGGGACGCAGCCGACAAAGGGGCGTAGATAATTTTCGGCGCTCCCGAAGTATGTGCACCAAGATGGCGCACAACCTGAACCCTCCCTGGTACACATACTATGTTCAGGATGTGCGCCATCTTGGTGCACATACTTCTGGAGTGCTCATTTGTTTGAAGTAAATTGATTATGATTCGTTCAATACTTTGATCATAATTCATTTATTATTTTGCTTTCATTTGTTGGCTTGTGACATAATGTGTTAAAAAAAGAACTTGATGTTCTTATTGAAGAGCGTGGTACACAAAAGTGGCCATCAGTAATTTGGAAGTGACAGGGAATCATGAAAAAGACTAATTGAAACGTGTTGAAAGCAGAAAGAAATAGCAGGGTGCCGCAAAAATATATAACAACAAACCTTCGTTCTCCATATGGAAGCCGGGTGTGTCTGTATCAGGTGGGAAAGCCATTGTCACTGCCATGTTATGTGGCTTCACCTGAAAAGAGAAATAGCCTCATAAGAGAATCTAGAAATTTTACGGAAGTTGTGAGAATAGTGGAAAGAATATTTTTCAAGGCTGGCTCGTCAAAGCAAGATCTCTTCAACTTATCCAGAGTCTCTGATTAAGTTGAGTTACCATAATTATGTGTCTTTAGTACCAAGTAAATCACTGCACTACATTACAAAGCGAGTCTAAGTTATTTCGTTCAGATATATATAGGGTTCAGATCAGTGAAGTTGATTGGCCTGGGGCAATAATTAGAAGCGGAATATTATTCATGGGTGGGCCTACGTTGTACAAGGGACCGGTATGTATAATTAAAATACCAGTTTATATTAAATTGTTACAAATATACAGTGCTTAAACTGTGGTGATGACAACAATTGGCGATATCTAGAACGCAAAAAGGTAAAACATAAAGTTTTGAAGTTTCACGATCCTTATTAAATTGTTACATCGGCCATGGTTTGGGGACTACTGGTTAAGATGGTTTGAGTCACTTTTAGTCTTTGTAACATGTGGCCTGAATCGAATCAATTCATGTCACCCAAATGAAAATACAAAATCAAGAATTAGCAAGTCAAATATACCCAATTTCAGAGGTCCAAATTTTTTTTTAGGAAGTCCGCTCAAAGCAAGATGGTATATACTCACAAAGTATTAAAGAAACTGATCTTAAAGCAAAGTTAAGAGCGACCACTATAGTGGTCCATTAGTATTTCTTGCAAGCACTATTGCACTTGCACAACTAAATACGTCCGGAACCAGTTACGGTAATTAAAAGAAGCACCACCAAAAGTAGCCAATATCCATTTTAACAATAAGAAAATGTAACACCTTTTTCTATCTAACAATTTTGTATTCTCTTTCTTTAATTTTCGTTCGAACTTTATTGTGGAATACGCAGTTTCAACACTATTTTTCTTTCCTTTCACTTACCGTAAATGTGGTTGTAAATATCTAAACTAATAAAAATAGTGCACTTGCAAAGTTAACATACCTCCATATGCAAAGTCTCAGCCAACCCTCTCAATGCATATTTAGAAGCGGAATAAGCCGTGTATCCAAATACTCCAAGCTGTCCTGCTTGCGAGCTGGTGAATATGATTCGACCTGTAAAGAATAGAATCCCATATTTACAAGAGAGAATTCAAGAAAAAGGCTTGATTTCCAACTAGGCTGCATGTTTGAGGAAAATTTACAAGGTCAGCGTTATTCGAAAGGTGACAAGAGGAAAGGCCATGGTTTGTCACATGATTAGGCTGTCTTATCGGCTTTTCCTCCCCCAGGATAAATATGTAAATCCTGTCCTATCGAATATCCTGATCCTATCCTGATTCGAATACAACTCGGAGTCATAAAAAGTTTAAAATAATTTCAAATTGGGATTGACTGAAACTGTTATTTTAACTCAAATAACAACGTACAAGTATGTCAATTCAAAAATAGTCATTATAAATCAGGGGTGGCCAACCTTTCACATACCATGCGCCACGTTTTAAACATAATGTTTCAGATGCGCCGTAAATCTCTTGTATTCCCACGCCTAATGTCCTTTTCTTGTTGAAATTATATAAATTTATAATACACACACATATATACACACGTATATGTAGTTTTTACAATTTACAACTTCACATGAATAGAAATTAAGCAAGGAAGTATAATAAATAAAACTTTGAGCATTACGCAATAAAGCTGTTTTCAACAACGAAGAGGATCAATATTTATACTTCATTTATTTTCCTGTTAAAGATGTAATGCGCCACCCCTAATCATGCAATGCGCCACGTTTGGCGCATGCGCCATAGGTTGGCCACCCCTGTTATAAATTGTCAAACAACTATCAAGGCAGTGCATTTTCAGACAGTGCCATTTTACGTAGATACGCCACTGATCTAGGGGGGGGGGGCGTCTTATTGGGTGACTATATCTATTTTCTTTTTTAGAGGTTGGTTTATTTTTCCATGAGTCTTCTCGAGCATGATTTGCGTAATTTTTATATCTGGATTGATATATTTTATAATGTATTTACGCCAAAGTGTCTGCCAAACACGTCTGGAGCTTCTTTGTTCTCAGATTTCTGACTCCCGTGAAGCAAAGAGGCTCCAGTCGTTTTTTGTTTATGCAGTGGAGATTCAATGAAAGATGGGGGCATAAATTTCGATTTCTACACAGTAATTACACATCACAGCAGGAATAAGTTGAAAGTGGTTTTCCAATAGTTTTAACAGTCATTGACATTAGAGTAGATGTTGGTGGCTCAAAATACCTAATTTTTAAATAAAAATATTCTAAGTTATTCCTAAAATCAAAAATTCACTATATCGATATACAATAATCAAACTTTAAAATTAAATTTTGATTAGCAACTCACCTTGCTTTCTTTGCTTCATTCCATGAACAACAGCGAGAGTTGGATAAACCGTTCCAAGATAATTCACTTTCATGACTCTGGCAAAAACTTCAGGATCTGTGTCCTAAGATAAAGAATTATGAATTGAAGCAGATTTTTTTTTCTCAAAATGGGCCCAGGGCCACCTTGTGGATGGTATTTAGAAGACTCGAATCATAAAAGTTTTGAGTTTTTTTAGAAATTGTTGTTCCACTCTGAGGGAAACTTCAGACAAGCAGCTCGGCAGTGTGGCGCATCGTGCTAAGCGTTATGAATACGCTTGCCCCAGCACCTCTAATTACCCTGCGTGGGTTTGCAGGTTAGAATCCTGTGGGAGATTATTATGTGCAAGAGGATTTCTATACTCCTCGCCATCGTAGGGTGGTTCACGTAACCGCTGGTAGGTTACGGCTTCCCCCACCATCAAGTCTATGCTTCCGAAAACAAATAACTGACTAATCCCAGACGCTCCCAAAGTGAGTGAACCAAAATGACGGACACCGGAATGTAGCATGTGTACCAGGTTAGGATTAGGCCATAATTTTATTCCAGTTTTTCTTATTTTAGTTCTATTATAAGTTCGGGGACTAGCCAAGTGACTCCTGTAGTATTTGTACCTGAAATTATGGCCTAACCTTAACCTGGTACACATACTACCTTCCAGTGTTCGCCATTTTGGTTCACATACTTCGGGAGTACCTAATCCCGCACCCAACATTGACTGGTGACCGGAAGAGAGACCGTGGTTCCTCTTCCTGGGTAAATATGTGAACCCTATTCTAATGATGGTGCTTGATTAATAATAATTAAATGAGAGCACACAGACAAGTGCGATGGTTGGAAACTTTTCCAAATAAATTATCTGTCTTTACCTCAAACTTTTGTGCGTGAGAAATTCCAGCACAATTGAATAGAAAGTCAACAGGACCCAACTTCTCTTCTGCTTGTTTAATCGCTGTTTTCACCTGAAAGGTAGAGAGATAAATAAAGAACAATCAACCGGAAAATGCCGTTGAGGAAGATTTACTCCAAACTCAAATTATTCAAATAACAAATTAGGGGTGCTCCAGAAGTATTCGCACCAAGATGACGCACATCCTGAATCCTAACCGGTACACACATACTGTGTTCAGGTTGTGCGCCATCTTGGTGCACATACTTCAGGAGGTCCAAATATGGCTCCCGGTGAATGAAATTTTGATTCTGGGTTAAAGGAATTTTAAGTTTGCTTTCAGTTCCCATTTCTAAAAAAGAGATAGAATCCTGTTGAGATAGAATGCTCAGAGCTATGCCCCAATTAATCGTTCCAGTAGTATTTATAGTGTTCAGTTTGATTGGTAGATTCCAAATCCTATTATTATCAAAGAATTAATGCCCAACAAAGTGAAATAACCTTATGTGTTAATACAGAGTTATTTCTTCCCTTGAAACGGACAACGGAAACGCCCTCGCTAACATGCAGAAACGATATACGTGAGAAATGTTTGCGTTACAGTAATTTTGTTATCTTTCTACGTTTTTCTTGAGGCGTCCGGCATGTAACGATTCGTAGGACCGGCTTTTGTGCTGTGAAACAACCTTATCAAGCAATAAAACTAGGAAGAACAGGGAGTTTTCTTGTAAAGGGAATTGTAAAATCAGTTCCGCGGCTAGCCTTGTGGCCCCCCAAAGCTGCTGTGGCCCCAGTTTGGGAACCAAATCCCATTATGTCAAAACATATAATACTCAACAAAGTGAACACACACACTGTGAAATAACCTTATCAAGCAATTAAACTAGAAAGACCAGGGAGTATTCTTGTAAAGTGAAAAGTAAAATCAGTTTTCTGCCTAGTATTGTGGCCCTCTCCAACTGCTCTGTGGCTCCGAGTATGAGCCGCTGGTTCAGCGCTTTATTAACCACCAGACAACCAATTATCCAATATCGCCCTCCTAAGATATCTTCAAGTTCATTACACTAACAAACAGTGTTCCCTCTACGGTGTGTGCGCGCACACAACTTTCAGCGGATGCGCACACGCATAGATTTACTGCGCACAGACGTATTTCGATGTAATGTAACAATGTGCTCGGTTGACAGGTTGTGGAAGTTTGTTGTTGGCCCACTTATTACCTGGTTAGAACGCCAAAATTTCTCTTTTGGTTTTTGCACAAATATTAGTCATTTCCAAAAAAGTGCACACACACCAAAATTTCTGCACACACATACTACAAAAAATCAGAGGTAACATTGCTAACAAACCTTTTCTGGATCTTCAGCGACATCTAGTTGTATTGTGATCACTTTTTGTTTCTCTCCGCCAGCTTTCATAACTTTTTCAATCTCTACTTTCGCCTCCTCTAATCGTTTTTCATTTCTTGCTATGATGGAAACAAACCCTCCAAGGCGAGCACATTCCTAGACAAAAGTAGAATTTTGGTACTCCCGTAGTATGTGTACCAGAGTTAGGCCATAATTTTATACCAATTTTCCTTATTTTTGTTTTTTTACGAGTTTGGGAACTGTCTGTGTTAGCCAAGTGAATATACCCCCAAAGGATTCAGTCCTTTTGCACAGCTTGATAGACGAACAAAATTAGTTACCTCCATATTGGTACACACATTTCTGGAGATCCAAATTTTGCGTTTGGTTATCGATTTTTTTGGAAGATTGAGATGTAAAGACTTTTTTTAAATGCTGTGGATGAGTTTTTTATCATCCTCAGAGAAAAGAGAGGGTCCTGCTAAAGATTTTTAGAAAGTATAAAAAGTCTCAATTCTCCTGAACTGGGTGAAGGCATGATATTGTACTAAATTATGACAATGCAGTCTTACGGTTTCTTATACCATAGCTCAGACAAGCCTATAGGAAAGCAACTGATAATATGCAAAGAATAAATAGTTTTGCTGACGGGACTCTAACGCCTGTTATACTTCTACCAACTTGACGATGCCCATTGAGGAAAGCCACAGAAAATGTATTTTTGACCAGAGGTTGGTTACATTAACCTGGAATCCAGCAATCCTCTCGCACATAACTACCCTCCACATTATTCGAACCCATGCAGGGAAACGATTAGCATGATGTGCCTTGCCACACCACCGAGCCAAATAAGAATGAAAACATTGAGGTCAGAAACGGCCGCAAACCAAATTAACACATCTTCTTAACCACTTTCAAATTTTAAAAAATCTTACTTTTGCTATAGCCAGACCAATTCCACTTGATCCTCCTGTGATCATGACATGAGCTCCCATTGGAGTTAAAGTGGATGGTTTAGAAGCAACAACTATAACCACCACAATTACTAGGAGGATTAAGAATAATAACAGCAACATGTTGCTTTTCTGCTTGAGGTAAGAGTGAATAAGGTTAAAATAGTGTTATTAATAAGTATTTAAATTAGCTGATATATAAATAAGGAAAAGTGTGATACATTTAGATAATCATTGCCAGGCCTGCATGATTAGAGTGCGGTTGTGCACACGTTTGGGTTAAAAATTGAAGCAGGTTCAAAACTCAAAATAAAGTTGTCATTATACGAGCTGCAATGCGCATAATTCTGATTGCACTCAGACGAAAAGACACTATGCCAACTTGATTCCAGCAGCTACTACTCAAACCATGCCAAGTTCTCACGATAAGAGCGTACAATTTGTAGGGTTGGCCTATATGTGTATTTTCATAAATTCACTGTTTCAGGGCCGTTTTTAGGGGGCCAGATTACATGCAAAATCGGCAATGATTCATTTTACTAATTCAGATATTCCAGATGTTTATTAATTTCCTGAGTCTAGTAGAAAAAACTTTTCATTGTTTTTTCTTCATAATTAAGATGATGAAATCTGGTCATCTATGTATCAATGCTTAAATGGTTGGAATCGATGAAAATGAGATTAAGAAAACATTTTGCAAATATAAACAAATCAGAATTGAACAACAAAATTACAAAAACATACATTGGGTTATGGATAGCATGATGTAGCTTAACAGAAGAGTGCCGAGAACTGGATGTATAATGAGGTATATTGTAGTAACATTTCAAGAATGAGGTATTTGGTCTAATAATATAAAAATGGATGATGAACCAAGAAAACCAATGAGGTATGACAGGCAGCAAAAGTACAATTTCTCTACAAAGGAACTTATTCCGCTGTGATATATTGCTTTTTACATAAACATTAGAATGGGACAATCATTACAAAGTTAGGACTGAACATCTCAGTGTAGCACATTTAAAAACAAAAGGACAATCAACAGGTATTGGTAACATAGATTCGTTCAGATATAAATAATAGAACCAAGAGAAGTATTGAAGCATGATAAGCAGCACCGGCACCATTTTAATATAAAGGAGATAATTCTGCCTGATTGATTTATCTCAAATAAACATTAGGTTTGAACTCTCCCTATGAGACATTTAACTGAGGTATTGATAACAAAAATTTAATAAAATATGAATAGGAAATAATTCTAACAGAAGCAATGAAGGGTGGCGAGCAGCAACCACATTCAGTAAAAACTGCAATGCTTAGAGATAGGATGGACATATTTATCCCGGGGTAGAGGAAAGCCGATATAAGACGGCTTAACCATATGGCGAACCACGGCCTAGTCCAGTTACCATTCCATATCGGGTATGGGATTAGTTATGCTATATTAGTCCACCAAGAATCTATCCCAGGCCACACAACTCTTCAGACCTTTCCCAAAGTCTTTTCCCAACTTCACTATTCATCGCTACAGTTGACCACGCCTGCATTTTCATATCCACAAAGTATTTACCAGAAAATTTCTCAAGACCAGGTTGTAGACAACAATAAAGCGGAGTTTGACTTCCATAGTATGGTGAACGACCAAAAATCAACATAACTAAATATCTTATTGTACTTATGAGGAACCCACGTTCAGCAGCGAGATTTTCTCCTAAGTGACTAATAAAAGCGCCAGGATGGGCCGCATAGGCTGTGATGTTTTCATTTTTAATCCTTTTTGAAAGTTCAGTTGTAAAATATACATTCATTAACTTGCTGTTTGCATATTGGAGAGCAACTTGAATTGAGTACATCTCACGATTTGTAATTGAAGTCAAATTTTCTAAATCTATTTTGCCAAGTTTGTGAATGTCAGATACCAGGTTAACAATTCTGACTGGAGAATTCTTTGCTGTTTTTCTAAAAACTGGCAACATTAAATTTGTCAGTAAGAAAGGTCCGAAATGATTTGTCCCGATAATCATATCAAGTTCATCTTTAGTTTCCCCTTCTGCCACAATTGCTGCATTATTCACTAAAATATGGCAACACCATTCAGCGTAGATGAATATTTTCACAAAGTTTTTAATAGACTCAAAATCCGCTAAATCAAGTTTCATCAAATGCACATTACGATTGTGACTTCGCAGTCGAATCTCCTCCACAGCTCGTAAACCTTTTGAAACATTTCTACAAGCGATGATCACTCTTGCATTACATTTTGCAAGACCGATTGCAATATGTTTTCCACAGCCGCGATTCCCTCCTGTCACAACAGCCGTTTTTCCAGTAAGATCAACTTCGACCTCACAGACTGACCCAATTTTGATGAATTTTACCCATGCTATAAGTATTACAATGAACACAGCAAGACTCAATAAAATAAGAAAAACAAAATCCATTTAGTAAATCAATCCAGGCCAAACTGTATGTGACTAAGCAATTCTGAATAGAAAGATAAGAATTGAGAGACAGGATTTCAACGTTAGTTTTAGAAAGACGAGGCGCCCAGGATCTTCGCTGATAGTTAAGGCCCACGCTCAAGTAACCGGTTACCATCCACAGAAACTCGCGGATTTTTTAAAAACGACGCGATTAATTAACAGAGCTGGTTACCGAAAATGCCAGTTCATTTCAAAAGCTGCGTGTTTTGTAAACATCACGTGACTGATATACTGTGAGTAAAAATTAAAAAAATAATGTCATGCTCTGCCCACTAGAAGCATGTCGAGTACGAAACTACACGAGACCCCAAACCCATCCGCATATTTTATAGTTTTGGTTGGGTATGGAAAGGCTAATGCTCCTGATGCTTGCGCTTGATTGGTGGAGGCTAAAACTGGCCAGAAGTCCCAGTACCAGTGTTCACTATTAGCGCACTTTTTTGCAAAATTGCGAAGCACTTTCACAACTTTTTTTAGGGACTGCGAACTTTTTTCCGATTTTGAAGGAAAATAGCATTTTTTTCCGATTTTGAATGGAATAAAAATTCATAGTTAACAAATATTTTCGAGTATTAAGTTGACGAATAAGTAACATACTAGTACTTTTGTAACTCAATTCTGCAGGCTAAGGGCACCTAACTTGTTAAAATCGGCAAAAGCACTTTCGCACTTTTTTTTTCGACTGCGAAGCACTTTCGCACTCATAATTTGCTTAGAGTTAACACTGCCCAGTACTATAAATTCAGCAGTGACAATAGTCTGCTCTGGCCTTTATTAACTACAATAGGTATTTCTGGACAAAAAAAAACAGAATAAGTGGATGGTTTTCCAAATTAAATTTAGGAAGAAAACATCAAGATGAATAATCAGAAGCAGACAACGACCATCCCCCCAAACCTAATTTCTGGTATATTTGTCAAGTTACATTAGCGTGATAGGTGGAGGAAGCTATAAAGAAGCGTGTATTTTTCTCGAGAAGTTCCTAGGTTTCTCTCGTAAAGTCAAGAGGTTCCGTATGGAACACTTTGAGAAACTTGTTCTAAGTAGTGGGCCTGAATGCCCTTGGCACCATAAATATATAATCCATTCCTAACTAATAAGAATAACTGAATGGCCGAAATACAGGAATAACTTATGCTAAACAGTATAAAATACTACCGTATATACTCGCCGATAGGTCACGCCACCGTATAGGTCGCACTATTAGTTTTGTGTTAAAAAAGTTTAATTTAGAGTTGACTCGCACATAAGTCGCACTGAAAATCTAGGAATTTTAAAGGCCCTTTCCCTAGCTTTTTTGCATAGATAACTTCCATTTTTTTGTAGGGCTTAATATAATCAAAATATGTTTATCGACACCTGTGAGCGATAGCGATTTGTCCTTATGTCAAGCAGATTGGTCGCAACTATATTTTTTCAATAAATTGCGATCTATCTGCGAGTATATATGGTATTCTATTCTTTAATTTCTTGATCCTAGGTTGAGATGACTTTGCTCCACACCGTATGGACTTTGACCATGTCAGGATATTTCAAAGGGGGGTGGTTTCAAAATTTCTAATTATCAAGTTAGACCGCAAAAGTTAGCGGGTTCTGTCGGAAGCCGGAGAATGTAGGTTTTCAAGAGTCTTCAAGGGTCTAAAATGCATTTTGAGTTCGTTTCGATGTTTTTTTTTACATTTTATAAAAGGGGTACGACCCTCTACTCCCACTGTTACGCTCCTGACCTTGATAACCTTTATTCATCAACGTCCAAAGTCGAGGAAAGAAGGTATCCACCCACTTCTTTTACAAAATTCCATTCTTGTCACAACTGAGTTCTCATAACAGTTTATAACCTGCATAACACTAGGAAGCTTACTTATTTATTTGATAGAAATCTGGAAGAAAAATAAGCGAAAAAGGTTACAAAATGTACTAGAATAGTAATGCGAATCAAATATTGCAGTAAAGAAGATCTAGTCTACTTTGATCAAACCTCATTTGGGAGTCAATGAGCATGACTTGACAGCATTAAAACTATGAAGATGGCTTAAATTTATATGTAATAGAACTGGGAGGATTCCGTAGCCATAAAAAAAATAGGACAGTGCAATTTATTTATTAGGATATAACATGAACCGGACCTCCTGAAGTATGCGCACCAAGATGGCGCACAACGCGAACTCAGGTTGTGTATCAGGTTATGGTTCAAGTTATGCGACATCTTGGTGCGCATACTTCAGGAGTACCCAAGAACCCTTATAAGATGGCGGTGAGGAGTCCAGCAATCCTGTAAACCAATGCAGAGTAATCACAGGTGCAGTGGTGAGCGCAGTTCTAACAATTAGCATGATGTGACACCGAAGTGGGATTCTCGCCTACGATTGCCTACGATTGATTGCAATGAACTATTCCCATATGTGCAATCTGAGCTTGGAACCACACAAGAAACCTATGTTTCCCATATGATTTCTCCATTAGGCTTACCCCTCCAAATAGACAGGTAAATATTATCTCAAATTTTTTGAGTAAGGTGTCCATCACTCACATCATGTCAAATATAAGCGAAGTTACACAAATAGGCCATTAAAAAATATGAATACTTAGGATGTATGCTTGTCATGTCTTCATAACCCCTGGACGAGGTTAAGTACAAATTGTGCCAAAGTAGACCAGATCAGAAAAGCTTATACAAATTGTGCTACGTAAGTAGAAAAAAAGATACAATCGGCAAGCAGGTTGAAGCAATAATATAATAGATATGTGTATGTATGCTGATCCTTCTAGATCAGGGGCGCACAACACGAGGCATGCGTGCCAAATTTGGCACCCCATGCGCTCAAACGTGGCACGCGAACAGTTTTGAAAAAAAAAATCGTTCATGATGTACATTAAAATATTACGTTTATATCAAAATCAGCAGTTTTTTATTCAGGACATTAAATTGTTTATGAATTATTATTGAAATTAGTTTGATGTGTGTTTTACGGGAGTTAATTCACAAAACCAACGATTGTTTGTGGCACGCGACAAGATTATTTTGAAAAATTTGTCACGTCCTCATTTGAGTTGATCACCGGTTCTCAACAAATGAACCATGGCCCACGGAAACATTTTCATTTGGGCCACAAACCTATTGAAAATTGCTAGATAGATTGATAAATTAATTAATTGTAATTGCAGTAGCAATGAATGATGATGCTGTTTTTGCTGATGAGTGGTGATTCTCATTATAGTGTCTATCTTTACAAAAAATAACTTTTTTTTATTTTTCTTGTAATTTTTCCCTCGCATGAGAGGGCTAATGGTCCAAAGAATTTCCGTGCAACAAAAGTGGGCTGGCAACCCGTGTTCTAGGTGGTATGTAGCATGGATGATGAGCCACTAACACACACGTTTCAAAGCCAGGTGCAAGCTTAGACTTGAGGAGTTGGCACTCCTGAGTCAATACATATTTAAGATGACTCATCTAAATTCTAAATGGAATGACAACAATTATTGCCAATGAGTCATACCGTATATATTTTCGTAATTAAACTGAGTTTAAAATTAGAAAAAAGAGTTGGGAAACTAAAGGGTCGGATTATACGCACATAACTCTAATGGCACTAAAAATTCGGCCTATGCGCACATAACTCTTGTTCGCTCTCAAACGAAATGACATTATACTAAATTCATTTTTCGATGTGATATTGTGCGTCTGGCGTGTTGGGGTCGGCTCATATGCAAATCTTCATGAATTCACCTTTTTTAGTGGCCTTTTCGAAAAAAGAATGTAAAACACTGAAAAAAGATTTCATTAACGGAATTCAATAAAGTTTGCTTTAAACATAAAATATACAAAAAAACAATATTCACAGCATTGATAGTGACGGAGCTTCATTGAAAAAGACACAAAGTATTTGGAACTGTTAAAACATGCTGAATATTTTAACAATAAGTACAAAAGTAGTTCATTTTTTACCATACAGGAAATACACATTGTAGAAAATGAAAGTTTCAGGGGTAACATTTTCTTAAAAAAAAAAGACAACAATATTCACTAAATTGTGTTGCCACAAGTTGGGCATGTCATAGAAATATGGGGCGAGATATAGAAACATGGGGCATGCCATAGAAATATGAGGCATGTCATACAAATATGGAGCATGACATAGAAATGTGAGGTGCGGCATAGAAATATGGGGCATGTCGTAGAAATATGGGACATGTCATAGAAATATGGGGCATGACATGGAAATATAGGGCATGTCATAGAAATATGGGGCATGGTATAAAAATAAGAGGCATGACATAGAAATATGAGGCATGACATACAAATATGGGGCATGACATTGATGGAAAACCCAAGTTCAAATATAGCCATGTTTGAAGTGAAGACATGAAAATGCTTCATAAAACAATATCATTCATTTTCTGAGTTGAATCAAATGTACAGTCAGATATTTTCGAACATTATTGATACTATACTGATATTTTTTCTGTTCTGTTTTGTCAAAATTGTTATTCACAACTATAGTTCAATATTTGCTAAATCTAAAGGCAGAATCTGGTTTTATAGATGATAATCATGTCCCATAAGTTATGTCGAAAATAAAATGAAAAAGCAACAATAACAAAACACTTAGAAGCAGCTGATCTGAATATTGTCCAGTTTTAGCCTTCCTTAGCCATATAACCATGCCTAGCCAACATAGGATAGGATTTACATTATTGTCCAGGGGGATGAGAAAGCCGATATAAAACAGCTTTAATCAGCGATATCTCTCGTTGATTTCGATTCAAAATGTCACTCATGGCTCGTTAGACTGAATAAATCTATTCAAATCATATCTCAATAGTGTTTAGCGTGAACAGAAGACTGTATATGACGTCCCATATAAGGGTAAATACCTGGCTGTGTTTTTACTACTGCGTGATAATTTTGGATCGATATCTCGGGTCTGATATATATCTAAGTTGTCATTCATGGCTTATTTGAAAGAGGAGGTTATACACAACACAATGAAATAGACAATTCGTCTGTATAACTACCGTACTTTCTTTACTACAGTCGTTACAATTTGAAGCAATTTCTCGAAATTTATTTTGAGAATGTCTACACCGAAAGAGAATATAGATATCTCGCTCGCAAGGCGACTAATAAAACCGTTCGATAGACACGTAAGTGGTGTGTTTCGCGTGTTTGAACGGCGAAGAATATACTTTTTATGGGAGGTTACCACAGACTCTCGTCAGGTTACCATTCCATGTCGAGTATGGGATTAGCCAGTTATTTGTTTTCGGAATCATGGACTTGGTGGCGGAGGAAGCGGTAACCGACCAGCGGCTACGTGAACCACCCTACGACGTCGAGGAGTCAAGCAATCCTCCCGTACATAATAGCATAGCATATATAAAAGATGGTAAGCTTTAGAATTTGGCAGTCTCTACTTCCGTCCAGAACAGATCCGATTCTCATCATCTAAATCAGAGTGATGCACCAAAATGTGTACTGCCAACGAAGTGCAATGTTTTGCGAAAAAACTTGTTTTTCAACGATATCAAATGGCCGATATTGGCTGAAAAGCACTCAAGAATAGAAGATACGACTTAACTATCAGTGAGAATCATTGAGACATGTATGACATGCTAGCATAACTGTTATCATACCCTGTTATCTTGTTTTCCGTGTACGCCAAACCAATTCCAATTTAGCGATGTTTAAATCAGGCCGAATATTCAAATGTATCAAAATCGGACACAGTGTATCCTCGCACATAAGAAGACTCCCTAAACCAGCTCTAAAACAGTGGATTTATAAAAATTTGGGGACTCCCGAAGTATGCGAACCTAGATGGCGGACATCGGAATGTAATATGTGTACTAGGTCAGGGTTAGGCCATAATTTTAGGTATAAATACTACGGGAGGCTCTTGGCTAGTCTTCGAACTGATAATAAGACTAAAATAAGGAAAATTGGAAAAAAATTATCGCCTAACCCTAACCTGTTACCCATGTTACGTTCCGATGTCCGCCATCTTGGTTCGCATACTTCGGGAGCACCAAAATTTGCATATAAGCCTAATCTACAAATCCTAATCACTGTCAAACCCTTTAGTGTTATCTGAGTTATGCACGTATGAGCGTTTAGTTTGGTAACTTTTTGTAGTTTCAAACTTGGCTTATATGCGATGGTATACGGTATATTTGATAAAGTAAATGCATGATTTTAAGAAATATTAGAATATTTTCATTTGTCAAAGATTCAATAGTGAAAAGAAACATGCCGATTTAAATTAAAAATTCCTTCAGCTACCCAATTAACAAAAATAGTATGAAGTGGAACTAACGTAATCATATAAAACAACTACAAAAAAATGGTGTTAAAATGTATTTAAATTAGCAACACACATTTTTGTGGTTACTTAAAGTGGTTTCACTTTCTAGTGCTAAGTAGTTATTGATTTATTTATTGAATAGCAGACCTTGCCATGATGTATTATATTGATAAGGAATTGTGATCAAAGAAAACATGCAGGGTAATTCTTTATACTGATCAATAGTACGAGCTGACATAAAAACGGAACCCATAAATATCCTCATTACTTATACGAATAACACTGGTTCTCAACCAGAGACATTTTCAAATGGGCCACAAGCCTAATAGAAATTACTATGGTTATTGAAGAGTTTCATTTGTGTCATTATAGTCAAATTTTTATTCTGGTAGCAATGAATGATGTTGCTGCTTTTCATTCTAATTATTGAAATTAAAGTAATTATTTTTACGAAAGAGTCTTGTTTTCTTGTAGTTTTTTCCTTGCATGAGAAAGTTAGTTGGCCACAGAATTATTATGCAATTAAGTGGGCCACGAAAGAAAAAAGGTTGAGAACCACTGCTTTAGAATACGTTTAAAATGAACCAGGTTTTGTTTTTTTGGATCACCGATATTTTTTTGTCATCATTAACAAAAAATAATTTCTAAAAACGAAAATATCGGTCGGAGACCGAAGACTTATCGATCCAAACTGCGGTTTCGATTCATTACTCTATAGTGACAGCGCGTGTCCCATCACTAATTAATTAATAACTCGCTAATTATACAACATAATTCATCCAAAATCAATAGGTTTCTGAAATATGAATGAATATATGAAATTCCGAAATATGATGAATGCACATGCAAAATTTGGAGCAGATTCAACAACGCCTTCGTGAAATATCACGTGCATTTAACAGACAGACAAACAGACAAATACCTATCAACATACTTACCGATCTAAAGATTGATAAGTAATAATAAATTGAACCACAGCTTCAGTAAACATAATAGTACCGAGTACCGGTAATGTGTGTATACGCAAAGCAAAATTATAATTTACAATAATTTAAATTGGCTATATTTTAGGGCATTGTCCTTTCCCGCGGCGCTCTGGTTGTCACTAATTCGTGGGCTACATGGGAAAATTTTTTTTCGTTTGGGCAAGCTAGATGTCTGAAATTATATAACAGACAGGCAAAACACGTTGCACACTCTTGGTTTAGAGCAGGGTGGTCCAAACCCAGTGGACTGCGTCGCATTCGGAGAGTAATCAAAATATCATATTTTAAATTGCTTTTCGTAAAATAAATCAGAAAAATCGTTTGGCATATTGTTGTTATATCACTACTGTGACTGAATTGACTAGTATGATGGCTAGCTGAAGCAACTAGCGAAGTTTAAGATGTGATGGGCAATCTAAATTGTTACATGGATTTCTATCGTTTTAGTCGGGAATATATGCTAACAATATAGGCATGATAGAAAACTAAACATCGAATGCGGATTCCATTAGCCTAGGTTGGCAATGCCTGATAACTATGTGTTTACACAATAGAAGTGCTTGTTTTGTGTTGCACTGTTTACCTATTCTTGGTACTATTGTGGCCCGCGACCAATGCAAAAATAATTTTGTGACCCGCGGAGCCCACAACCTTGGACTAGGGTGTAGTTTAGAGTCTTTAAAATAGCTCATAAATATTTTGAAACCATCATTTGATGAGAGTCGCATTCTTATTCTGATAATACTTCTAAGGTTTCAAGACAAAAAGGCGAACATTGAAATTTCTAAAAAAAGTTTCATTTGAAAATATTACAAAAAAATAGGTGCTCTTCGAGCTGGTTTGAAGCAATGTTCACCAAAGTATTTCAATAAAATGCTACAGAAGTTATAAAACTCAAAAATTGTTTTTCTGATGTTGTAAAATTTTTCAAGTTTCTACCTTAAGGGAGAAAGCCTTTAAATTTGGTTTTAGTTCGATATCATGCCTTCCGGTCCGTATATTTTCTCATATCGGAATCTCTTTGGGGCAGCTTTCAGTACATTTTTGCTTAGAACGGTTGACTGTTTTTTAATGAATTCAAAGTGATTCTTAGCAAAGTTATACAATTCCATTTCCATTTTCCAAATTTTAGAACTGTGAAATTTGTTCAAAGTTTCCTCGTTAGGGGGTACTTTATGTAATGTGTTCCTGATATGGGATTTGGACCCCTCTCTAAAATTGTTTGTCATCCCCTTGAACATTCGGGGCAGAACTGCTTCCAATACTACGACGAAATCTTCCATGTTTTCAGTTAAGCCGACAAGCAAATAATTATTCGCTAGATTCCTTTTAGCTTCTTGTAATGCCCATTCATTTCCAACTTCCCAACAATCTGCAGACTGCCCGCAAAAAAACGGGATTTGAAGCCATAATTTTTCAACTGAACAATCGCTATTTCGGCGTCCCTTTTTCACACACTCGTCAAAAGTAGTATCATCACCCTGTCTTGCTCTTTTAAGTCCTTTACGGTAATCGTCACCATACCGTAAAAAGTAATAATACGATACAAGTCTATCCAAAGGGTCCCTAATTATGTTGATATAAATGGGTGTCACCGGACTGCCAAATCGTTTAAAATCAAGATAGGCCATATGCCCATGAAAAAACACTGGCCTGTACTCCCTCCAATCCGTTATATTTTGAATAAGTTTATATTGGTCCTGTACGGACATTATATGACTGTTTTTAGTAGTGTTTATATGCAGAACATAAATCCCATTCCTTTTACAAGAGTCATAAACAAAATTCGTAAAAGTCGTGCTTCCAGTTTTCGGAACTCGATTGTATAACACAACAGTCGAGCTATCGTCCATAAATGTGTGTTTTTCCTCTTCACTAGTTTTTGCGAAATCTCGTACAACGGTTTTTGAAGAATAAATCCCATTGCTTTTTACTTTTAAGAGTTGTAATTCCAATATAGCAAATCCAAGTATGATCAGTAAAGCAAGAGGTATCCACATTCTTCGCGAAGTCATGTTAATTGTCCTACGCATCACCGAATATTAGGCAACTTACAAAGAAGAAAAAGATATAGTATGCAATGACTTGTGTTACAATCCTTGCATTATACGCATTCGGATCCACCTGCGCAAAGGCATAGAGCAAGGTAAGGTAGTTAGTTTCATGTAACCCCAACTGTTAATAAATGATACAATTACTAATTTCGAAACTTCTAATCAGTCATCAGAGTAATAATAGGCACAAACAACACATGAAATTGAGCTTTCTGGATCATTTATCAAATACCTCGACTGGAGTTTAAAACGTGAAAAGTAGCTTGCAGCCACATAAAATTAACAATGGAAAAAAAAAAATTTCAAATTGGGCAGAGAACGCATAAACAAAATGTGCTTTCATATTTTGGCTAATGCAATATGCAGAAGGTCACAGACTCTCAATTCCAAGACGTTCCAAAAATTGGTTCAATGAAACAAACACTCTATTTGTCTCTCGTTCAGCATTTCCAAAATAGAGTGGAATTACTGTATTCCCTACTACAGCCTGGGAGGAATTTTGGGTCTGGTATAGTTTATTACTAAAAGTACTTTCAGTAGGCTCAGCTGGTTATTCCGGGTCTTGTGTAGTTTCGAACCTAACGTACTTTGGGTCTCGTGTAGTTTCGTATCTAACGTACTTTGGGTCTCGTGTAGTTTCGTACCTAACGTACTTCTAGTGGGCGGTAGCATAACAGTTTTTTGACGTGTCAATCCTAACCCCCACCCGACTACGTCATTCTAAAATTACGTCATTACAACATCACAATCACGTCATAGAGCTTGCTAAATATACCGGTAAGTACAATCGCCCGAAATGGCATCAGCGCCGACGATAACAAACTTGCTAACGCTAGCAATCTTTCTCATATTGGGATCGTTGCGACGAGAAAACGAGAGAAATGGCTGTTCGATTTCGGGTGCTCGTCTGCGCGCCTTGGATGACAGGTCGTATAGTTTGAAGGGCTACCGTACATTATGTCACTGTGACGTCGTAGTGACATAATTTTTGGATGGCGTAGTCAGGTGAGGGTTAGGATTGGCATGTCAAAAAATTGTTATGCTACGCCTACTACTAGAAGTACGTTAGGTACGTAACTACACGAGACCCAATTTTTGAATGATGCAGTCAGGTGGGGGTTAGGATTGACATTTGCAAATATTGTTATGCTACGCCCACTACTCCACTAGATAATCTTGGGGATAAGAAACTGCGCCAGACCACGGTACCACGGTACTGTCACTATTAAAATACACGTCTTCATGTACCTATTGAGTACCGTACCCCTAGAATAACCAATTCCATAACACCTCAAACAACTCAGTAGAGACAAAAAACATTAGGGAAACAAAGAAGCTACCAGGCAGGCCGTACCGGTACGGTACCGTATTGCAGTATTGTCCGAGAACAATCCTGTCCAATCCGTTTTTTTTCTTTTGTGCCAAATAAATTCCAATGCCAAACGGAATTTTCGTATTGAGATTTTAGAATCGAATTATTATATTTTGAATACAAAGTTTTTAGTTTCCATGTTTCGGTTTTTTTAATTTAAATATCATTCCCCCCAATACAGGGTATATGAACAGTAGTCTATAATAGAAAACTCAAACCAATACAGGTACGGTACGAATTCATACCACTACCGTACCTAAGTGTCATTAATTCAATATGTGCACAGGCAGACAGAAGTTGAGTTTATCCACATGTATCCTAATACAATCAGCAGTTGTATATAATCATTTTTATATATAATTTACAGTTCCTGATCGTATTGAATTGAACCAGTTCAAGCTCGGTGTCAACCGGTTTTCACCAGATAACATCCGGTTATAAGCAGACGTGCCGGTAAATTGATTTCCTCCCATTTAAGATGATTTTTAAGTAAAACCCGGCGTCGTGACTACGCACAAAGAACACGGGGCAAAAATTCATGGTCCTGCACAGAATAAAACTTACAAATTGTTTTGTGCATTTGTTAAATTGTTAGTTTAATTTGTGTGCTATATCTTTTTACCTATTTAGATTTGTGTTCTCTCAATAAATCATAATCGGATGGTTACATGTGGATCATTAATATTACATTTTTCTCTAATTGTGTTAAAAGAATTACCAGATTCTGATTTTTTTTGGTAGGTGGGCACCTACTTGTACGCTTTTCAGCTTTGTGTCAAGTTGTGCTCACCTCCCAGGTATCTCTGCGCATTTTGTTTGTCTGTTTACTTTTTGTGCTGTTCATTCATGTCAGAGAACAGAAATAAAATGATTGATTGAAATTGTTAAACATGATTATCATATCGACTCGGCGGTGTGGCGCATCGTGCTAAGCGTTAGCGAACCCACGCAGGATAATCAGCGGTGCGGTGGCAAGCGTGTTCCTAATGAATAGCACGATGCGCCACGCCGCCGAGATTACGCCGTCCTGCCAAGCATTCAACGATCGTACCAGACATTCAGCTTATGATAATCAGACATGTCTGCGTGTGGTTACGGAATGAAATTGAAAATATAGACAGTTATTCATACATACAGACTCATACATTTCACACACAATTGATTTTCTTAAAAGATATTCATCTTTCTGTCATTTTTTACTTTTTAATACTGTTGGTATTAAAACCGTGGGCTGTTGAGTAATCTGGTGTTAAGGGTTTTATTTTGTTACGATAAATAGATCAAATAGTAAATGTTTTTCAAGAATTGGAAATTATATTATTAGTTGTTCAAGGTTTACATTTGGTGCTAAAGATCTCCGGTTTATCGCAATATCACTGAAGAATGGGGCAAAATAAACATTGATATAGTTAACAACATATATCTGTATACAGTATTGCTAATACAGGAAGTCCTCAACTTACGACGTTGTTCCGTTCTTGAAACGCGGTGTAACCCGAATTTCAGTGCAAAACGGAACAACCAAAATGCGTAGCCTACATTGTCACTGAAAATGTGTACCATGCAACTGGAGCTTAGTAATTATTCGTTCATAATTGTAATTGTTTGCAATTGTCTACCTACGTCATTTACGATGTAAATGACGAAAATCAACGAGCCTAAAGACCTGATTTTCTTGATTACAATGATCCAGTTTAGGGGCTTAGATATTACAGTACAGTATTGTCTTTTATATTTTTATGGAGTGCACTCAAAACAGCGGGAAACCTGACAGTACAGTATTTCAGTCCGGGCAAGACAGATACGGCCTATTACCAAGTCCATGCTTCCGAAAGCAAACAATATAACCAATCCCATACTTGACTTGGAATGGTAACCGGACGAGAGGCTGTGGTTCGCCATATGGATAAGCCGTCTTATCGGCTTTCCTCTCCTCCGGGATAAATATGTAAATCCTATCCTATCCTATTATTACGTAACAAATGAAAGTTTCGCTCGATAGAAAAATCATTATCCGCTGGAAAAGTAGGCTCTTTTTATGTTCGAAATTAAAACAAACGTGTCAAATGTGTGCAGTGCAGGTGTGAGACAAGCATTAACTGGCCCGTATTCGTGGCGACTGTTTCAGAAGACGTAGCATAGGAAATTCTGCATCGTTTTTGTGTATGACCTAATTACCGATCAGTCGATCGCGAGCTAGTTCGAAGATTTCAGTCGAAAGCAGGTCGATTATCCGTGGTATATGTCATGCTCTCTCTAAACCCTAATATTGGACAGACCGTTTTTGCGCTTTAAATATTGTATTTCTTGCTAGAAGGCTTATTATTTTTATTTCAAAACGTCAGTTGGTTTTACGAGATTCGTTTTTTACTACGAAATTTTGTGATGACCTCTTCAAAATTAATAAAAATTATTTGTAGCGTTTCCGCGACCTCTCTCGGGCTACACGAAAGTGGAATGTTTTTGCGGAAGTAAGTAAGAAAGTTGGAAGTAAGGGGATTTCGTGTCCGTATATTTGAGCATCGCGCTCTTGTATTCCAAACTAGACTAAATGTAGAGTTCGGTCGAGTCGGTCAATTTTCTAGTTGTTTGTTTTGATAAAATTTACACATAATCACCAGATCGAAGCTGCTGTCCTGACCTTCAAGATATCGCAAAACGATAACGTAGGACATTACGTCTGAAAACAAAACCTTACTAACCAATCACATACTCGACATGAACTGGTAACTGGACGAGAGGCCGTGGTTCATCATTTGATTAAGCCGTCTTACCACTTCCCCCCAGGATAAATATTCAAATATAATCCTACTGTGCGTAGTATACATCTACAATGGGATACATCGTACGTGGGCACGTGCACCAGCACGCCTTAAATTTCTTCTAGATTTTGCCCACTTTCCTGATTTTCCTTACATTTGTTTGTTTTGCCATGTATTGTTTTGTTGTATTGGAAAATCAAAATAAACACTCACACTTAAACACACTTACGTCGCATAATATTTAACAAGAGAGCTATGCTCATATATATGGATACGTAGCGCCACCTGATGGCAATAATTTTGATGACGTCATAGCAAAAAAAAGTAATAGCCTTCTGAAGAAAATTTTTATCTTTAACCACTGAAAATTTCAAAGCAATTGGTCCAGTAATCAAAAAGAAAAGCGATTTCTTCAAAACGTGTCAAAGAACAACATAACAAAACGATCGTTATGTCCACTAAACGTGTCCAATAATGAACACACAGATTATGAATAATTTAACTACATCATGAATTTGTGACCTATTTTAAAATGTATACATGACGGAATAATTTGGAAAAGAAAATTATGATTTCAAATGGAGACGAGCGTGAGCATCTCTGCATTGCTTCCTGGCAAACGATTTCCCACATGCTTCACATTCATATGGTTTCACACCAGTATGTGTCCTCGAATGAAGTTGAAGTCCGGTGTTCTGTACGAACGTTGCACCACAAACCTTGCAAACGTACGGCCTTTCTCCAGTATGTTGTCGGGTATGTCTTATCAGGCTACAATGCTGATTAAAGCCCTTTTCACAAACGGTACATTTGTACGGCAATTCACCGGTATGGAGCCTCATATGTCTGGAGACGGCTGCACGCTGGGTAAACTTCTTAGGGCAGACTTTACATTTGAAAGGTTTTTCTTTGGCGTGTATTGCATTATGATTTTTAAACGCTGGTTTACCAAAAAGTTCAACATCGCAAATCTCGCACTTATATACCATAGATGGGTCTCGCAAATGTCTTTTCATGTGTAAATTTAGATTGTATGTGGAAACGAAGGATTTGTCGCATATTTTACATTTCTGACTCCCTATATTCAAATGCGTTTGGTTAACATGTCGAGATAATGATTTGTTTTCCTTGAAACCTTTATCACAGATGGTGCATCGAAATGGTCTGTCGTCGGTATGGACAACCATGTGTCTATCCAGGTGATGATCAGAAGAAAATCCTTTCGCACAAATTGAACATTTGAATCGTTTATGAGATTCGTTAGGGTTCTTCTCCTTGGCAACTATTACCGGTGTCACTTCTACTTCCATTGCATTGTTGTAGAGGCTTCCGTGAGCTTCCAATGAGCTAATCGAGGGATTTCGTAATACAACGGCGATGTCAGATTCTTTGTCTTGGTTGTCCATTTTGTTCCAGAAGTTTTTTACTGTCTGTTCTGAATTAAGTCTGTTTGATTCCTAAAACCGTTCCTTGCTTATATATGACACTGTCGTTAAAAAACGCACCTATGTTTGTTTACTTTTTTCGCGTAATTAACGGTCTGAGTTCCAGACTTCCATATCGAGACTGTAGTCTAGCGATAGATTGCATCTTAATTAGTTTCGTCTTCGGGCATTCGTCTTATCTGTAACGTTTCGCCTGATAAAGGTACCGGTAAGTAGGTTTCTAACCTCGGAGATTATATCCGAAAACGCCTAACAATGTAAACCTGGCAACGGTTATTTCGAAAATACATGCGTCACTACTGCAGCTTGAATACGGCGTTATAGGTTATGCGACAGAAGAGAAAAACACGATAGACTATAATATAGACCTAATTAAAAGGAATTGGCACACTTATCCCCGGGGAGAGTATTTGAACGGATGCGTAACTTCGAGACGTTTTTATACCACGCATGAACGGTTAGGCAATCAGGGCATCATGCTCTAATAACATACTCGCTATCACATCTCCGTTTTCACTGCGCATACGTGCAAGATTCCTGCCATATTCCTCCCTCTCCCACATAGTAAAATATGAAAATCTTGTCCTACTTATTCGTTCCTATCCTAATTCCAACGCTCGACTCTATCGCGTGGAAATATGCTCGCCACCGCACCTCCGATTACCTTGCGTGGGTTTGCAGGAAATCTACTTCCCATGCGTGGATAGTTATGTGCGAAAGTATTGCTGGACTTTACGTCGCAGTCGGGTGGTTCACGTTGTAGCGAATGTGCATTGTGTAACTGTGGAATATAATGTATTTAACCCTTTCATATTAATAGCATGTAACGTTTCACAAAATAGGCCACATTATGTTCGCAACAGCGATAATGCATTCGCTCCATGTATTGCCTTCCTCGTAACGACCAATTTGATGACGTACCGTTTCCGGTGTGCCGAGAGGACTGCATAATATCGTGTTTTTTGGTTCACTTCAGATTTTACTGCATTAATAATTAAGTGTGTTTCAATTTTATCTGTATTTTGATTTTAGATCGTGCATCTTTTCAATAATCTACAACAATTCAGCATTCAACATTGTTTGCTTATTATCGTCTGAAGGAATCCAGATTGGAGTCACATTTCATAACGTGTGTCAATTTAATAACGCAGGAATCGAACTTTTAAATAAATACTAGGGTGATCAGTCTTTATCCCTAAGACTTGCATCTATTCTCCCTATAACATAACCGCCATATTAACTATCATCTTTTCTCTCCCCCGGGATAAATACAAAGATCCTATATCAGACGAAACAAGCAATCTCAATTAACTTTGTAATCTTTAGATTCCATGAGCACACCTTTATAATTAGTACAACTTAATCAATCACCAATATTTATACAAAAGATAGCAATTAATGCGCAAAAAACTGACATCAATATACAAGTGCAGTTTTAAGTATTCCATGGCGTCTGCAGCTGCCGCAAAACCATGGCGGTATTTCCATACCATGGCCGCTACGGCCAAACCTATGGCGACTGACTTTTTAGCTGCCACAAACCAATGTCGAGCTGCCGTTACCGCGGCAGCAAATTGAAAACCAATGGCAGGTAAAATTTTGCTGCCGTAACCGCGGCAGGTGGGCCGTAAGGACAGGGCTGTCCCTTATGGTGACAAATATTGGGTAAGTTGGAACGTTTTTCTTATGGATACAGTCTTGATGGATTTGGGGTTAGGGTCAGGGTTTAAGTAGATATAATTCCGCATGATCAATTAGAATTTGGTACATTAGTTTGTGAATATACCGGTAATACTGATGACTGAATACAGAATAGCGCTATAAAACCATGGCAAGAGCTGCCGCGGTTCGTTCGTGGCAGGAGCTGTCATGAAGTGGTAAGAACTGCGCCTCTCAATATATCAAACACCTTTGTTTAAATATACTCAACCAAATTATATTGTTGACAGCTACCGAATCATGATGTATTATATAAACATTAAAAAGCAATTATCAAAGCTATTTTTGCTGTTGTTAATATTTAGATACTTGTACGTTATTATTAAGTAAAAATTAAAGTTCTAAATATTCTCAATTGAAACAGTTTACAATTAAAACTTTTCGCTCTTTTTGCGTCCCTTTTCAAAGAGCGCTTATTGCTAGATACGTCACTGACTGCAATCGGTGCATGGGTATCCATCAAGGGGCAGTTTTGTAGTTGATTACAAACTACTCTAGTCAACCAGATAAAGAGACAATCTAATTTCAGAGTTCTGTGCGAGAGGATTGCTCCTCGCCGCTATAGGGTGGTTCACGTAACCGCTGGTCGGTTACGGCTTCCTCCACCATCGAATCCGTGCTTCCGAAAACAAATACCTAATCCAATACCCAACATGGAATGGTAACTGGACGAGAGGCCGTGGTTCGCCATGTGGTTAAGCCGCCTCATCGGCGGGATATATATGTAAATCCTATTCATGCATATTCCGTAAGCAAACCTTCCATAATTACGTCCACGTCCAATACCAGGAAACAACCTCAACAACATCAGATATTTATACAAAATATAATAATGAATGCAGAAAAAAAATCTAATACAAAAGGACATTTTTTCCTTAAAACACCATATCCCGCCTTGATTTAATTTCCCAGAAATAAATCCTTTAAATTCTTAGATGCAGACTATGGAGTAGTGTTGTATCCCTATTCCTAATCTCAATCTGTACTACAGCCCAGTAAGTTTTGAACAAGAAACGTATCAACACACTTTTGTCCTTAAACCAGGTGTGTGCAACATATTTTGTCCGTGGGCCAGACATCTAGCCGGCCGCACAAAAGTTGAGCATGAAGGCAAGAAAGAGAATGACATGTCTATGTCCTAGCTTCAGGGTGGTCCTAGGTTGTCGACTTCGCGGGCCACAAAATTATTTTTGCATTGTTCGCGGGCCACAATAGTGCCAAGAATAGGTAAACAGTGCAATACAAAACAAACACTTTTATTGTGCAAACACATAGTTATCAGACATAGCCATCCCAGGCTAATAGAATCCGCATACGATTTTCAGTTTTCTACGATGCCCATATTGTTAGCATATATTCCCGACCGAAAAAAAGGAAAGCCAGATAACAATTTAGACTGCCAAGCACATCATTCAACTTCGCTAGTTGCCACAGCTAGACATAACACTAGTCAATTCAGTGACATTATTGATGTAACTATATGTCAAAAGATTTTTCGGATTAATTTTATTATGAAACAACACGAAATGCGATTTTTTGATTACTCTCCGAATGTGACGCGGGCCACAGATAATAAAGCGGCGGGCCACATGTGGCCCGCGGGCCTGGGTTTGGACCACCCTGGCCTAGTTCCACAGCAAGAAAAGCACTGGGCAAACTCCAATAGATTTAACGCAACAAGAGCAAGATGTATTTTTATCCGTGCCGTCGGCTCTCGTCTCCCCTGGGATGAATATGTAAATCTTATATTTATGGGGTAAAAAAATCTAAATTATGCGGTGTTTCTAAAAAATAAAGTGATTAGGACGGAACATCGATGGTGTGTGGAATCTCGTTGAAAATATGACGCCATAATACTTTTAAGTAGAAGGTAGATCCTTCGATATGATCCGAATGCTCAGCATATTTTCCAAACTGCATTGGGTTCATCCATCAATGAGCAATAAGTAGTCAGCCAAGTCAATGAATAGACTTTTCATCCTTGGAACAGTCGCCAGACAATCTGTGAAAGAAAAAACTGTTCAAATGAACGCTCTAATTCTTGAAGAAGCAGGAATTGTAGTTTGATGATTTAGAAAATTCTTGCCAACCCTATAAAATATGTGTTTTGTTATTCACACCAAATATAAGGCTGGGCCACATCATACACAATACCTCACAACAGTAAATATTAAATTACCTGCTACGGCATTGCTCATCTTCCTTAAATTTCCTTGCATATCTTCAGCTGAAGTTAATCTCTTTAGCCTTGTATGGATGTCATGAAGAAACATATTACTGATAAAAAAATCCTGCATAGCAAAATTTGACCTTTGACTCTCTGCCACTTGGTGAAGCAAAATAGCTGCATTTAAAGTACACAACCACTCAGAGGCGCTGTGGAGTAAATCAATGTCCATTTCAGAGTGTAAAGTTTCCCTAGAACCGGATGCTGTTTGCAATACACATGAACCGATAAGATCAAGAAATTTATATACCGATATGGTAGTGAATGGTGGGACTGTTTTCTCTTTAGGCCTTATTGGAGAGTTTCTCATGGGTGGACCCAATGCTTGATTTTCGGTCTCAGTTGGATTCGTTTCACAAGATGTAATTTGTTCTTGAACTGTGATTGGTTGGCTTTTAAGTTTGTAAGAATCCCGTGTATCACCGCTTTTTTGATTTGTGCTGGTAACCTCAGGTTGCGCGACTTCATTTAACTTTGGGCCAATAGTGTTGACACCAGTCACTTGCATTGCATTGTTCATTTTGCTCGCTTGTGTAGTTTTCGTCATCTCTTTACGACTGCGATAGTTGGCTTTCTTGTTCAAACATTTAGAAACGGACCACACCACGGTCAACAGTAACGAACATATAAAAGTTGTGTTCGGGGTCGTCTTTTTAAACCAAAAAAGAGTCATCGTCATGACAATATCAAAAACTTTCATAAAATCTTCATTAAAAAGTTCAAAATTGTTTCTTTTTTCCATAAAAATTAAAAACGAATTTGTCGATTCAAATTGTAAAAGTTTTAAAATCATTTTAACGCAAGGAGCGCTTTTTTCAATCCCATCACTAGATATCGCCACACAAACTTCATCCAAAGAGTGGTGCTGATCACATAACGGACAAAGAGAAGTGAAAACGCTGACAGTGCGGGATTTTTTGTAACACAAATCAACTTTATCATACTCTTGAATGAATAAAAACTCAGGCCCAAAGGTTTTAAAACGGAATTTCCGCAATAAAAGCCGGTAATATAGAGTTCGTATCGCAGCTGCACAAGCGTGAGGGGAAGCCTTCCTAGAGTCATGCATAGGAACAGGAAGGCAGATGTACTTTGAATCCAAAATGTTGATCGCTGTTGGATGAACGTTGCTTGTTCTAAACAAAAAATTAAGATTATGATAGTAATGGCAAGATGGATAACAATCAGTTATTCTTTTCACCATACACAAAAAAGTTCTACAAATCACTATTACATTGAATTTTATGCCAAATGTTTGGGGCTCCCGAAGTATGCGAACCAAGATGGCGGACATCGGAATGTAATATGTGTACTAGGTTAGAGTTAGGCCATAATTTTAGCTATAAATACTACGGGAGGCTCTTGGCTAGTCTTCGAACTGATAATAGGACTAAAATAAGGAAAATTGGAAAAAAATTATCGCCTAACCCTAACCTGTTACCCATGTTACGTACCGATTTCCGCCATCTTGGTTCGCATACTTCGGGAGCATCAAATGTTTTTTGTTCATATATCAAACGATCATACGTCACATTCATTACAACTATAGTACCGGCATCCAACAAAATCTTGGCCAAGGCTAGCTAGGTTGTCACCAACGTGGTGGTTGTTGGGCTTTGAAACGGTTTCCATGCAACTATTCGGGCTTCAATCAAAAAAACTTTGCCCGCCACTACTTTATAGCCTTTTTTTTCATTGCTGAAGAATGGAAATTTGAAATCGAATCATTGGTCAATTAGTCGCGTAGAAAAATGATTTTTTGCTAACAATAACAAAAACAGTTTGCAATACGAATCTGCTCAATGCAGGGTCTCGCATTCTCAACTTAAAATGGAAAGATTGCTCATGGGGGAGTAGTGATAGAAATGCTAAATGTTAGAGAACAAACAATACACACCTGACTAGATAACGAATCTCATCCTGGTCAGGATTCTTCTGTGGCTCATTTTTTTTCTGTAAGAATATTGAATGACTTTCCGTTAATACCGTTTGTATATTTTTGAATGAAATTGTTTTTGATAAACTTGTGCTATCGATGATTGTGATAGGATAAGATTTATTATTTATCCCGGGGGAGAGGTCCAGCAATCCTCTCGCACATAACCTCGTGGGAATCGAGTCTGTGGTCCCACACAGGGTAATCAGAGGTGCAGTGGCGAGCATATTCCTAAAGCGCGATGAGCCACACCGCCGCGCCTTTTGAATAAAACTGTATTTGATAAACTTGTGCTATCGATTGGGTTTCTGTGTATACTAAGATATGATCACTTCTATGGAAATAATTTATCGAACACTTGAACTTCTGTTTGTGTATGAATGTGCCAAAGGCTTCAGAAATCCAGGATGCGTGAAAGTGACATCACAAAAGTGAAGTCCTCTCCAGAACAGTGGTTCTCAAATGATGAAGCGCATCCCACTAGACTAGAGGGACGTAGACAATTTTTTGAGGGGGCGTAAGCTAAATAAAAATAAAATTATTTGTTAGATTTGATCTTGTCTGCCTTATTCTGGATATTTACATTTCTTTATTGTTAGGAAGGGGCTCCCGAAGTATGCGAACCAAGATGACGGACATCGGAATGTAATATGTGTACAAGGTTAGGGTTAGGCCATAATTTTAGGTATAAATACTACGGGAGGCTCTTGGCTAGTCTTCGAACTGATAATAGGACTAAAATAAGGAAAATTGGAAAAAAAATATCGCCTAACCCTAACCTGTTATGTTCCGATGTCCGCCATCTTGGTTCGCATACTTCGGGAGCACCGTTAGGAAATTCCAGGGAGCTAGTTATTTTTGAGGTACAAGACGTGACAAACTCTAATAAGGGGGCGTGCGGCTTAAAAAGTTTGAGAACCATTGTTCTAGAACGAGGGTGTGCAACCTTTACTACACGAGGGCCAGATAAAAATAACTGGGTGGAACCGAGGGCCGCACTATTATTTTCGACTTTCAGTAGTTGCAGGCACATAAATTTTGGTTATTGATCTTATGAAATACGTTGTTCGCTTTTCACAAGCTAGCATTGTAACGTCATAGGCCTAGATAATAAAATGGACTCGGGCATGGGCTTTGCAACGCAAAGGGATGGGGAATTATCTGACATGTACCAGATTAAACTAAATTAAAAACTCGTTGCACTATTCAAAATTGACACTACTCCACGGGCCGCACAATTTTACCTTGCGGGCCGCATTTGACTCACGGGCCGCAGGTTGCACACCCCTGCTATAGAATATGTTTCCAATGACCTGAGTGCTGTTTTTTGGGGGATCACCCGGTATTATATATTTTATTTTCTAGTAGATATTTCACGAACCAGGATATTCATTGTCTCAGAAACGTCAAGTTCAGTTCGATACAGTGAGAGACAGACATCAACTTTGCTCATTATTTCTTCTCGCTTTTTATTCGGCAAAGAAAAACGAATCTTGTCAAGAACCGATTTCTCGTTTGATTTTGTAGACAACCACCATAATAGAGAATCAATTTTTTGGTCGTGTTTCCTGCGTTTGCTCGATTTTTGTCTCTGGGAAGATTTCGGCTGAAAATAAGGATAATAGTTTTAGTTTCTTATTACACAATGCCAATTAAGCAGCCACAATATGCAAGTCATTTGAAAGAAATCATTTCAGCTTGCATTATCCACCCTATTTATTGCATCCTGGGTGAAATGCGGCACGTGGGGTCAAGATGTGTCATCTACAATGCTAACCCTGTTAAGAGCTTCAACTGCCGTCATGTCGCCCAATTCATGCAAAGCGACTAATTTATCACGCCTTTCCTTCCAGGATGCCTGGCCTATAATATTTTAACTGCCAACTTTGAGCCGCTCCAAAATCATACAAGGTTAACAAACACAGTGATTCTGACTTGAAGGTTTACCCGATACAGGAAACCACTGGTATCTAATGATGCAAAGAGCTACTTCAGGATGGATTATCTTTGGCCCACGTCGCATTCGGAGAGGAATCAAAAAATCGCATTTTTTGTTGTTTCGTCATAAAATTAACCAAAAAATCTTCTGACATATTGTTGCATCACTAATGTCACTGAATTGACTAGTGTTATGGCTTGCTGAGGCAACTAGCGAAGTTAAACGAGCGGAGTTCTTGGCACTATTGTGGCCCGCGGAGCTGCCAATCTTGGACCACCCTGAGTTACCTGAATCACTGAATATGATGACAAAAAGTTTTTTTTTTATGGCGATTGTTCATACCTTGCGCTTTTTGGCTGCCTACCCCAATTTATCACACCCAGGTGAGTATGGGATTGCCGAATTGGAACTCGAGATGTGTTAATGCCAATACAGTTAAGTCAAAAGCTTTAACCACTAGGCCAGAGGTCGGGAACCCATGGCTCGCGAGCCATATATGGCTCTTTTGGTGACAGCTCCCAGAAAAAATCTAATATTGTAAGGGTTACTATTGTTACGAGATTTCAAACTCTTTTATAGCCAAAGTTGGCAGAAAATTTGCCAATACGTTCGAGAATGCGCGCCCAGTGCATGTCGATATCATCAAAGAGAATTACCAGACAGGCATTGTGACAAAACTAGGGGATTCTGGAACATATTTTGTGACACCACAAAGCGATAGAGTCGCGGAGCAAAAGAGAAAACCTTTTGAAATGCTACAGAAAAGCCTAAACGAAAAAAGAGTGATGAGTATCGTATATTTCAACTTGTGCTGCATATGAGCGGCCGTTCAAGTCCCGCAGGGACATCATGAGGCATCAGTAGCCACATTAAATGTATTTCAGACCTGAAATGCTATATGGCTCGCACGTTAATTCAGTTGAAAATACGTACCTTTTATGGCTCTCTTGACCAAAAAGGTTCCTGACCCCTGCACTAGGTCATTGTTCCCACAGAATATTATTCTACAATGAGAGGGCTTATGTCAAGTTTTGCTGTGCCATTGTTCTGCGACAACGTGTACAATTCATCCTGGTACAATTCAGACTAATAATTTATCCTAAAATGTGACTTGCCAGTTTTACCTGAGCTAGCTTTGCCAATAATTCCTGAAATGTGTCTTTAGGAAGCCAATCATTGCCAAGAAGTATTGATAAATATGGCAACAGTGGTTCTGGTACCCCATACTCATTCACTATATTCCCAATTTTATATTTATGGCTGATTATTGACTTTCTGTTGCTGCCTTTATCCGTCCAAATCTAAAAAAACAAAATTTAGATATGGCTGTTAATTCAGTTCCAAAGTATATTTAATAAATGTCCAAAACAATAACCAAAGTAACCCATAATGCAACACCAACTGAACTGTCCACCAAACTACAGAGAGACGTGGCCACTTCACCTTCATAGCTGGTTGGCCATGTCCATTCACCTGTAACTGATGACATCATCGGTCATGCTCAGCCACTTAAAATTATATTTAAGGAGATACTTTGCTATCCCGAATACAGTCAACTGATGACATCATAGGTCATGCTCAGCCACTTAAAATTATAGTTAAGGAGATACTTTGCTATCCCGAATACATTCAAAAACAAGAGAGAAATACTACAAATAAATGGACACGCAGACGAGGGCAAAGCAGTCTACCTTACATTGTACTGAACCGGTTCCGTCAAAAACATCAATCTTGCTCGCTGCAAAAGAGAGGTCGAAAAAAGGCACAAATAATTTTTTTCAATTTTCAGGTCACAACATAAAATGGGAGACAAGGGGAGGAAAGGGAGAGACCACTCTTCACAGTAGAACCAAATTACATTTTAAGATTTTGAGAAAATCACATTTTTGGAATTTCATATCTAACAGTCAAACCTATAAATAAACATAGGATAGGATAGGATAGGATTAGGATTTGGTGACCCAGACCAGAAGATGGCTCATGGTCTATAATGACAGAAGAGCAAAAAATTCTTTCATGAAAATCGTTGCATAATAAGCTCCTGTGACTTCGGCACTGATGTAAATTACCGTATATCCTCGCATAAAAGTTTAAAACAAAAACAATTTGCCAAACCAAGGATGTGGCTCATAAGTGCATAACTTTGACCGCACCAAAAATTCAGCTTATACGCTCATAACTATGATCACACTAATTACTTTCTGCAACCGTTGGTTGTGATAGATGAATACAGCGTGTTGCGATTTGTAGGGTCGGCTGACGTGCGAGAATATACAGTATGTTAATTAAAAACTGTTTTATGTCAATTTTTCCTTTCATTCGAGTTACCATCAAGTCCATGTTTCCGAAAACAAATAACTAACAAATCCATATCGACATGGATGGTAACCGGACGAGAGGCCGTGGTTCGCCATATGGATAAGCCGTCTTATACGCTTTTCTCATCCCTGGGATAAATATGTAAATCCTATCCTACCTTATCCCAGTAGAAGTGGGTGAATGGTACATAACCATTTTCGATGTTGAAGATATAATAATCACTATCTAATGATAGCACAGGGCAGTGAAGTGCATTTGCTGCGGCCACTATCTCACAATCTGCGTCTGTCAGCGACACTGCATACTTGATCTGGTGTGACATCAAGTGGTGGAAAAGGACGTCAACTGAAATAAAAATAAGTTGGCTTGTTGTTTTTTTGTACATAAAGTTTTATGACTGTGAACAAGTGTACAACAACTTTTTAAGGGGGAGCAGCAAAGCTAATTAAAAATAAAAATATATGTTAGATTTCATTTCAGATATATACATTCCTTTATTATGTACAAATATTTTCAACGTTTTTTTGAATAAAACATACTTTCCCTTTACTATCTGTTATTTGTAGCGTATTGTTAGCTTGTTATTTTAGGGGTGGGATGTGGGACTTGACAAATTCTAAAAAGGGGGCGCTGGTTTAAAAGTTTGAGAACCACCGCTTCAACAGCTAGATCTACAAATGAGAAGTTATTGTATAAACAAAGAAAAGTGGCCCCCTAATAAATAATTCCGTGCTCCCGAAGTATGCGAACCAAGATGGCGGACATCGGAACGTAACATGGGTAACAGGTTAGGCGATAATTTTTTTCCAATTTTCGTTATTTTAGTCCTATTATCAGTTCGAAGACTAGCCAAGAGCCTCCCGTAGTATTTATACCTAAAATTATGGCCTAACCCTAACCTAGTACACATATTACATTCCGATGTCCGCCATCTTGGTTCGCATACTTCGGGAGCCCCAATAATTCAAAGTTTAAATGTTCTCAATATTCGTTTTGGACGTCTTTCTGGGCCTGACGTAAGTACTCTGATCATACCTGCAAATATGGGGAGCACTCTCGCTCTTGTGCGTTCTTCATTCTTCAATATGTTATTGACATCATTAACTCTGTCATTTAGTCTGGTCAAGACACAGGGTAGCTTATCTGGCTCGATAGGTCTGAATAGGGAAATTTATAATTACAAGAGAGAAAAGCTCGAAGGTTGCGAATCAGTTCTGGTGCGGTATGATGTATAGCTGAGAACTAAGTTAGCTGATGTAATTGGTAAGAAGCATTAAAAAAGTGTTTCCATTGAATTGAAAAAAAGGACCAGAATCTTTGGTGGTTTTTCACTGTTTTAACATGTTTTTTTGGTGATTTTCACTGTTTTTTAAGGTTTTTGACGATTTTTTACTGTTTACAGATCACTGATAGTTACCAATTTGGGACTTCGCTTTTGAAAACAAAAGTTAGATACTGACCCGTCAAAGATAACATAAGGCTCAATTTTACAGATCTTCAATTGTTTGAAAAACCTTGAAATAACTTCTGAAAATGCAGCAAACTCCCCTCCGTGTCTGAATAAAAGATAAAAAAGAATGATTAATAGAATGCTAATAAAGATTGGTAAAACTAATTAATATTATGAATATATTCTTGAGTAATTGATAATCTTTACAAATATTTGAAGTGGATACGATAGGGCTCTTCAACCGGGTATACGGTATGTCCAAGTGTATACTGGACTATAATGTGGGTTTACAACTGATAAAAGGTGTACAGCCTAAGTCAGAGATTCTAAACTCTAATATAATAAACGAGAATAACGGTCAGAGACCGAAGACCTATCGACCGAAAGTTAGGGGTTCCCCAAAAACAGCGCTCTTACTCCATAGTGACACCTTGTGTCCCATCACTAATTAATTAATAACTCGCTAATTATACGACATAATTCGCCCAAAATCAAAGGCTTCTGGTCCGAGATATGGTGAATGCACTCGCAAAATCTGGAGCAGATTCTATCTCGCTTTCGTGAGATATCGCGTGCATCTAACAGATAGACAGACAAATACCTATCAACGTACTTACAGATTAAAATCGATAAGTAATTATAAAATATTAAAGCGGAGACAACAATGCAAACGCGGCGCACATGAAATATAAAAAGTCTTTCACGCAAAGAACCGACGTGAGCACATTGTTACATCACAAATGATATAAATAATATTATGGTCACGTGTTTCGGTTGTGCCGTGTACCTCGTTTGATTTATGTTGATTATTATTCCCGTTGACGCTAAGGCCGCCAGTCAAATTTACAACTTGCGGATACTAGCCTATTAGATTGCATGATGATATTGCAGTACAATATGTGCTTTAAATTGTATGTTCATTTTAGCCTTAAATAAACATTGGTATTTGTAAGGTATACAAAGTTCTTGTAAAATTGTAAAAGGTATACTACGATAAAAAAGGTTGAAGAATACTGGGATAAGGTTTAGATATTTGGGAGAAGGGAGAAAAAGGTGATAAGACGGCTTAACCATATGACGAACCATACAGTTACCATTCCATGTCGGGTATGGGATTAGTTAGCCAGTTACTTGTTTCAAATTTATTGACTTGATGGTGGAGGAAGCCGAACCGACCAGCGGTTACGTGAACCATCCTACGGAGGCGAGGAGTCCAGCAATCCTCTTGCACATAACTATCCCTACAAGATTCGAACCTGCAAACCTTCGCAGGGTAATCAATTATGACTTGAAATTCACTTGTACAGCAGCGACTCGACTTAATTTATCGCTTTAGAATGGAGTGCCTCAAAACCAAAACTTTGCTGAGAATTTGACTTAATACACCGCTTGAATCAACATTTAGGAAATCAGAAATCAGTAATTACTTATCGATTTTAATCGGTAAGTATGTTGATAGGTATTTGTCTGTATGTCTGTTAGATGCACGCGATCCCTCACGAAAGCGAGATTGAATCTGCTCCAGATTTTGCATGTGCATTCATCTTATCTCGGACCAGAAGCCTATTGATTTTGGGCGAATTATGTCGTGTAATTAGCGAGTTATCAATCAATTATTGATATAGTGATATAGATGTGAAGCGAGAGAATTTTGAGACCCGCCGAGTGTGTGTGTGCGATGCGCAGTGCGAAAGTTACAAAAGCAGATGAATCGAAACTGCAGTTTCTGTTTTGGGGGATCCCCTAACTATCGATCCATAAGTCTCCGGTTTCCAACCGATATTCTCGTTTATTCCTTCACCATGCTGAAAATACAACTATACATACACAAATTAAAATATATATAAAAAAAATCGCATTTCAGGGTGAAATGACCAATACTGGTTATCTAGTAGCGGCACCCTCGGGGGAGTCTAACAGAACGTGATGAATAGAATGAAAAATCGCATGAAATGTGTTCGGAAATATCGATCAGGGGCCAAGGACTTATCGATCAAAAGTTAGGGGATCCCCCAAAACAGCACTCTTACTCCATAGTGACACCTTGTGTCCCATCACTAATTAATTAATAACTCGCTAATTATACGACATAATTCGCCCAAAATCAATAGGCTTCTGGTCCGAAATATGATGAATGCACATGTAAAATCTGGAGCAGATTCAATATCGTTTTCGAGAGATATCGCGTGCATCTAACAGACAGACAGACAGATACTTATCAACATACTTACCGATTAAAATCGATAAGTAAAAAGCAACAGACGAAATTGGGTACTCCCATAGTATGTGAACCAAGATGGCAGACAACGTAACGTAGTATTTGTACCAGGTTAGGTCTGGGCGATAATTTCAAATACAAATATTACGGGAGTCACTTGACTAACCCCAAAACCAAAAATTATGGCCCAACGCTAACCTGGTACACACATTACGCACCGGTATCTATCTACCATCACGCTTCACATACTTCGGGAGCGACGGAGATTGTAACACTGATGCAGAACCTTGTTTAGAATAAAGACCCATTCTCTCAAACAAAAATTGCAAATTTCAAAGTATCAAACCAACCTTGAATCTAAATTACTCTCAAAATATAGATGATACGCGAGTCCGAAACCATCAATCACTAGAGGGCAGTCATGCAATTTTTCTTTATCATATAGTCTTCCCTGATTGTTCTCAACGAAGGTCATCAAACCTCGAACTCCCATCCTAAGGTATTCTCATTCATCGAAAGCAAACTATAACAAATAGAAAAAGATTATTCCATGTAATACTATACTTTGAGTCTGAGTCCAAAACAAAAAGTAAATTCGAAGCCAGTGTTTGACTTTTTTGTGAAAGTCTTAAATATAGGAAACCTGAATATAAAAGTTTGATTTCTTGTTGTTACTATTTTTATTTCCAAGCCATTGGAAACGTCGACAATCAGAATGTACTCCTGTGACTCACTGTGAGAATAATGTTTTGTGTGATTGCAGTTTTTAGAAATCAAATTTTCTAGGAAACAAAAATGGGATCGATGTTTTAAAAAAATAGGATGTCTATGGAAAAAAAAGTATTAGAAACGTTTGAATTTGCAGAGGAAATTTTTCGATACCTTATATTATTTTGGCCTTCACAGATGTATTGAATCAACAATTGCTGATTAAAAAACAACAAACCTAATTATTAATACATATTAAGAACTGACTTCATAACAAAATTAAAATTGGAAACGAACTTTATGAACACCCTGTATTTCCAAATTCGAACAAAGAGTACCTTTTGGAAACTTTCGATGTTGAAACTCAGTAGAATCTCCCTAAAGTGTCCCCATAGCTTACTTCATTTCCATATAAAAATCCACAAATTATTGTTTATACTAACATTTTTATTTACATTTATCTAAACGCAAAAACATAGACGTAATAGTTAAAGTTATATATTATTTGAGACACACAGAGCTAACAAAACACTAATTATAATAAATAGAAATAAATATGAATTTTTCACGAGATCGCATTCTGCTAAGCGTAAGAAGAAACACTTGACATCGCAAACCTGATTACCCTGTGTGTTCACAGGTTTGAATCCCATTATTATGTGAGAAAAGATTGCTGGATTTGTCGCTGAAGGAATTAGTTTGGAGTAATTACCCACCGAGACAAAATGCTCACAAATTAAATGCTGGAAATGACCCAGTTTTCAAAAATATAATCAAGATATTATTACGGTAAGTCTAATTCAATTTTCAAGAATTCAAATTTGTTAGGCAGATGCCAGATTTTTAGTAGTTCAAATAATACACTTAAAATTTAAATAAACAATTAAACTCTGAAAGAAAAAGCATTGAAAGATTGTCAGATTTATTCACTTATTTGACTAAAATAAATAAACCGAAATATAAGCAAAACATTGCTTCGAGTACACGTACAGGGCGGCTCAAAAACAGAATCCATAAGTTTCTTAATATTACTTCTACGAAAATGAAGAGATTTTATTCAAGTGGCGTTGTTGTAAACTGCTTGTCTGAGGAAATCCGACTTTGGTCAAACAAAACGTTACAGAAATACATTTGTGTTAGTGTGCAGCTGGACTCTTTAATTGGATAGAATAGTCATGTTTATTCAAGCTACAGTATCCTTGCAGTATTTGCATACAGATCCGCTAGCATAAAGGCATAGAAGAAAGATAGGAAGTTAGTCTCGCGCAACCCAGTTCAAATTTATCCAAGTAAGTATTGAACTTTTGTGTATCGTTGTTGTAAGTTTCAGTAATCCAAATCAAATATGGTTCTCAAAAGGCAGGCCGCACCCTACAAAGGATGCATGGACAATATTTTGAGAAGCAGTGAAGCTAATTTGAAAAAAAAAAATTTGTTAGATTTAACTTTGGCCGCCTTATTTTGGATATTTACGCTGAGTATTTGAATAAAACATACTTTCGCCCTATTATTACTTGTAGCCTAATATTAGCTACCAGTAGTTATCTTTGAGGTCGCAAGATTTGACAAATTCTAAGTTTGAGAAGCACCGATCCAAATGCTTCGCACACTTTCCAAAATATGTTTTAAAAAAAAATGGGTTCTGTTTTCGAGGGAGCCACCCTGTAATATAAAAAAACTGAGATACATATAATTTATTTTAAATTTTAATTACCGGTATGTATTTGTAGGCAAAATATTATAACGTACAAAACAGGAATATTGCTTCTAGAATGGAACAGATATACAGGAAAATGAAATCCAAATGTTTCTAAAAAAGGTGATTTTTAATTTACAAAAAAAAACTGAATGTGGAATGAGTGCTAATGGGAGTGTTGCAACTTCGCTCAAAGCAAGGTCCCTAGCCCTCGACTAAAAATGGAAAGAGTACTTAATAGAAGAGTTGCAAGTTCGCTCGAAGCAAAATCCCGGGTACACAACTAAAAGTGGCGAAAGAGTACTGATAGAAGAGTTGCAAGTTTGCTCAAAGCAAGGTCCCGATCCCTCAACTACAAGTGGAAAGAGTACTGATAGAAAGATTGCAATTTTTAATCAAAGAAAAATCCTGGGTACTCAATTGAAAGTGGTAAAAGTTTGATGATATAAGGATAGAATGGAAGTGCCAGAAAATTATAACTATCCTAAGTGATTCATAAATTCATTCAGGCATACATTATTCAGATTCAAAATTTGGTACTCCTGTATTATATGTGCCAGGTTAGGGTTTAACTTTATTCCGATTTTCCTTATTTTAGTTCTATTACGAGTTCGGGGACTGTCTGTGTTAGCCAAGTGAATATACCCCCTGCTCATAGGTTTCAATCCCTTTACACAGCCTGATGTAAAATAGGCGAACAAAATTACAGTAGTTACCTTCATATTTGTACACATAATTCTAGAGCGCCAAAATTTAGAATATGGAATTCTACTCTTCCGTTTGTTATTTATTTATTGATCTGCGGTTGCCACCGTTACCCAGCCTGAGGTGCCTGGTGGCGTTTTCTTCCATTTACAAGGGTGACAACGGGGTTGGGTCGCTTAAATGTATCTTAATTTCCAGCTTTTTTTTATTATTCTATGTTTGACTTTTTTCTCAGTATGATTGAAAATTAGACTCACTCCCTCAATGGTGATGCTTCTCGATAACCATCACTGGTTTATCAAGTCTCCATTTACACTGAAATCCCTTTTTACATTTTTTTTAATTATGTTTGTACAATGTGTATTTTCGGCATGTGAAAAAATAAACTGAATGAATTATATGTATCTTGAATAATCTATGCCTGAGGAAGTCACCTTGGAAAGACCTTGAACATACAAAACGTTAGCTAGTATGCAGCAAGAGTATTGAATCACTTAGAATAGTTATTTTCACTCTTGCTACAGCAACCTTGCATTATATGATCCTCCGGCAAAAAAGCATCTAGAAGTAGAATAGGTACTCCTGGAGTATGTGAACCAAGATGGCGACACCGGAACGCAGTATGTGTACCAGGCCATAATTTCAGGTAGAAATACTATGGGAGTTACTTGGCTAGTCCCCGAACTCATAATAGAACCAAAACAGGGAAAATTGGTATAATAAAATTATGGCCTAACCCCAACCTGGTACACATACTACGTTCCGGTGTCCGCCATCTTGGTTCACATACTTCGGGAGTACCGAAGAATAAGTAGTTAGTCCCGCAGTATAACAAATTCAAATGTTTTTGAATAACTTCAGGAATGATCATTTGCACTAATTATTTGGTTTTTTCCTTTTAACGATCTGATGACGAAAAATTCAGAATGTCCATCTGTCATGATTCCTGATCATTTGGTTGAGTCAAAACTACAACCTTCGCATTTATAGTATTCGAAGTAGGATCGGTATTGTTAGTTGTGTCAGAGTGTGCACATTTACACCCGCAGGATTCTTTACTCTCTTTTTTAATAATGATTATCGGAACTCCTTGCACGGTAGTTTCTTTAAGCGCTTGCATCGCAGCTTTTGCGATCGTTTTGATTTCTTCCTCATCTTCAAGTGGTTCTTGTGAGACTGTGTGCGTTGCTGTAACTTGCGGTTCCATAAAAACTGGGTGCCCTGTTGTCATGGAAACGTTAGGCTCTGTGATCATGGAAGTATCGGTTTCCATACCGACACCATGGTTTGAGCAGCCGTTCAAGTCCTGCAAGGACATCATGAGGCATCAGAAGTCACATTAAATGTATTTCAGACCTGAAATGTTATATGGCTTGCATGCTAATTCAGTTGAAAATATGTACGGTACCTTTTATGGCTCTCTTGACCAAAAAGGTTCCCGACCCCTGCACTAGGTCATTGTTCCCACAGAATATTATTCTACAATGAGAGGGCTTATGTCAAGTTTTGCTGTGCCATTGTTCTGCGACAACGTGTACAATTCATCCTGGTACAATTCAGACTAAGAATTTATCCTAAAATGTGACTTGCCAGTTTTACCTGCGGTAGCTTTGCCAATAATTCCTGAAATGTGTCTTTAGGAAGCCAATCATTGCCAAGAAGTATTGATAAATATGGCAACAGTGGTTCTGGTACTCCATACTCTTTCACCATATTCCCAATCTTATATTTATGGCTGATTATTGACTTTCTGTTGCTGCCTTTATCCGTCCAAATCTTAAAAAACAAAATTTAGATATGGCTGTTAATTCGGTTCCAAAGTATATTTAATAAATGTCCAAAACAATAACCAAAGTAACCCATAATGCAACACCAACCGAACTGTCCACCAAACTACATGGAGACGTGGCAACTTCACCTTCATAGCTGGTTGGCCATGTCCAGTCACCTGTAACTGATGACATCATAGGTCATGCTCAGCCACTTAAAATTATATTTAAGGAGATACTTTGCTATCCCGAATACATTCAAAAACAAGAGAGAAATGCTGAAAATAAATGGACACGCAAACGAGGGCAAAGCAGTCTACCTTACATTGTACTGAACCGATACCGTCAAAAACATCAATCTTGCTCGCTGCAAAAGAGATGTCGAAGAAAGGCACAAATAATTTTTTTCAATTTTCAAGAGGTCACAACATAAAATGGGAGACAAAGGGAGGAAAAAATTTTGAGACCAATCTTCACAGTAGAACCAAATTAAGTTTTAGGATTTTGAGAAAATCACATTTTTGGAATTTCATATCTAACAGTCAAACCTATAAATAAACATGATCCATTACCTAACACTAAAACAGGTGCAGATTGGTGACCCAGACCAGAAGATGGCTCATGGTCTATAATGATAGAAGAGCAAAAAATTCTTTCATGAAAATTGTTGCATAATAAGCTCCTGTGATTTCGACACTGATGTAAATTACCATATATCCTCGCATAAAAGTTTAAAACAAAAAAAATTTGCCAAACCAAGGAGGCTCATAAGTGCATAACTTTGACCGCACCAAAAATTCAGCTTATACGCTCATAACTATGATCACACTAATTACTTTCTGCAACCGTTGGCTGTGATAGATGAATACAGCGTGTTGCGATTTGTAGGATCGGCTGACGTGCGAGAATATACAGTATGTTAATTAAAAACTGTTTTTTGTCAATTTTTCCTTTCATTCGAGTTACCATCAAGTCCATGCTTCCGAAAACAAATAACTAACAAATCCATATCGACATGGATGGAACCGGACGAGAGGCCGTGGTTCGCCATATGGTTAAGCCGTCTTATACGCTTTTCTCATCCCTGGGAGAAATATGTAAATCCTATCCTACCTTATCCCAGTAGAAGTGGGTGAATGGCACATAACCATTTTCGATGTTGAAGATATAATAATCACTATCTAATGATAGCACAGGGCAGTGAAGTGCATTTGCTGCGGCCACTATCTCACAATCTGCGTCTGTCAGCGACACTGCATACTTGATCTGGTGCGACATCAAGTGGTGGAAAAGGACGTCAACTGAAATAAAAATAAGTTGGCTTGTTGTTTTTTTTGTAGATAAAGTTTTATGACTGTGAACAAGGGCACAACTTTTTATGGGGGAGCAGCGAAGCTAATTAAAAATAAAAATATAATATGTTAGATTTCATTTCGGATATATACATTCCTTTATTATGTACAAATATTTTCAACATGTTTTTTGAATAAAATATACTTTCCCTTTACTATCTGTTATTTGTAGCGTATTGTTAGCTTGTTATTTTAGGGGTGAGATGTGGGACTTGATAAATTCTAAAAAGGGGTGCCGGTTTAAAAGTTTGAGAGCCACCTCTTTAACAACTAGATCTACAAATGAGAAGTTATTGTATAAACAAAGAAAAGTGGCCCCCTAATAAATAATTCCGTGCTCCCGAAGTATGCGAACCAAGATGGCGGACATCGGAACGTAACATGGGTAACAGGTTAGGCGATAATTTTTTTCCAATTTTCGTTATTTTAGTCCTATTATCAGTTCGAAGACTAGCCAAGAGCCTCCCGTAGTATTTATACCTAAAATTATGGCCTAACCCTAACCTAGTACACATATTACATTCCGATGTCCGCCATCTTGGTTCGCATACTTCGGGAGCCCCAATAATTCAAAGTTTAAACGTTCTCAATATTCATTTTGGACGTCTTTGTGGGTTTGACGGGTAAGTACTCTGATCATACCTGCAAATATGGGGAGCACTCTCGCTCTTGTGCGTTCTTCATTCTTCAATATGTTATTGACATCATTAACTCTGTCATTAAGTCTGGTCAAGACACAGGGTAGCTTATCTGGCTCGATAGGTCTGAATAGGGAAATTTATAATTACAAGAGAGAAAAGCTCGAAGGTTGCGAATCAGTTCTGGTACGGTATGATGTATAACTAAGAACTAACTTAGCTGAAGAAATTGGTAAGAAGCATTAAAAAAGTGTTTCCATTGAATTGAAAAAAAGGACCAGAATCTTTGGTGGTTTTTCACTGTTTTAACATGTTTTTTTGGTGATTTTCACTGTTTTTTAAGGTTTTTGACGATTTTTACTGTTTACAGATCACTGATAGTTACCAATTTGGGACTGTGCTTTTGAAAACAAAAGTTAGATACTGACCCGTCAAAGATAACGTAAGGCTCAATTTTACAGATCTTCAATTGTTTGAAAAACCTTGAAATAACTTCTGAGAATGCAGCAAACTCACCTCCATGTCTGAATGAAGGATGAAAAAGAATTATTTAATAGAATGCCAATAAAGATTGGTAAAACTAATTAATATTATGAATATATTCTTTTGAGTAATTGATAGACTTTCCAAATACTTGAAGTGGATAGGATAGGGTTTACATATTTGGGAGAAGGGAGAAGAAAGCTGATAAGACAGCTTAACCATATGACGAACCACACAGTTACCATTCCAGGTCGGGTATGGGATTAGTTAGCCAGTTACTTGTTTCAGATTCATGGACATGATGGTGGAGGAAGCCGAAACGACCAGCGGTTACGTGAAAAACCATCCTACGGAGGCGAGGAGTCCAGCAATCCTCTTGCACATAACTATCCCTACAAGATTCGAACCTGCAAACCCACGCAGGGGAATCAATTATGACTTGAAATTCACTTGTACAGCAGCGACTCGACTTAATTTATCGCTTTAAAACAGAGTACCGGTACCTCAAAACCAAAACTTTGCTGAGAATTTGACTTAATACACCGCATGAATCAACATTTAGGAAATCAGAAATCAGTAATTACTTATCTATTTTAATCGGTAAGTATGTTAATAGGTATTTGTCTGTATGTCTGTTAGATGCACGCGATATCTCACGAAAGCGAGATTGAATCTGCTCCAGATTTTGCATGTGCATTCATCTTATCTCGGACCAGAAGCCTATTGATTTTGGGCGAATTATGTCGTATAATTAGCGATTTATCAATCAATTATTGATATAGTGATCTAGATTTTTGTAAAGCGAGAGAATTTTGAGACCCCCCGAGTGTGTGTGTGCAATGCGCAGTGCGCAAGTTACAAAAGCGGATGAATCGAAACTGCAGTTTCTGTTTTGGGGGATCCCCTAACTATCGATCGATAAGTCTTCGGTTTCCAACCGATATTCTCGTTTATTTCTTCACCATGCTGAAAATACAACTATACATACAAAAATTAAAATATATATGAAAAAAATCGCATTTCATGGTGAAATGACCAATACTGGTTATCTAGTAGCGGCACCCTCGAGGGAGTCTAACAGAACGTGATAAATAGGATAAAATGGCACAAAATGTGTTATGTAGTGAAAAAAATAAACGAGAATATCGGTCAGAGGCCGAGGACTTATCGATCAAAAGTTAGGGGATCCCCCAAAACAGCGCTCTTACTCCATAGTGACACCTTGTGTCCTATCACTAATTAATTAATAACTCGCTAATTATACGACATAATTCGCCCAAAATCAATAGGCTTCTGGTCCGAGATATGATGAATGCACATGCAAAATCTGGAGCAGATTCAATCTCGTTTTCGTGAGATATCGCGTGCATCTAACAGACAGACAGACAAATACTTATCAACATACCGATTAAAATCGATAAGTAAAAAGCAACAGACGAAATTGGGTACTCCCATAGTATGTGAACCAAGATGGCAGACAACGTAACATAGTATTTGTACCAGGTTAGGTCTGGGCGATAATTTCAAATACAAATATTACGGGAGTCACTTGACTAACCCCAAAACCAAAAATTATGGCCCAACGCTAACCTGGTACACACATTACGCACCGGTATCTATCTACCATCACGGTTCACACACTTCGGGAGCGACGGAGATTGTAACACTGATGCAGAACCTTGCTTAGAATAAAGATCCATTCTCTCAAACAAAAATTGCAAATGTCAAAGTATCAAACCAACCTTGAATCTAAATTACTCTCAAAATATAGATGATATGCGAGTCCGAAACCATCAATCACTAGAGGGCAGTCATGTAATTTTTCTTTATCATATAGTCTTCCCTGATTGTTCTCAACGAAGGTCATCAAACCTCGAACTCCCATCCTAAGGTATTCTCATTCATCGAAAGCAAACTATAACAAATAGAAAAAGATTATTCCATGTAATACTTTGAGCCCAAAACAAGAAGTAAATTCGAAGCCAGTGTTTGACTTTTTTGTGAAAGTCTCACCGGTAAATATAGGAAACCTGAAGATAAAAGTTTGCTTTCTTGTTGTTACTATTTTTATTTCCAAGCTATTGGTAAGTCGACAATCAGAATGTACTCCTGTGACTCACTGTGAGAATAATGTTTTGTGTGATTGCAGTTTTTAGAAATCAAATTTTCTAAGAAACATAAATGGGATCCATGTTTTAAAAAAATAGGATGTCTATGGAAAAAAGTATTAGAAACGTTTGAATTTGCAGAGGAAATTTATCGATACCTTATATCATTTTGGCCCTCACAGATGTATTGAATCAACAATTGCTGATTAAAAAACAACAAACCTGATTATTAATATATATTAAGAACTGACTTCATAACAAAATTGAAATTGTAAACGAACTTTATGAACACCCTGTATTTCCAAATTCGAACAAAGAGTACCTTTTTGGAAACTTTCGATGTGAAAGCTCAGTAGAATCTTCCTATAAAGTGTCACCATAGCTTACTTCATTTCCATATAAAAATCCACAACTTATTGTTTATACTAACATTTTTATTTATATTTATCTAAACGCAAAAACATAGACGTAATAGTTAAAGTTATATATTATTTGAGACACACAGAGCTAACAAAACACTAATTATAATAAATAGAAACAAATATGAAATTTTCACGAGATCGCATTCTGCTAAGCGTAAGAAGAAACACTTGACATCGCAACCCTGATTACCCTGTGTGTTCACAGGTTTGAATCCCATTATTATGTGAGAAAAGATTGCTGGATTTGTCGCTGAAGGAATTACTTTGGAGTAATTACCCACCGAGACAAAATGCTCACAAATTAAATGCTGGACCCAGTTTTCAATAATATAATCAAGATATTATTACGGTAAGTCTAATTTAATTTTTAAGAATTCAAATTTGTTAGGCAAATGCCAGATTTTTAGTAGTTCAAATAATACACTTAAAATTTAAATAAACAATTAAATTCTGAAAGAAAATGCATTGAAAGATTGTCAGATTTATTCACTTGTTTGACTAAAATAAATAAACCAAAGCATTGCTTCGAAATGGAAAGTACAGGGCGGCTCAAAAACAGAATCCATAAGTTTCTTAATATTACTTCTACGAAAATGAAGAGATTTTATTCAAGTGGCGTTGTTGTAAACTGCTTGTCTGAGGAAATCCGACTTTGGTCGAACGAAACGTTACAGAAATACATTTGTGTTAGTGTGCAGCTGGACTCTTTAATTGGATAGAAAATTCATGTTTATTCAAGCTACAGCATCCTTGCAGTATTCGCATACAGATCCACTAGCATAAAGGCATAGAAGAAAGATAGAAAGTTAGCCTCGCGCAACCCAGTTCAATTTTATCCAAGTAAGTATTGAACTTTTGTGTATCGTTGTGTAAGTTTCAGTAATCCAAATCAAATATGGTTCTCAAAAGGCAGGCCGCACCCTACAAAGGATGCATGGACAATATTTTGAGAAGCAGTGAAGCTAATTTGAAAAAATAAATTGTTAGATTTAACTTTGGCCGCCTTATTTTGGATATTTACGCTGAGTATTTGAATAAAACATACTTTCGCCCTATTATTACTTGTAGCCTAATATTAGCTACCAGTAGTTACCTTTGAGGTCGCAAGATTTGACAAATTCTAAGTTTGAAAACCACTGATCCAAATGCTTCGCACACTTTCCAAAATATGTTTTAAAAAAAGCTGGGTTCTGTTTTTGAGGGAGCCACCCTGTAATATAAAAAAAATTGAGATACATATAATTTATTTCAGATTTCAATTACCGGTATGTATGTAGGCAAAATATAATAACGTACAAAACAGGAATATTGCTTCTAGAATGGAACATATATACAGGAAAATGAAATCCAAATGTTTCTAAAAAAGGTGATTTTCAATTTACAAAAAAAAACTGAATGTGGAATGAGTGCTAATGGGAGTGTTGCAACTTCGCTCAAAGCATGGTCCCTACTCCCTATCCTTCGACTAAAAGTGGAAAGAGTACTTAATAGAAGAGTTGCAAGTTCGCTCGAAGCAAAATCCCGGGTACACAACTAAAAGTGGCGAAAGAGTACTGATAGAAGAGTTGCAAGTTTGATCAAACCAAGGTCCCCATGCCTTGTCTAAAAGTGGAAAGAGTACTTAATAGAAGAGTTGCAAGTTTGCTCAAAGAAAAATCCTGGGTACTCAATTGAAAGTGGTAAAAGTTTGATGATAAAGGATGGAATCGTCAGAAAATTGAGAGTTCACTATATTAATTATAACTATCCTAAGTGATTCATACATTCATTCAGGCATACACTATTCAGATTCAAAATTTGGTACTCCCGTATTATATGTGCCAGGTTAGGGTTTAACTTTATTCCGATTTTCCTTATTTTAGTTCTATTACGAGTTCGGGGACTGTCTGTGTTAGCCAAGTGAATATACCCCCTGCTCATAGGTTTCAATCCCTTTACACAGCCTGATGTAAAATAGGCGAACAAAATTACAGTAGTTACCTCCATATTTGTACACATAATTCTAGAGCGCCAAAATTTAGAATATGAAATTCTACTCTTCCGTTTGTTATTTATTTAATGATCTGCGGTTGCCATCGTTACACAGCCTGTGGTGTTTGGTGGCGTTTTCTTCCAATTACAAGCGTGGCACCGGGGTTAGGTCGCTTAAATGTATCTTAATTTCAAGCTTTTTTTTAGTATTCTATGTTTGACTTTTTTCTCAGTATGATTGAAAATTAGACTCACTCCCTCAATGGTGATGCTTCTCGATAACCATCACTGGTTTATCAAGTCTCCATTTACACTGAAATCCCTTTTTACATTTTTCTTAATTATGTTTGTACAATGTGTATTTTCGGCATGTGAAAAAATAAACTGACTGAATTATATGTATCTTGAATATTCTATGCCTGAGAAAGTCACCTTGGAAAGACCTTGAACATACAAAACGTTAGCTAGTATGCAGCAAGAGTATTGAATCACTTAGAATAGTTATTTTCATTCTTGCTACAACAACCTTGCATTATATGATCCTCCGGCAAAAAAGCATCTAGAAGTAGAATAGGTACTCCCGGAGTATGTGAACCAAGATGGCGACACCGGAACGTAGTATGAGTACCAAGCCATAATTTCAGGTAGAAATACTACGGAAGTCATTTGGCTAGTCCCCGAACTCATAATAGAACTAAAATACGAAAAATTGGAATAAAATTATGGCCTAACCCCAACCTGGTACACATACTACGTTCCGGTGTCCATCTTGGTTCACATACTTCGGGAGTACCGAAGAATAACTAGTGAGTCCCGCAGTATAACAAATTCAAATGTTTTTGAGCAGTTGATAACTTCAGGAATGATCATATTTGCACTAATGATTTGTTTTTTTCTTTTTAACAATCTGATGACGAAAAATTCAGAATGTCCATCCGTCATGATTCCTGATCATTTGGCTGAGTCAAAACTACAACTTTCGCATTTATAGTATTCGAAGTAGGATCGGTATTGTTAGTTGTGTCAGAGTGTGCACATTTACACCCGCAGGATTCTTTACTCTCTTTTTTAATAATGATTATCGGAACTCCTTGCACGGTAGTTTCTTTAAGCGCTTGCATCGCAGCTTTTGCGATCGTTTTGATTTCTTCCTCATCTTCAAGTGGTTCTTGTGACACTGTGTGCATTGCTGTAACTTGCGGTTCCATAAAAACTGGGTGCCCTGTTGTCATGGAAACGTTAGGCTCTGTGATCATGGAAGTATCGGTTTCCATACCGACACCATGGTTTGTTTCCATGGCAATATTTGGTACGTTTCCAATAGAAAATTGAGGAATGGTCTTCACAGCGATTTGTGGCGTACCCATAACACCACCATGGCTCTCCGTGTCCATGAGAATTTGAGAGCTTGTTGGCATAGCAACGGGATATTCAGGAATCCCACTAAGGTTGCCAGATTGGTCTGGGATAAGAGGAAAACTTGTTTCAAATTGGGGTTCTCCTCTATTGTACATGCTATTTTTATCTGGCAACTGTGGGATGTTATTTTGAAAAGAACTTGTTCCTATTTGAGATTGAGGATTTTGGAAAGATGTTTCATTGCAGTGAACATCAGGGCAAGAATGTTGTAATAGCGGGATATCTTCAACTCTTTGTGGATGATCAGTAAATTCATTCACAACGCCACCATGTGGATCATTTTGTTGTTGATTCATGAATTCATTTTGAGCTCTGTATTTTGGATCATCGATTGAAGATTGTGCAAATTGGTTTGTTTTGCTAGAAATTTTGCCAATTGAATTGTTATCTCGGTTCGAAGAACACATAGGCAAATCTGATTGGTCCATGGTGCTTTCATTTGTATCAGTATCAAAGCACTCAGATATATCAATTTGTTCACATATCGAGTCTAAAGAATTTAAAAGAACAGAAAGACCGCTGTTTGGGTCAACCACTACCGAATCACCCTTCGAGTTTTCATGGCCTTTGCTTATATGGTTTCGTAAAGTGTCTTTTCTTGTGTATGCTTTATTACAACCGTCTTTTTGACAAGAGTACGGGCGTTCTCCTGTGTGGGTTAAAACATGGGATTTTAAGTGATGGCTCGCGGTAAAAGCCTTTTTACAATCTTTTATCGTGCAATGAAATGGTCTTTCTCCAGTATGCGTGCGAAAATGTTTTCGTAAATCACTTAAAGTTGTGAAGTTTTTAACGCACCCATTGGATTCGCAATTAAATGTTTCACCGCTATGGACTCTCATATGAGCTTTAAGTCTATATAAAGTGTTAAACGATTTTCTACATTCACTAGTATTACATTCGTAAGGTCTTTCGCGAGTGTGTACACGAACGTGAACCTTTAAACTGTAACTTGTTAAAAACGCTTTTCCGCATCCTTCAACTGTACATGTGAACTGGTACTCCCCTTTGTGCGTTTTTTGATGAGTTTTTAAATTTCCAGCTGTTGAATAGGTCCGATCACATTGTGGATATTGGCATTGGAAATTCTTTTTCGTTGTTCTAGTAGATTGGTTGCTGTTCATAAAATGTTTTTCCATCTTCATACGATGAGCAAATAGACTAAATAATTTGCTAATAATTAATTAATTTACATCTGAATGAAAAATTCACATTTTTGCAGAAAAACAAGATAATGTTCAAATGACTTACGATACGTTCCATAAAACAAGAAAAAATGTGTGTGTATGAATAAAATTTCATAAAACGAAAATGTTCTTTAGAAAAATGACCGTTCAGAATTCAGAAAATCCCAATTATTGTTTTGAATGTGAAAATTTTTTCCTTTTTTTCATTTACCCTTTATGATTTATTTTAAACTTTTCAGAGAATAATTTGGCATAGGCATGATTTTTATCTATTCAGATATAAACATTGCAAATTTGTTGATTTTAAGAATAAATTAACATGAAACAAGCAGCATGATATCATCCTTCCATATCTAATAAACACAGAGAAAATGTAAAAATATTCAAAATTTGACTTGTCAATACAATCAGAATATCAGTACGAGACAGTACATTCCAGGAAACTGAAGTCTTTGGAAAAAACCCTTAATAATAACATAGTCTGGCAGGTACACTGACAATAAACAGGATAGAGCCAAGCAAAATTGACAACCAAGAACTTTTTTCAGGGAAAAGTTCAGAATGACACGGTTCCTCACGAATTACGCAATCTGTCAAATATAGACGTAGGTACACTGACAATAAACAGGTGTGAGTTTACAGCCAACCGCGTTTGACAAACGGAAACTTTTTTTGAGGAACAAGTTCCAAAGTTCATTACAAATTGCAATATCAGTCAAATGAGGATAGACACGTACACGTATAATGAACAGGTGAAAGCTCACAACTAACAGAGTTTGACAATCAAAATCTTTTTTCGAGTTCTGAAAGTTTAGAATCACATGGTTCATTAAGATATCTGTCAAATGAGCATAGCAACACAAAATTTTGTTAATGCAGCTCATACCATAAGCAGTAGGGCACAGTTTCCAAATTCCAAGAAGGATTGTGCTTCGTGTTAGTTTTTTGCGCAGTGCCAGTTTACCAATTCATGTCGATTTGGCTTACGCTCACTGTTATAATTGAAGTTTTTTCGTGTGGGGATTTTCTTGGAATCGCAGTGCCGAACTGACAAGCATGTAAGTTAGGCTCAAGTTTATTCTTTAGGCCTGTCAGGCTTAATAGGTGGCCTTGAGTCTTTCCTTTTCGGCCACCATAAATGTTTAGAAGTGTAAAATAGATTAGAAAGATGCATCATAACAGGAATTGTCTCCTTATTACGCATCGGCCAAGGATTTTGAATATTCGGTTTATCCAGTGCTTTATCTGCAATATCAAGATTGTCCAACTTTTCACGCACTAAAGATTCTAAATTTTCGTGAGCAGAATATTTCGGATCATCTCTTGGTATTGGGATAGTGTCTTCATATTTCACTTTTTCTTGTGGGTGATAAAGTACTATAGTGTGTTTGTCTTTTGTTATTGCGACTCTGGGGGCTCCCGGATCTGCGAAATGGTCATCATCATCAATATTTGACGTTTCTGATAAACTTGGGCTTGTAATGCCTCTTGTAATTCTAGTTAAGCTACGAAACAACAGTTTATCAATCTTTCTCAGCAGCATTGCTCGATACAATAATTCCCTTTCTGTTTCTGGAATTAGAAGATGTGTTGATTCCTATATCTGATTATCGTAAATTGTACAATAATGGAGAGAGAAAGATTTATTTTTTCGTCAACCGAAATAAAATAACAGTCATCGTAATATTAAAAAATAATAACAATTAATAAATTAGTTCGGTATAGACAGGAGGGAGTGATACGACCAGACCGTCATCTAAGCCAACTCACCATGCAGCCATGATTATCTGAATATGACAGGCAAAAAGCTAATATAATAAAACAACAAAAAAGACAGAATACCAAGAAAAGTTCAAAATTAATTCTGATATAATATTTCTTCGGATTCGAACCTGCGAACCAACGATAGGTAATCATAGATGCAGTGGCGAGCGTATTCCTAATGCTTAGCACGATGCGCCACACCGCCGAGCCGATTTTGGAATTACATAACACTAACGGCAAATAACAGAATAATCATAACAATCACTATGCAATCAACCTGAATTGGTACAGATAGGCCTACCGGTACCTGTACGGTACTGTACGAGTACGTTATCCTAATCCTGTACGGTGATCGGACGGGACACCATGGTCCGCCAAACGATTGAGCTGTCTTATCATAGTATCTGCTTCCTGTCTAAGGAATACCACTATCGGTACTGTATACCGTACTTTCACTTCCCCAAATTAAATTAAGTTATTTATATCTGCAATGTGTAATAACATACCGTACAGCCGTATGCGATATAAATTATTTGAATTCGTTCAGTGGAATTACAGAATTATCTGTGAATCCCAGTCCAGCTGCCTCAATGTGGAAACCCTCTTGTAATTTTGAAAACCAAAGTCACATACACAAATAAAAATGATTTACTTTAACATTCCTCTACCAAATTTTATTCTTTCATTTTGTGAATATCATTGTAAATTCTAGAATGTTCTACCTCAATACTGCAATACGAAATTGTGAATCTTGAACATAATAACTTGAAGGGGGTTGTGGACTTTGATGACCGCCTGGTCGTATCACTGCCTCCTGTCTATACAAAACTAATTTTTTACTTGTTATTATTTTTAATTATCACGGTGACTGTTATTGTATTTTGGGTAACGAAAAAATAAATCTTTCTTTCTCCCAAGTTCATCTACTGACCTGCTCATCATGTGGCGCTGTCAAGTGGTTCTTGTATTTTTATGTTCGCACTCCGTGGTTGGCGCAACGCTAATGTGAAATCGAATTCCCAACGGTTTGATAAACTTTGGTGAACGTCGCGAGGGTAACCTTTGGAGCTACGATAAGGGGATTGAGTGCCCCTGCAGGGAGAACGACCCTCGCCGAAAACTGACTTTTTCAACAATAACTCAGGCCGAAAATGGGTCTTACTTTTTCCCACAGACAAAAACCATCAGCCTTGCCGACCGTATTCCAATTTGCCAATGAAACCTAATGTTTATGGTAGTTGAAAATTTTCTCGCTCTGTTATCCGAAAATATGCAGCAAATAAACGACGCGCCGATGCGTGTAGTATAAAGTCATTTAATAATTTTACCAATGACTTTGTCATACATTTTCGTTCTCCCTTCTTCATTTTCATTTAGTGAGCTGTCGCAACAAGGACACGGTGTGGCCCATCGTGCTAAACGTTGGGAATACGCTTGCCACCACACCCTCTTATTACTCTGCGTGGGTTCGAAGGTTCGAATCCCATGCGGTGATAGTTATGTGCAGGAGGATTGCAGAACTCCTCGCCCCCGTAGGGTGGTTCACGTAACCGCTTGTCGGTTACAGCTTCCTCCACCATCAAGTCCATGCCTCCGAAAACAAATACCCCGTATCCGGCATGAACGAGACGAGGAGCCGGACGAGAGGCCGTGGTTCGCCATAAGAATAAGCCGTCTTATCGGAATAAGTAAATAAAAGAGTATAGAATACATGATACATTCGAGTAATATATATCTAGTATAATAAGTATAATTATATTTTGATTTTCCCGCAAAAAAATCATACACAAAACACAAACAATGAACATACAGAAGATTGGGGAAATCGGATAAACTGACAAAACCTTTATAAAGGTTTTATACATGTAATTATACATGCGCCAGTTTACCCACATTCAACACACAAACATATATTCAAAATAAAAAAGACAAAGACACGAACGAGTATCGTTCGGACGTCAAACTTGTGTAACATAAACACTCGGTGGGTGCAAATTAATAAATACCCTTTGATATGATAGAATGCATGGCTATGGTATGTGTATCACAACAGTCCCACAAAAATATGGAATAAAAAACACTCGTTGACGTAAAATGGTGATGCTGTAGTTCAATTTTTATTGCAAAAATAATACAGTGACAAAAAATGTTACTAAAAAACAAGCTTTGTAAAAAGATTGAATGTTTCATAGCAGTCTATGCACAAACATGCGATGCGCAACTTACTAAAAATTTTATTTCTCTAGAAATCCAGTTATGGAAAGAATACGCTCACTTAGTTGGGCTGATGTTGGTAACTTAGAAGAAAATCATTCTCTGATTTTATGTCGAGCTGAATAACCAGATGTCATCTTTTGAGTTATTGACTTAGTGAACTGAGTACTTGAATCATTCTGTTAATTAAGCACATTTTATATGTGAAACAGTAAAGTCCATATCGACTCGCGACAACCGCGGAATGGGTTTTTGAATACGTCAATCTACCGTTTATGGTAGTTAAAAATTAGTTCATAACATTTATCGGCGCTCCCGTAAGTATGTGTACCAAGATGGCGCACAACCTGATAACCAATAGGTACACATATCATTTTCACATTGTGCGCCATCTTGGTACACATTCTACAGGAGCACCCAATTATCTCTATATCAAGACTGCCACACCCGACGCCCGACAGGTTGTTTACTCTGTGTTCCACGCTATAAATAAGTTTGTGAGCAGGCTTTACGAAATGAAGGCAGCGAGGAATCCAGCAATCCTCTCGCACATGATCATCCCCGCATGGGATTCCAACCTGCGATCCCACGAAAGGTAATCAGAGATGCGGTGGCGAGCGTATTCCTAACGCTTAGCGCGACGCGCCATACCGCCGAGCTCCATCGTTCGATCCGGCTATTTACTTCTAATTTTCGGTTTTCATTATCACGCCTGTATCAATGTTTAGTTTATTTATTTATCGCACAACTGCACATTTTGTTCGACAATCTCGAAAGATCTGTGCGATGGCCTACGAAAAATATAGGAATGAATTCGCAACCGAAATTTCCGAATTAATTCAATTCTCTATATCAGCATTTCCCAAACTTTTTTGGCCATGGAACACTTACGCTTTTTATCTCGCCTCGCGGAACACCAAAAAATAAAAGTGTAAAACTGATAAAGAAAAATGGTGCAGCGGTTCCCAAATGGTGCGTCGTGGCGAGTTGCCAAATTCACCTTGGAAACTAACAGAATCGCGTTAGATAACTAAAATATGATTGAATATTTTACATATTGCATTTATTAAAAAAGTTTAATAAATGCTGTGTGTAGGAATCAATAAATACATTTTAGCTTTCTATGTCGTTAACTTACTATTGCGTAGTATTTGTCGCTAATGTTACGTAACAATGGAGATAGAGATAGTTGCTGCAATTTCGCGAGTTGCAGTTTATTTATTTGCTGGCGACCAATTTAGTCGTAATGTTGATATCTTTTCCAGGGAACACTCGTAAGACGCTCGGAACACAGTTTGGGAAACGCTGCTCTATATTATCTTTCGTGTCGGCTTTGATCGTTCTTATCACTGCTGTAATATAAAAAGTGAGTAATATCTTTGGTACCGGCACCGGGATTCGTTGTCTCGGTTTGTATCTTTCTATCATGTCTATGTTATTTTTGCGTGAAATAGGGCTTCTGAAATGTCGTCACTGCGTATCCGTTCTGATAAAATTGACTTAATCGCATTTCTAAATATATAAATAAATTTTTCCGTTCGGAAATCATGGAAAATGTTACTTTATGAAGTACTTATATTGATGTTTTGAAATTTACAAAACGGCCCACTGAAACGTTGTCGAAAATTACGCGACATTGGCGCACATGATGCTCATACTATATTTTGACTTCTTTGTCTGTTAACGAATGGTGTGTATATAGATATGATTTACTTATTTATCCAAAGGGCGATAAGACCACTTACCGTAAATGCTCGTTTTACCGCCCGATCTTGATTAAGAGCCCGTTTGAATAGCCCGCCCGTGTGAACAGAACATAAAAATAAATAAGGGCCGGTGCTTGAATACCCGCCCGATGTAACAGCTGATTTTTCAGTGGTAGAGAACCATAGGGAATAAAGAGCGCTTTTGTCACAGCGCTGTTGAATTTTTAATTTTTTTTGAAAATTGAAAAAGTCGCCGATAACGCGTATGATTGCCTTTTGCTAAAATCGCCGAATGTTTTCATCGCTGTGACGTGTTATTTAGGCCGTAATCGCCTTTACGTTGACGTTTATTGTCTCTGATTCACAAATTTGTACCACGATAACGATGACAATTATTTTATTTTGTTACTCGCACGGAATTGTGCATCCGATGAGACTTATTATACGTTCATCGGCGGCGAGATTCTAAAGACAAATTAATGAATAAATCCACGACCTAAATTGTTCGATTAAAAAGCGGCAATATAAAATACTGAAAATAAAACCGTAAACAAGTGTTGTTGAGGCCCGCGACAGTTTAAAAACGCTTTTCTAGGCATTGAAAATCGCAAAATTTCTTCTGCGTACGGCACACATTATGTTCGCTCCGCGTTTAGTTAGAACTTATCGTCACTAGAATCGAAACACGGTGAATTGTGAGCGGGATTTACCTTGTTATCCATTACTTTTACTGGAGTTGCCGTCGAAAATGTTCGTGTTAACATTAAACAAGGTTGAGAACGCGACTTTTCCCGGTTTGTGATGATGTATAAGATAATTAATCTATAAAGTACATTCGAACAAAATTTATTGTACTAAAATAAAATTTATCCGTGAGATTTTAAAGCAGAATTACGGATTTTTCGGAACGTTTTATCCTTAAAAATAATCGGAGTGGCAGCATTGCGATTGAAACGAGTCAGTGTTATAAGTACATCTCAAATTTGTGGAATTTGCAAAAAAGAAAAATACAGATCAAAACAATATATAATCGGGCAGTTTACCACACATTTTTATGTCCGCGGAATGCCGTGGTGCTTTAGAGTGGCTCTTGTTTTGTCGACGCAACCACAGTTTAAATTGATGACAATTAAATTAATAAAGCAAGACATTTTAAATATGCCCGTACCGGTCATGAATTGATTACTTGGCACAACAGAAAATTTATTTTTCGTTGAAAAAGTTTGCTCTTTTAACAAGTGGTGTTAGAGCGGCGACTGTTTGACGTGGATTTCGAGGCGGTGAAGGCGGGTGAATATGTATTTTTGATTTACTGATACAACCTACTTATATGTATTTTCATTGTATAAAGTAAAATTGTACTATACGGATTTTAAACAGATAATTTTACCGGTTAATTTTACCCGGTTAACGGTTGAAGTGTTTCTCCTGAAATTCCCGGCCCTAGTGATTAGATCTAATACGCACGATACAAGGAGATGCACAACGTTAAATAGCGCTAATTTTACGGAGAGATCGGGATTGGAATGCTTTGTGCCTTAACGCTAGGGTTACCATATTTTTGTGACTTCAAAGCGGGACGCCTCTAAAGGCCAAGATTTTCCGATTTTACAACATAGGCCTATATTTAGAGCCATCTGGATTCATTGACCATAATTGTCATCGAGAGCCATGCGCATATTCTCTATCTAAATATCGACTTCAGTTTGAAAAATAGAGAGGAATTGACGTTGACGAATTAAAATAATTCGAATTTAGATTTTTTTATGTTACGTTACAGCAAAAGGATGAAAGAATATTAAAATATCCAGCCGTTTTCAAGCATTGAAAATTTACTCATTAACCCAATCACACTTTTCTGTAGATAACACCTCCTTCAAAAAGACGTTATTCAATATAAAAATCAGAGCAGGAGAAATCAGTATTGATTTTACATGTGATAATAGCTTTCCCGCTCTGCTGACCAGCAACCCTCTTGACGTACAGATCTTACACATAACAAATTCTAACAATGTTTGCGGAAAACAACAAAACAAACAATATCACGCATTCTCCTTCAGTAAGTAGGCGACCAGTACGCTACACAGTAACGGTTGTGCTAATTGGTAGTGTTCGTGTATTATGCTGGCTGAACGCCAAAGCGGGACTTTTTGCTGACCGGCCGGGACAGGATGTTATAAAATGGGACTGTCCCGTCTAAAACGGGACGTATGGTAAGCCTACTTGAAGCAATTCCTAATATTGTATGCGCCCCGCACACAAAATAGAGACGATAATTGTATCCTCGCTATAATTCCAAAATAACGCTAGTCTAGTTAGATTTGTCAATGAGTTTTATATACATGTACGGCCCGGCGGTGTGGCTCAACGGGCTAAGCGTTAGGAATACGCTCTCCACCGCACCTCTAATTACTCTGCGTGGGTTCGCAGGTTCGAATCCCATGCAGGGACGGTTATGTGCGAGAGGATTGCTGGACTCCTCGCCGTCGTTTGGTGGTTCACGTAACCGCTGGTCGGTTACGGCTTCCTCCACCACCAAGTCCATGCTTCCGAAAACAAACAATACAGTAAAACTAATCCCATACCCGACTTGGAATGGTAACCGGACGAGAGGCCGTGGTTCGCCATATGGATAAGCCGTCTTATCGGCTTTCCTCTCCCCCGGAATAAATATGTAAAATCCTATCCTACTTGACCAGCGGCGGCTGCGTCAACCACCGTACGCGAAGTCCAGTGATCTTCTCGCACATAATTATCCTCCACAGGATTCGAACCTGCGAACCCATGCAGAGTAATCAGAGTTTTCAATTTTGAGTATTCTTCGCTAAATTGCGACTGGAGTCAATTCAATGACAGAGTTTTCAATTTTGGGTATTCTTCGCTAAATTTGTGACTGGAGACAATTCAATGACGAAGCAGAGTTCCCAAACACTGCCACATACAAACACTATTTAAACATTTTCTTTATTGTTTTATAAATAAATTGTTCTCCCACCAACACCAAAACTGCATTTCCAAAATTGTTTATCATCGTTAAAACCCAATAGTGCTGAATCAGCAGAAACTAGACTAAGTGAAAGCCCCATTTATAATTAAAATAGAAGAAGTATTTAAAGAAGTCCATTAGAAGTTAGTGTCAAGTACGTTTTCTCAGTAGCCACAAACATAACAGGGGCCAAAAATGGAAACAAATGCTTTACTTTAGTAACCATGCAAGAATTTCCGATATAAATATAACCCTATTTATAGGAAAAACAACAGATGTATCCAGAACAGTGTTCCCTCTAAGGTGTGCGCGCGCACACACATAGATTTACTGCGCACAGACGTATTTCGATGGAATGTAACAATGTGCTCGGTTGGCAGGTTGAGAAAATTTGTTGTTGGCCCACTTATTACCCGGTTAGAACGCCAAAATTTCCTCATTGGTTTTTGCACAAATATTAGTCATTTCCAAAAAAGTGCGCACACACCAAAATTTCTGCGCACACATACTACAAAAAATTAGAGGTAACATTGATCCAGAATGTGCAAAACTAGAATATCCATAACTTTTCGATCTACAAATAAAATTAAACATTTGAATCAGAATTGTGATTGCAACATGGGATTTTCATGTATAATTGCTCTTACAAAAAAGGTATCCTAGGACAAGGAAGTACCGTAGCCAGCCCAAAATTTTAGAAAAGCAAATTTTTTTTTGCATAATGACACTCATGAGTGCCTTTTCTTCTGAACAAAGCCAGATATAAGTAGTCATTGATATCTATTGAAGAATCACTATACAGAAATATTTCGCTGTTAAAGTTATCCAAGGCATATTAGCGTACATTTTCATCTATCTCGATTCATTTGGTGAAAGGATTAATAATAGCAAACCAGGAAACGTCCAGTTTTCAGTGAATCGTTCAAAAATAGAGCAAAATGGTGATGGAAAATAATGTAGGAATTTATGTCTTACTGCAAATGCCGCAAAATAGCTTTGAAAAAAATGTCCAAAATTTTTTCTTTTTTTTTGAAGGGGGGGCTAAGCCTTCCTGGCTCTGCCTGATGTCCCAGGACATACAGGTCGGGTATATTAAGGTTAACAGATTAGCCAAGAAAAAACGAGAATAACTTGAGAAAGGAAATGTCAAACATTGTAATAAAATCCTTTTTTTTTATAATTCACGAACACAATAAAAACGCATCACAATATCAGAAGGAGTTGTAAAATGGCGAGTATGAATATTATGACAATTACTAATGTATTTTGTTTAGGGGCTCCCGAAGTATGCGAACCAAGATGGCGGACATCGGAATGTAATATGTGTACTAGGTTAGGGTTAGGCGATAATTTTAGGTATAAATACTACGGGAGGCTTTTGGCTAGTCTTCGAACTGATAATAGGACTAAAATAAGGAAAATTGGAAAAAAATTATGGCCTAACCCTAACCTGTTACGTTCCGATGTCCGCCATCTTGGTTCGCATACTTCGGGAGTACCTTTGTTTATTTATATGGTGAATGAATTACTCTATTATCACAATTAGAAATCTCACTTCTTTTGCATTTGCTACCAGGTATAATCATGTCATGCTCTGATGAAGTTTTTCTGAATAGAAATTCAAAATGTCAGCAAATTATATCGTTTTAGTATACACCGGTTGTTCTTATTTATCTTTGACATGTTTTATTTTGTTTAAGCAAATGAAATAGGTGAAAGATATAGCCTAATAATTTAAATCACATAATAGGAGATATCTTTTTTTCTATTCACTCAGAGCAGCCATCCTAAGAAGTGAATATCAACCAATGAGTTGCATGCAATCACAAAAAAAGTAAAAAGCAGATATAAATGTATCGTTTTGAATGAGATTTAAGAAAAATGTATTTAAACGCTGAACTGGGAGCATTCAAGTCATATCTGTCAGATGAATTCTGGATCTATTTGTCACAATAAGTAAATTGAGAAAAGTTCGTAAGAAATTGACTTCCAGTTTTGTTATTTTGGGGGCAGAAAACGCTATTGGCATAAAAATTTCAAATTACATCGAAGCTCTCTAAAGAAAAATAAAGGAAATTAGGGGAATGTAGAGTATGGGAGCATTTACAAGAGATAATGGGAACCATCAGCCTCTTAAAAGAGGAAAAAACAATAATTTATCACCACATTTTTCAATTCCATGGCTAATGGTGACTTTTCCCGCGATATCAAAATCATGGTGCAATAAAATATTCTGAAACTTCCTCCACATAATTCTGTGGACACCCATTGTAACCCCAGAAGAACATCAAATATATTTGTGCTATGAAAAATTCAAATCAGCGTTTTTCATTGTTTTAAACCATGTTCATCAGGAACAGTATTCTTCTTAATGATATAAAATGATACGTCTGATAGTGCTTATTTGAACTCCTTTATCATAACTCTGTAAAAATTTCCATAACTGGACTGGGGGTCAAAATTAAAACCTATAGCAGATAATAATAAGATTTTTACTGAAATTAGAAGAAGTTATAGGCTACAGCATGCGAGCATCTGCAAATATAGGCGGAAAAAAAAACGATTTTTGATTAACATGTAGTAATTGATTTTGTTGCAGTACTTTTCCGAAAGCTATGAATTCTATATATTGTCCAATATTGCATATTCAATCTCCCTTGTCATAATTCTGAGTAAACACCATAAAATGTCCAAAAATGTTTACATATAAATGTGCCATGAGAAATTCAAATCTATGCTCATCTACGAGTTTTTAAAACGTGTTCAATAGTTTTCATCTATGCACAGAAAAACATAATATAATTACGCAATCGAAAATTAAGTTCAGCGTTCGGCTACGAATTTTAACCAATTTTATAGTTGAAGAAATGAACTAGGGGTCCAAATTAAAACCCATGCCTGATTATAATAAGACTTTCACTGAAACTAAGAAAATGTACAGTATGCGAGAATCTGCAAACAAAGATTGGTCATCAACATGGTGAAACTCATAAAGGATAAAATAACAACTGAAAAGAGAAACGATTTTTGATCAGCATGTCGTTATGGTTTTGTAGCAGTACTATTCCAAAAGATATCAAAGTCCAATAGTACATCATTAATCTCCCTTGCCATAATTCTAAGAAAAATGTCGATAAATTCTCCTACAACGAACCAGAGAGAATTACTAATAAACAGAATTGTGCTATAAAAAATTCAAATCTGTTCTCGGCTACGAGTTTTTAAAACATGTTCAATGGTTTTTATTTATGTACAAACGGCTTCAAATTTGGTCGCTTCATTTTAAATATCCTTCAATTCTTCAGGTAGGGGACTCTTCGGGTGTTTCGATTCAAAATGTTGCTTAAATGTCTTCGGATCTGGCATCTGTGACTGTAAAAAAATATATATTTCCAAATTTAATACAGCACTTATGACTGTGGTTCCTGAGAAAAACGATTTTTTTCCTGAGGTAATAATAAGAAGAGTAACAACAACAACATAATAACATCTTCGTGCCCAACAATCGGATCGGGACAGGCGAGACTACAAGGTTTATAACTGTGGAAAAATAGATATTTATAATAAAGCTTGTATTTCTGCCTTTCTCTCAGAACAAGGCACTATACAAGCAGCCACTGACTGGTAAAGTGTAAGAACCGAGACCTTTCCGTTTCAACATTCCGTACCCAAAGATGAGGGGAATTGTTTGAAAGCGGTGAAAACACATTTTATAAAAAAAGAGACAGTGGTTTGCAATATAATTATAAAAAGCACCAACTTAAAACGAAATAGCCTATTAGGGGGGAGGGGGGGGGGGCTATTTGAGTAGTTTTTGACATTTGAACCGATGTAAAATCTGAGTGAAATCGATTCTCCGTGAAATTATGGTTTCATTGTAACATTCTGACCCTGTACTTCCTTGCATAACAGTTTGAGTCTTATTCAATGTATTCAAGTCACCTTAAAATGCAATTTTTTTTCGGAAGTCAGTATACTCAATTTACCTCATTTTTCGAGGATAATTGAGTATACTGACATCTACCAGTTAAATCAAATCTAAGAAAGCCCTAGAACCAAATCAAAGACCTTCATGAGAAACTTGGGTACATATGGTTTATTTTAAAAAATAGTAATTTCAAAAACCTTGGAACATAATTATCTGACATCACTTTAAACTTGGTATGATAGATCGCGATTATGGTTTCCATAAACTTTTTACCACAAATAGGCTTTTAGTTTAAATACGATTTCACTATGGAATAGAAATGGGTGGTTTGACTTGGCCAACAACTTCCTTGATAGAGATACTTTTTATGTTCCTATTTTGGGTTAAATCTAACACAAAATCTTTGAGCTCTTTCATACACTGGTATCATACAAAGTTCATTTTATATACATTGGTGAGGACAACTTGGCCAAGGAATTCCCTTTCCACGTATTTCAACCAGCCAGTCAAGGTCTTGATTTCATTAATGTCAGAATATGCTACTTATAGTTAGTCCTCTGTTATAATCAGCTGTACAATGTGAGAATTCTGTTTCATATTCTGTCTCATCGTCAATAAATCCCAATCTAATTCTGACTCTGTTACTGCTTTTCTGAACTAATATTATGATCTTTGTTTTTCTTTTTTCTACCAATCATATCCGTTTCAAGTCTATCCTATCAGTATAATGGTATATACTTTCAACTGACGTTATATAGTTTTCGCCTGAATTCTTTTTCTGGGGCGCCTGTTTTTTCAATATTACTACATGTTTTCGGAGATGACAGTGAGTGTGATTACGTCAACTAAAGCCTTTGTAAATGCACTAAGCTTACTGGTGGAGTAGGACTCTGTGCTTGGCTTGTCCACAGCTTTCTTTTTTACCATTTTTTTTTAGTTACAAGAAAAGAACTGCTTTCCCAAAATCCTACGATTGCCCATTGTGGATTTACACTCATATTCATGAAAAATAGAAGCCTATATTTGAAGATGGACATGATAAAGGCTACAAAAAAGTGTTAGGGCTCAAAATAGTCACACAGAACCTCATAATCCTGTGTTATAGCAGTGGGAGAGGCCATTTATGCATATACCCAATTTACCCCACGGTAAATTTCCGACAGACTCAATTTACCTAGATTTTTTCAAACATCAATGAAACAAAAAGTCAATGGGTTACACAAAGTTATACGCAATGAAATGGAAGCATAGGATATGAACTATTGTTGCTACAAAGTACAAACCATTCACTCAACATACAAAAAAGTTAGCGAGGTTTTTATACCTTGTACTCAATTAACCCCATATGCTCAATATACCCCCCCCCCCCTCACAAAAGTCAGTCAGTTGTTTATCACATGGCAAAAATACACATTGTTCAAACATAATTAACGAAGCTAAAAAAAAATGCATTTCAGTGTGAAGGAAGAAGCGATAAACCAGTCATGGTTATTGAGCAGTGTGAGGGAGTGAGTCAAACATTAAATCATGCTGAGAAGACAAGTCAAGCATAAAAACTAACAAAAGCCGGACTTTGAGACACATTTAAGCAACCCGATATCCTGGTGTCACTCTAGTTAACTGAAGAAGACGAATCCAGATGCGACAGGCCGGAGTAACCATAGCAACTGCGGATCCTCCGGAAAAAATATGAACATCTCAATCATTACAGATTTGAATTATATCTTACCTTACAAACAGGACATTGATGAATAAGGGCAGCCTTTGCAGCAGCTTTCTGGCTGCAACCTTTACCTTTCGCCATTTTATCCTTCTTTTGCTGATTTTTTTGTTGAGACTGAATCTTTTGATGACCACGCGCCATCTTGAATTTTTCTGCTCAGTTTATTTTTATATTTAATCAACAACAAGACAGTTTTTGTTACTTATAGTTAACTACAATCTGAATTAAAACATATTTTTAGTCTTACTTTGAAAAGTTTGTTAAAATCATGCACAAAATTGTAAAGGGAACACAAAATTATTATTTTAAAAAGAGGAAACACTGTAACATGCATAAAATCACACTAAAACACACACAATTTAAATTATCAATAAAAACAATCTATATTTTGAACCATTAACTGGTAGTTCATGTACCAAAATTAGATGGAGAGGGCAAGCAATTGTGCAAATTAAAACCTTATTGAGTATGTATTACTCAGGTAGCAAAGATTCTTGTAGGCAAATAGGCACTATCAAGTATGATCTTTTCATTCGTTTTTATTAGACTGTAAAAAAATCAATGATAGCTTGCAATAAAATATGCGTTATTATATCAGTAAGCGTTTTTCCTTAAACCCAGGATATGGAACATACAGAATATAAAGCGTGTCCAAAAAATTTCGCCAAATTTTAAAGTACGGTAATAAAAATTCAAAAATTTGCTTGATTTTATAGTAATAGCAATTGTAAGTTTAAATAAATTCTATTGTATGATAAATGAGAACTACAAACACAATAAGAACTATTAAAAAACAAATAAATTTTTATAGTTATTCATTTAAAATAGGGAGAAACTTCTTGGACACCCTGTACATATGGGTAGAGAGGGGAAAGCATGAACGAAATTAATATTTAAAGAATAACAAATATTAAAATCGAATAATTAACAGAGCCGGAACCACAAAGCCAAAGCGTTTTTAATCTTGAACCAAGTTTACCATATTAATTGGGAATTAGTAGGTCTAAACCATCCCAAGTCTATCTATGGGGAAAAAAATGAAGCAGTAGCCTGTAGCTTCATGTTAATGCGCAGCAAGACTCTTAGAATTACTGAATCATGTATCAATTTGATCACTTCAGCATAGCCTGTCTTCTTATTAGTTCCCTGTAAATCCGGCCCGATCTCAGAAGTTCAAAATGTGAGCCTATTTCTGCAATCTGGCCGTTTGAAACGACAGCAATTATATCTGCATTTTGTATTGTGCTGAGCCTGTGTGCGATTACAAGGACTGTTCGTCCAACCATGACATGATCAAGCGCTTCTTGTACCAAACGTTCTGATTCAGCATCTAGAGCGCTTGTAGCTTCATCGAGAATTAAAATCGCTGGGTTTTTAATTAACGCCCGAGCAATTGCGATTCGTTGTTTTTGCCCTCCGGAAAGAGATAACCCCCGCTCTCCGACAATTGTATCGTACCCGTTCGGGAAATTTGATATAAATTGCTCGGCGTTTGCAAGTTTTGCTGCTTCCATAATTTCTGCGTCCGTGGCGTCCGGTTTTCCATACCGTATATTCTCAGCTATCGTTGTATTAAATAAAACAGGTTCTTGGCTTATATAGCCTATCACCTTTTCTCGTAACCAGGAAGGGTCAAGTTTCTTTAAATCTTTTCCATCGAGGGTGATTTTTCCAGCAGTAGGATCATAAAATCTTTCTATTAAACTGGCAACAGTCGATTTGCCGCCTCCAGAAAGTCCACAGAGAGCTATTACTTTACACGGTGGTAGTTTTAAAGATATATCCTTCAAAACTAAACAATCTGGCCGAGAAGGGTATGAAAAACGAACATTATGGAACTCCACTTCTCCTATTAAAGAGTAATGTGGAATTTTCCAACCACCGGTTAAACTCATTTCTGGTTTTAGTTCAATATATTCCATAACTCTTGAAGCTGCTTCAGCGCCGCGTATTGCGGATCCGAAAAGTACAGAAAGAGACGCAAGCGAGCGTTGTATCATCTGCGACGCGACTAAAAATGACATCAATTCTCCAGGCTGCATTCCGTATGAAGACACAAGAAAACCCCCGCAGTATATCATTCCTAATACGATCCCATTTAGAGCGATATTTGTCATCCCTTGAAAAGCACCAATACCAATTCCAAGGGCTTGATTATAATCTTTTGCTTTTTCAATCTCGGCAGAATAGGCTTCAAATTCGGTTGTCTCCATCGCAAAAGCACGAACCGTACGAACATTTCCAATTGCTTCATTTGCGAAGGACGTTGCATATGCCATCTGGTCTTGCGCTTTACGTGAATAATGTCGCAAATATGCCCCCATAAGTGCACCGATTATAACAAGTCCTGGTATCACAATAGCCATCAGCATCGTCAACTTTGGTGATATTTTATACAAAGAAAAAATACATCCGATAGTCTGTGATGAACTTCTTAATCCTTGTGAAACACAAACTTTAAAAGAGCTTTTAAAATCTTGCACATCTGATGTCAAGCGGTCAATAAGTTCCCCAGTTTTGTGGACATCATAAAATGCTATATCTTGCTTTAAAAGACTTAAAAACAGATCTTTTCGCATTTCGCAAGCAATACGCTCGCCGACATTACTTAATAGAGAGATACAAATAAAAGTGAGAGCACCTTGACATAGATAATATAAAAGTAGCTTTGAGGATGAGTCTTGAAATATATTCACATAATCTGCGAACGATAGATTTGAGTTTATCTGTCTCGAAAGCAGATTCACTAACTCTCCCAATAATTGTGGAATTTGAATGTTGATAAAAGATGCCCCAAAAGCACTCGCGATTGCTAACAACAGAGGAAAAATCTGAGGCAAAATATACTTGATGAAAAAGTCATACCATTGCTTATATGAAGTAGTTTCTGGTTCTGTTTTTTCGTTAATTTCACTTTGTGCAACATATTCAGGTTCTGCACAGAAAACTTTCAAATTCTTTGACAGATTTAGTAGATTTATAGTTGCCAGACTTGTCCCACAAGCTAATAGCTTTTTGCTGAGTTGTTTATATTTTCCAAATCTTTCACCATTTATTGATATCTTCCTTCTTTTTAAAAATCTGGCGACAGTTCTCATTAACAGTTTTTGATCCTTAGTAACAAATTTTACATTTTGTTGAAAAAATGCTCGGTTTAAAGTTTGTAGATTCATTCCATGACGATGCTGGCAAACATTTTGTAGTAAAAAATTCATTTTTTTCTTAAAATAAACTTATTTGAAACTTGAATAAAATATGACTACGACTATATAGAATAGAAAATGCTAGTTAAATGAATAAGTTTAATCTGATTGCTCTATCTCTACATACAGACAGAATAAACACAGCAAAACAGAAAAAAGCGACAATAATATAACAAAAAAAACAGAGTAACCACAATAGCGAGCAGAGTGATATTTTGAGGAGGAGGGGAAATACTAGAATAGGACAGTAGGATCGGTTTTACAAGTTTATCCCAGGGGAGAAGATAGATGCTGAAGATAATTTGAACCTAATTAGCCGCACAACATTGAATCAGCAGATTCGAATAATTTACAATTCTGAATTATTCATTCAGTCATTGAATAACAGAATAAACTCTAATTCTGAAATTGCTGAATTAGGTCATGTTAAATACCAGAACACAGAACATGCATAAATCTGAAATTAATTAAGAACAGTTGAGGATTGTATGAGAGATAAATAATAAATTGTATTTTGATTATTTTCAACGTCATCACTCATCAGAAATAAAAAATTCCAGTTTATTTCGAATGCTAAATATCACAAATGAATATTTCTTCAAATAAATATTCTCAAAAGCCAGATATTAGAGCAGTAGACCATTATTCAATGGTAGCTGTACCAAACTGCCAAAAGTGATCAAAACACTAAATTTCATAATTTATAAAGGTTATTTTTTTCCTCAAAAAGTCGAAACGCACTCTAGGATAGGACTTTATCAAATGATTGAATAACTCTTGAAAATTACTGAAATATGAAGAACTAGGCTATACTGGTACCACTCGATCCTCACACAAAAATTAATAACCGTAATCAAACAAAACGCCACCTTTTTTTCCTAATTGATCGAATTAAAATTTGATTAGATCCCATTTCAAGAAAATAAACATTTGCATAGAAAAAACAGGAAAACACAATTTTATAAATCCACAATAAGAATAACTTGTATACAAACAAAAACATAGACTATAACCCAATCCCCATTTTACATCATTAGTCCAATTGATTGATTGATTTTGATATTCCAGTTCAATTCTGAAATTTCCAGTCAAATTGTCCATTTCGATTTTCCATGTTGTGATATGTAGAATACCATTTAAAGATTAAATTTATTTTAGTTTATAGATTATAGGCATACAGGCATGTGAACAAAACATTTTAGAATCATACACATAATACTGTACGGTAATACACAAACAAAACGCCACCGGCAAACTTTCCAAAATTCCACGAAACCATAATCGCGTTGAGAATATTGATGACTAATCCGGTTAGCAAAGAGTCAAAATTATCAATACCGGGTATATTGATTTAGGATAGGATTTACATCATTGAGGTGTATTAACACCTCAGTGATTTACATATTTATTCCGGAGAAGAGGAAACCTATAAGACGGTTTAATCATATGGCGAACCACGGCCTCTCATCCGGTTACCAGTCCAGGTCTGATATGGGATTAGTTAGCCAGTTATTTGTTTTCGGAAGCATAGACTTGATGGTAGAGGAAGCCGTAACCGACCAGCGTTACGTGAACGTCGTGAACCACCTACGGCGGCGAGGAGTCCAGCAATCCTCTCGCACATGATCATCCCCGCATGGGATTCGAACCTGCGAACCCACGAAGGATAATCAGAGATGCGGTAGCGAGCGTATTCCTAACGTTTAGCACGATGCGCCACACCGCCGATTTCAACAACAGGCATCCATCAACACTCGAAGAAAGAAAGGGTTTCCGTCTTCGAGTTGAGAGGAAAGTGGGAAAGAAATCAAAAGCGTTTTTTGTGGCTGGCTGTAGAAAGTATTCTTATACTATAAGTGAGACCGGTGTGACTGCTTAGACAATTATGTGACAAAAACTACATTTGGTTTTCCCACGGCATCTGGAGGACCTGTTGCGGACTTTTTTTTCCTTGTTGTGCTGGTGTGAACTTGTTTTAAATTTTCAATGTATGACTCCTGAATACTATTAGCTTAACAACAGATGTCGCTGCTTGATAACCAGTATTGGGTTTTCGCGTCCCCTTCAGCCTGTAACACCATTTTTACGTTTTTTTTTATTTTGTTTGTGCAAAATGTATTTAGCCTACATGATGGTGGAAAAATACAATACTGATTACTGTATTGAAATACTCGTCACTCCGTCAAATTTTGGTTTCTGATGCTCAATTTTCTGAACGGCCCCGTACTCAGAGCTCGGCGGTGTGACGCATTGGGCTAAGCGTTAGGAATACGCTAGTCACCACACCTCTTATTACCATGCATGGGTTCACATGTTCGAATCCCATTTTGAGATAATTATAATCCATATGATTCTGCTCCTCGTTACCGTGGTGTTCACGTAACCGCGTCGGTTGCGGATTCCTCCAACATAAGTTCATGCATTGAAACAAAGACCTGGCTAACTAATCCTATACCCGACAAGCACTGGTAATAGAGCGATATGCTGGAGTGTCTCCCTTGCCTAGGATTATTGAGTCCGTTTCAGGCCTCGAATCTGCATAAGCATTGGGAATTTTTTTGTGACTTGCTTGCAGGATAAACTATTTTTGTGAACTGACGATTGGGTGGAGATGGAGATTAAAAACGCGTCAACGGTTTCACGTAGGCTACTCTTGAACTCTCTCTTCAACGTGCTTTTAAACTTTCCCTCAAGGTATTTGTCCGCTATCGCCACAGTTCTACACATCGTTGTGTACATGGAAAAACCAATTATTTTGTGTGGTACAGCTGGATGTTCGAAGTTGGTTATTTTTTTAAACCAAGTGTTGTGAAATTTTCACCCAAGAATATGCTCATATACTAAACAGCATTTATGGCTAAAAATTTGAATATCTATTATGGCCGACAATGAAGAAACACCAACCGAACAAAATTAGTTACCTTCATATTCTTCATATTAGAACACACACTTCTGGAGCGCTGTCTTTTGTGAGTAATAAAGACGTCATTCCGCGAATATAGTATATATGAAACAATACACAACTAAAGGTCGAAAATACAGTAGTTTCGTAATCTAAGTAATAAAAATTCCCTTCTTGACTTGCAAAACTTGAACAATTATCCTATAACACCAGGAAATGACGGTTACACACTGTTAAAAATAGGCAGTAATCTATCTGGCATTTTTGTATCTTAAAGTAATGCTGGAAACGTAGGAATGAAGTAGCTATTAAAACGTATAAATAAATATCCATTCCGGCGAAATTATATCACATAAATCTTATTAGCAAACACGCGTTCGCGCTATAGATCGTTCTCGCAAAATCAAAATTTCTTGGTTAACTTTACTGCAAGATATTTATCACAGTGGTTACTATACCTTTGCTGACCATTTCAGAATTTAAGTTTAAACTACTAGTAGTAACTACTTCCTTTTAGTAATAGGAATACAGGGCAAGCATGACTAGTGAAGGCAATGCGATGAAACCAGTAATTATCATTGAACCAATTTTGTTGATGTTTTTTCTGAACAAATATTAGTCAACTTAGTAACTATAAAATGCCACAGATTTTGCGAATTTTTTATCATTTTAAAAAGTTTATGAATGAATGTCACAAACGCGTATGATCTAATAACCAGTCACGTAGCACAAGTACCATCTCTCGCATATCTTCCAGGTTTTGTTCTAAAATATATTGTTTGACAAGATGACCGTGATAATCAGGGGAATCGGAATTATTCTGTTTTTCATGACGGGTAAGTTTTTCAATATTTATCTGTTCTTTAGAATAACGAATTTTTTTTTTTGCGCTACTAATTCGTCCCATTTTCCACGAAAGTCACCCGAGGAGAATATTTTCAAATGTATTCTTCTAAGTTATTAAAACGATTACGTAACTAGATACCCAATTTAGACAAAATTATTCATGATTTTCAATTACATCCTCTGAAAACACTTTACGATAAATTTTAAAATTTTTCTTTTTGATGCGCTAATTTCGTCCCATTTAGTATATAAACCACCCGAGTGGAGAAAAAGCTTTATAGACAATAGACAATACGTTTATTTTGTCGTGCAAGAAATAGCAACGAAAATTCACAACAGATAAAAAATTATGCATCACAGTAACGGATTTCATTGCAATTGACAGGAAGTCATGAAGGACCAGAAATGGTCATCATAAGTCAGTGATCCCTTATATATGTATAGATTCGAATTAGATTTCCTAAAGTGCATGAATTAGATTTCCTAACTATTATTTTTTGAATTATTGAAAATCGATCGTCGCAATGATGACTCGAAGATCGAATTTTATACTCAATTCCACCCACCCCCTTCAAATATTCTTGAAGCATTTTCTGATGTGATGTCAAGAAGTCGAAATAAACTTGAAATACTTTCTCAATACTCTAATGTCGTCACAAAATATGAGTCACCACTTTTTAAATATGCCTCAAATATTTTGGGACATTTTCCTAATAAATTAGTGACGTCATAAAATATGACATCACTTGATCTGATGTCCCCATTTTTTTCAAATTCCTCATCCTTTAAAAATTAAAAAAAAAACATAATAAGATAATGAGGTAACAAAATATGATCCTTTTAATTATGTGTCGCATCGAAATCTTAGATACTCTTTTTCAATAAGATAATGAAATACCGTACTTTTCACATATTTTGCAGTGTTCACCACTTGTAACGGCGACTGCCCCACTATTAGAAATGTATACGGTATGAAGGGAACAATTCGAAGCCCAGTGTCGGCAGATGGTTGTAGGCAAAGTTCTACTGAAAATTGTGCATGGGATTTCAAACACCCAGTTAAAAAAGTTAACTCAATGCTCCGAATCAACTTTTCTACAAAATTTATCCCAAAAGAAAGAAACCTGATACAACTAGGTGGCGGATGTAAGTTTTACTAAAATATATTTTTTCAGGATTAAATTGTGTTACTAGTAATTCCTAACTCTATTATGTCTAATATGCATTTCAAGAGTCCTGCTGCACACTAACACAAATCGTCCGACGTCCGACCAAAATTAGATTTCATTAGGATAGGATTTTACATATCTATCCCGGGGAGAGGAAAGCCGATAAGACGGCATATCCATATGGCGAACCACGGCCTCTCGTCCGGTTACCATTCCAAGTCGAGTATGGGATTAGTTATATTGTTTGTTTTCGGAAGCATGGCCTTGGTGGGTGGAGGAAGCCGTAACCGACCAGCGGTTACGTGGACCATTCAACGACGGCGAGGAGTCCAGCAATCCTCTCGCACATAACCCCTGCATGAGATTCGAACCTGCGAACTCATGCAGAGTAATTAGAGGTGCGGTGACGAGCGTATTCTTAACGCTTAGCCCGTTGAGCCATCGGCGCCGCGCCGACAAGCAGTTTACAACAATTGCATTGCAATTGAATTGCATATTATGGTGTTTTCATTTCTGCTACAGCATCCTTGCAATATACGCATACGGGTCCACTAGCGCAAAGGCATTGAGGAAGGATTGTTATTTTTATTAACCACGCTGGTATCTCAATAATACGTACCGGTATTGGCCTCTTGCGCGCGCTCCGTCTCCGGATCCGCTAATATCCTACCGTTTTAAATTTTGGTCCCCACCAAGTCCATGCTCCCGGTAACAAATAACTGGCAAACTGAATTGGCGACGTTAATCGGTAAGCGGACAAGCGGCCGGGGTTTACTATGTGACTCAGCCGTCTTATCAAATTGCCACCCCCCCCCCCCCCCCCCCCCCCCCCCCGAAGATAATTTGTATATATACGCTATCTTATGACAGTATTGAAAATATTGGTACTCCTGTTGTATGCCAACCAAGATGGCGGCACCGGAACGTAGTATGTGTTAGTTTTAGGTCATAATTTTATTCCAATTTTCTATATTTTAGTTATATTACGAGTTTGGGGACTGGCCAAGTGACTCCCGCAGTATTTGTACCTAAAATTATGGCCTAACCCTAACCTGGTATACATACTACGTTCCGGTGTCCGCCATCTTGGTACGCATACTTCAGGAGTACCCAAATAACTGGCTCACTAATCTCATACCCCACGTGAATTAATAACCGGACGTTTGCGATAAGATTTGGCCGTCTTATGGGCTCCCCCCCCCCCCCCCCCCTCGCGACAGTAATAAAAATATTTTCATTAAACTCAGGCTGCATGCGGAGCGACTACGTCAACTTCAACTCGATAAATGATCAGGAATGTTGGGTTTCGTACAATTCTAATCTCTGCTTGGATCAAATTTTAAGAATGAATTGCCAAACCAATGGTTGGGCGTTTAATAAAATTGATACGAGAATTCGGTACCACTGTCAACCCACTGCAATGCAGTTTGAGATGTCCTACGAATATATTGACTGTGTAACAGGTAAAATAATTTTATGGAATTCCGTCCGCGCTCTATAGCAGAGGTGTGCAAGGTTTTTGGACCAAAAGCAATTTTGCTCAACTAGATTGGCGGCCATTTAAATGTGACGTAAAAAGTTACATTTTGTTAACAATATTCACAGTGTTACATAAGCAAGAGTGGAAAGCAATACGCTTCGTGTCCAAACTAAATTTAATCGCAATCTCAACAAATTCCTTGGGCTATTTCTTTAGCTAAAACATCAAAATTTGTTTTTAGTTTGGTTGTGGTAGAATCAAGCGGGCCAGATCAAATTACCGTGGTTTGCTCATGTCAACTGAGTCTATATTCTACTTTATTATAAAAATTTGCTTCAAGTAAGGCCATGCGCATTCACTCAGAATTAAAATCACGTCTGAGCAAATTTACCATCACTGACATGTCAAGATTTATTCGTATTTGATGTGATTTTACTAACATCCTTTGGGTGTTAGTAATATTGCGATACAGTTATATGGACACAAACAGTACGAAATTCAGAGCGCGGCCTGCGGCCATAAGACGCAACGGTTTTTAAGCAATACTGGTTTTAAGGGACCTCCTGAAGTATGCGCTTAGGGTTAGGTTTCAGGTTATGCGACATCTTTGTGCGCATACTTCAGGAGTACCGTTATTGATTGTATGCGACAAAGCAGGGGTCGCACATATTTTTAGAAAGTTGTAAACCGAACGGATGATACTTTTATGGTACTCCTGAAGTCCAAGATATCGCATAACCTGAACCCTAACTTGGTACACAACCTGATTTCAGGTTGTGCAACATCTTGGTGCGCATACTTCAGGAGGTCCATTTTATGATAAAATCAAGCAGTGATACATCTCTCGAATAAAATATAGATTTATTTCCTCATTGCACTGCATCTCAAAAAATAAATCCCATTTGAATATTTTTTACGCTATTGAACCCTTTGCACTTAGCATCAACTTTTCTGTGTTTTGTTGCCATTTATGCCGAATCCGGCCCGCAGGTTGCCGACCCCTGCAATAGAGCATAAAACACTACCTGATCCATACATACGGTCCATAACATACGATAATTTTATATTAATCTAAACTTTCAGGTAAACCAATAAAATCACCAACGACCACGTCGACCTCGACAACAACCACCTCACCCACAACTACGATTCGAAGAAAATTTCGTCTCGAACCTACTGCCCAATCACAAACTTCTCTCAAACCAACTAACCAATTACAAAGTTCTCTCAAACCTACTGACCAATCACAAACTTCTCTCAAACCAACTAACCAATTACAAAGTTCTCTCAAACCTACTGACCAATCACAAACTTCTCTCAAACCAACTAACCAATTACAAAGTTCTCTCAAACCTACTGACCAATCACAAACTTCTCTCAAACCAACTAACCAATCACAAAATTTTCTGAAATCAACTAACCAATCACAAAATTCTCTCAAACCAACTAACCAATCACAAAATTCTCTCAAACCTACTGACCAATCAGTAAATGATCTGGTTTCTACCGACCAATCGGAAGATGATCCTGCGGCCATACCTTACCTTACCATCGGGATTATTGTCGGCTCAATTGTGTTCGCATTCATATTGCAAATCGTGGTGGTCGGAGTCTATATTCATTGGAAAAAAAGGTAATTCACTATCGCATTGTAACTTCTACAACATTTCATCGCAGCGTTGAGAGTGGACTCACCCTATTTGGAGAATAAATTTAGACTTGCGCATTTGAAATCGCAGTTTATTCACTATGAAGTAACGTTATCCTCGTGAATGGTATCAAGTTAATATTTGGTACTCCCGTAGTGTGTGAACCAAGATGGCGGACACCGGAACGTAGTATGTGTACCAGGTTAGAGTTAGGCCATAATTTTTTTCAAAATTCCTTATTTTAGTTCTATTACAAGTTCGGGGATTAGCCGAGAGACTCACGTAGTATTTGTACCTGAAATTATGGCCTAACTCTAACCTGATACACAAACTACGTTCCTCCCGCCTACCTAGGTAGTCGGTTTCAAAAACATCTAATCTAGACAATGACATACCGTGTTTCCCGAAAAATAAGAGCTAGTCTAAAAATAAAAGAACTCTTTTTTCAAAATGATAATAATACAAGCCCTCCCTCTAAAATAAGACCTAGTCGATAGCGCGACATTTATTTTGACCTAGTCAATAGCAAGAATCTCTTCTACACGTTTTAAATGAATAATAACCTATGTTTAGCAGTTATTATAAATAAAAACGTGTTATTTATGAGTAAATAGATATCTGTTTTCATATTTTGTATATTTGAAAATTTCTTAATTCTCTACTTTACAATTTTGTTTTTGATAACAAAAAATAAAAGACATCTCCCACAAAAATAGGCCTTAGCAGTGGCGTAGCATCCACTTCCGCAACCCCCGCGGTCGCGGGAGGGCCCACAGCGCAAAGGGGCTCAAGCGGTTAGAATTTAGAAATTTAAGCCGCAAAACCAAAAACTGTATTACAAAACCAGTAATGCACATCTTATAACGTTGATGTTAGTTCTACTTAAATCGTTTTGTTACGTAACAATGCCAGGGAGTCGTCGATTTTCGGCGTCTTGTGTTTTGATCGCACTGGCAAAATTACGAAGGCTGTCAGAATGATGTCGAAAGCAAAACCTCTCAGTGGCGCACAGAAACGCAGAAAAAGGGCAGAAGAGGAAAACGTATGAAACAAATCAAAGTACCAAGATAAACGGCAAATTTTAGATTACCATTGCCTTTTCATAGCGACATGTTATGCTTTTAGACGAAATAAAAAAAAGCGTTGTTTTAGCTTATGTCCGAGAGTTTTAGGGTCATTTCCTCGAAATATTTTTGCGGGGGGGCCCACGAGAGTCTTGCTACGCCACTAGGCCTTAGTGTTATTTTTCGAAAGAAAATTGAAAGAAGATCAAGTCCTATTTTTGGGGAAACGCGGTACTCATTTCAAACCCTTCGTGGTCTGCAAAAATTTCACTTGTGAAGACAGCTATGATATCTTGCTGAGTCGGGAAATCGTCTCTTATGCCGATGATCTACTTTTCGGATTTCATTGACGCCATTATATATGTTAACAAATATCGTAACTTTATAAAATTAGGCGATGACCTTAGGTTGGAACGTTTTCTTAACTGTATTGACATCGCAGTTTACACATCTTGAGTTCGTGCCCCATGCCCACTGTTCACCCAGGGTGTAGCTTACATATCGTTATAAATCTTTGAATCTCGTGCCGTGCCTTTTTCGGAACGTAAAAGGAGTGAATAGGTGCCCTAAAGGTAAAAAGGCTTAATAAGCACCTGCTAAAAAATAAATACTTTAATCATATTATAACTACTATATATTTTTATAGGAAACTTGTACATCGACAAGAAGACCATGGGATTCCAATTCAAGAATTAGGTACTCCGCAACCAGCTAACGCATCCACTGTTATTTACGAGGAAATCGGTGAATATAATCCGGCAGCTGTCACGAGTGAGACTGAATACACTACAATGAACCCGGTGTTACGTCATAATGAAGGAGAATACGTTGCTTGTTCGTCGTCGTCAGAGCCACATTACATCCTGCCCGAAACTCTGCCCCAGCGCCGACTCTAAGTCATCGCATCTTTGCAGCCGCTGTGGACCTCGTGATAATTTTAGGGCAAATTATTGAGTTTATCAAACAAAAATACTGTACAATTTAGATGATATATACAGGCTTGTCCATGGGAAACGTCCCATGGGATGGGACACATTTGTATTTCCCATGGGACACGTGGGACCGAAAACCGTATGATTTTGGGGGAAATGATGGTGAAACATTTCGTTATGGATTTTGTGTCCATATATTTCAGCATAGCTTTATTGTAAGTAATAAAGAGCAAAATATGTTCAGCATTAACAATAGACTTCGTGAAGGGGCTGATGGACACATGTATATTATTTATTTATAAATATAAAGTTTGTTGTTTTGCATGTCTCTTCGTACATGTAGTACATTTACTAGACGCTAAACCTGAATTTAATAATTTTTAATGAATTTTATTCCAATGGGAATCCCAGGAGGTGGAATGGGACAGAAAAATATGTCCCATGGACAAGCCTGGACATATATATACTGAATGACCACGCTACGCGCTCGCAGAGTAAGCTTATTTAATCGTTATTTTGCACTTAACGAGAATTTATTAAGGGAAGTTGCGGGTCGGACCCCTTTTAAGATATAAAAAAACAATTTTTGTCTGTATGTTACATCCGGCCCGCAGGTTGCCGACTCCTGCACTACGGGATTACCCTACTTTGTTTTGACTTTCGTGTCCATATATTAGAGTAACTCTCTCTTGTTCATTTTTAAGTAGTTTTCAAATTTTCTTCATTAGGTTAATAGTTTTTGTCCTAAATATTATGCGTTTGAAAGGTTGAAAACATTAAAAAAAATGATTTTCTCAAGTCTAAAAACCATACTCCCTCAACTTTTAAAACAAAATATACTAATTCATATTATTTAAAGTTTATATCTTAATATTCTAATAATTGTTATATATTTTACAATTTTCGAATCTCTTCCATCATAGATCTGTTTATTTTCTAAAAAATGATCGATATTTTGATCTTAATGTTTTGCAATGTAAAATGGAAGTTAATTTTTAATTACGTTTTATTAAAGCTTCGAGCTTATCTGTTGTTTTTAAATTAATAATATTTGTTAACAAATATACGCGGTTGTGATTAATTTTGTAGTTTACGCAGATTTTAAAGATAATTCATTTATTCCAAAATACGGAAAATTCATTGGGACTTCAAAATGCGTTTTAATATGACGTCACAGTATATATATATATTACCGTTGCGTAAAAATTACAAAAAATCACGTAATATCATGACGTTAACTTTTTAACTCCCCCTCAACGAATTCCCGTGTACGCCTCTGCCACACCCCTATCGGCCGATCTTTGATAAATTTTAAATTGGTGAATTTTCTTGTAATCCAAAATCACTCCCTAAAAACAAAAAAAAGGTCGTTTTTTTAACCGGAATTGCCCGGCTTTGAAGAAAGAAATGTATTTGCTAAATTTCCCATTCAACAATAATCAGTGTTCACATCGTAACGAAAAGCGGCAAGTGTTCAAAGTCCATTCCACACACGGAAATACAGGTTTACTTCAAAAATACGATTCCAATGTTCCCCTTCGTCTAACATCAGTTGTCCAGCAATGGAAACCTCCGCCAAGGGAATTCGCATATCGTAGACTGACTTTGATAGGTTGAATACCTTAATGTAAGAAATAATTCCGTAAGGAACAAAATATAGATTTGACCAGGGGTGGGCACGGTTTCAGACCAAGGGCCAAAAATTTTGCCCACCTAGACTAGCGGGCCATGTAAGTGTGACAGGCTCGGGGATGTGGCGCATCGTGCTAAGCGTTAGGAATACGCACGCCACCGCATCTCTGATTACCCTTCGTGGGATCGCAGGTTCGAATCCCATGCGGTGATGATCATGTGCGAGAGGATTGCTGGACTCCTCGCCGCCGTAGGTGGTTCACGCAACCGCTGGTCGGTTACGGCTTCCTCCACCATCAAGTCCATGCATCCGAAACAAATAACTGGCTCACTAATCCCATATCTACCCGACCTGGAAACCGGACGAGAGGCCGTGGTACGCCATATGTTTAAATCGTCTTATCGGCTCGGCGGTGTGGCGCATCGTGCTTAGCGTTTGGAATACGCTCGCCACCGCCCCCCTAATTAGGTTTGAATCGCATGCAGGGATAGTTATGTGCAAGAGGATTGCTGGACTCCCCGCCGTCGTAGAGTGATTCGCGTAATCGCTTGTCAATTACGGCTTCCTCCATCATCAAGTCCATGCATCTAAACAAATAACTGGCTAACTAATCGCATACCCGACATGGACTGGTGAATGGACGTGACTGGCCATAATATGTTTGTCTTATCGGCTCTTCTCTACCCTGGGATGAATATAAAAATATATCCTATCGTAAGTTACAAATGAATCACAATCTCTTACCCAGCCTTTCAAACATTTTAATAGTAGGAATCTCATTCGCATCACAGACAACTCGTTTCTCATCCAACATCAGAACGTTCATGGAAAGCCATTTTGACGACATCCATAGTGGATGTGCTGTATGAAGGAAAGATGGTTAGTCTTGTGGTGTAACTATCGTATATCCTCGCATATAATCCGAGTTCAAAGCTAAAAATTTGCCAAACTAAGAGGCAGCTTATTCGCGCATAACTCTGCTCTCACTCAAACGAAATGACATTGCGCTAACTTAATTCCAAAGCTACACATTGAACATAATGGGATTTGGAATCTACCAATCAAAATAACACTACAAATGCCGCGGAAATGATGAACAGGAGCGTCATAAGTGCTGAAAACCACCGGAGTGGGCCCAGTGCCGTGTCTAGGGTGTGGCTCGTGCCATGTGCGCCGTTTGGATAGATGCGCAAAATCAGCAAAAAGTTTTAATTGTAGAATATTTCAATAAAATAGTTTCAAATTGGAAATCATTCAAACTCATAATATTACTTAAACAAGAGAGCTATGCTCAAATATATGGATACGTAACGCCAGCCAATGGCAATAATTTTGATGACGTCATAGCGAAAAAAAAAGTAATAGCCTTTTGGAGAAAAATTTTATCTTTCACCACTGAAAATTTAAAAGCAATTGGTCCAGTATTCGAAGAGAAAAGCGATTTTTCAATGATAATGACGAAAGAAAATAACAATAACAACAAAATTTTGAAACGATCATTATGGCCACTAAACGTGTCCAAAAATAACATACACGTATCTTAATTCAACTACAGTCGATTGTCGGGAAATGATCAAGGGAGCGCATTTTAAACCTTGCCATTGGCGCCATTTTATGTAGATACGTCACTGGGTGAGTCACGAGTCATAAAACGTTGGCAACCGCTGGTATTGGTAAGGCAGACCACTACTTCTCTTTGACGTTCGTGTCCATATATTTGCACATTCTGGATCAATGTTACCTCTGATTTTTTGTAGTATGTGTGCGCAGAAATTTTGGTGTGTGCGCACTTTTTTAGAAATGACTAATATTTGTGCAAAAACCAAAGAAGAAATTTTGGCGTTCTAACCGGGTAATAAGTGGGCCAACAACAAACTTTCTCAACCTGCCAACCGAGCACATTGTTACATTACATCGAAATACGTCTGTGCAGGATAAATATATGCGTGTGCGCAGCCTCTGCACGCGCACACCTTAGAGGGAACACTGCTGGCTCGGTATTATTTGCATTTACTTACAGTCGGGAATTACAGGTTTTGCAGCTGTGACAATTTTCCATCCGGCTTTTTTGAACATTTCAATCTGAAGAAAGACGAATAGTTTTATGAGTATGTTGTGGTAGTTTATTTATTACAACTAAAATCATGGCTTTAAGAAACTAAAAACACATCTTAACTCAAACACAAGAACATAATTTCATTAAGTCCCTAAATATAGCTAAATTTAATCACCGTTTGATATTCGTAACAACTCGTAACTAATGCAGGACGGATGCAGTCCGTTGTCTGTTGACAATGATAATCAGTGATTACAATACAATAATGTAATAATGACGGGATATAAACAACGGAGCCTAGAGTGTAGAACACTGCACAATTGAAATTAACTCTCATAACAAATTACAATGGGATCTTTAGTAGAAAGCTCCAACACTTAAGCGAAAATGTGAGATTTTAGAACCCACCCATAACCCCCCCCCCCTCCCCGCCGCGTTTTAAAATAGCAAATTAGTGATCATCATTAGGTTAGGAATAAAAATGATCTTTCAGCGGAATCTGCTTTCCTAGCCCTCACCCTAACTGAACAATTTTTTTTTAAGTGTTTTTTTTTGGCGGGGCTTTATACAAAAGATCCGTACGATCGTTTATGAATATACAAGAGAGCTATGCTCAAATATATGGACACGTAGCGCCCCCTAATGATAATAATTTTGATGACGTCATAGCAACAACAAAAAAAAGTAATAGCCTTCTGAAGAAAATTTTTATCTTTAACCAATGAAAATTTCAAAACAATTGGTCCAGTAATCAAAGAGAAAAGCGATTTCTTCAAAACGTTATGTCCACTAAACGTGTCCAATAACATCGAAGTAAGCGGAGGTGCATATACATTTCTAGTCGTTGTATCCATGCCTGCATATAACTGTCAATAAGTTCACTTTATCGTTCAGCATTTATGAAACGCATGTGATAGACACTATTAAGCTCGCGACCCCTTCAAATATATTAAAATTTTCCGCGACCCGTGTCAAGTCGGCATTTTTATGTAAGCGTGCCGCTTCTCTGATTCTCCCGAAATCGTGAGTTTTATGTTTTGTAATCGTTTCAATAATTGTGTTTTCAATCAAAAGTGAAACTGCCCAAAGAAGCCTTTTTCAAATAAAATTTGATAACGGTGACGTCTAACTGTGTCAACAAGTTAACTATCTCATTAGTACTAAAATTTAATAATACTAAATAAAATTATGCCCGAATTCTAACCTGGTACACATACAACGGGAGCATCCTTACCTGATTGCAAGGTCGATCTGGGTTAGAGAGAACCAAGCCAGGTCCTATTATGTTGAACGTGGCGTCGATATGCATCGGGTTCGGGTCTTGGAATGAGATCTCGTGAACTTTGTACTCTGGCTCAAGATGGCGACGCATCCATTCTATTCCCATATAGTTGGTGACCTATGAAAAAGAAAAAAAAGTATAGAATAATGAAAATGCTCCCTATTTTAGAAGGGGGGGGTCTACGAAGTATTTACGACGACTATAATGCTCATTTATGCGCACATAAACTGCACAAAAGCGTGAGTGTGACTTGCGCATCATACTGATGGCTAAGGATCGATCCATTGAAGATTGGACAAATAAGTGTTTTTACGCATAGAGAGGGTTTCATTACATTTGAACCCATGACAATTGCACCTGCATAATATTGCACCTATGGAAATATTGTTTTGTTTTGCGGATATTTGAACCCATACTAACCCTAACCCATGGGTTTTAGCACCCGCATATAGATTGAACCCGCGGATATACACATGGGTTCAAACGTACGGTCACCATAGGAAGGGATCTGGCCGCGAGCCGTTATTTGCCAACCCTAGGTATACGGTAAAAGACAATTAATGAATAAATGAGTATATACCATGATCCTTCTCTGGTCCGGTAGTGCATATTTATATGCTTTATACACGCATGGTTATGATAATGACTGTAATATGAATATAGTGACATTACGAAATCTTCATCGCGTTTCGGAAAGAAATGAAGACGATCCTGAGGTATATGTACCAATATGGCGGTAACTAATTTTGTTTGCCTAATTCACATCAAGTTGTGAAAAGGGACTGGAACCTATGGACAGAGAGGTATTCACTTGGCTAACGCATACAGTAACCGAACTCGTAATAGAACCTTCAATAAGGAAAATTGGAATAAAATTATGACCTAACCCTTACCTGGTGCACATACTTCGAGAGTACCGAAATGAAACATCCTTCGAGCTCGCAGCCTTAACGTTACTTGACCTGAGCTTTGTCTTGTTAATGGCCAAATAATAGTAAAATTTCAACTTCTTTTTATAAGTATAACGTGACCGAAGCCACGATCACTTAATTAAAAGTCGAACGAACTTCGTACCTTACGCAACCCAAATGAAAATAAAAGTAGTAATGTTTCGAAACACTTATTGGGGGGTTTGCTTTTGCTAAAACCGGCGAACTTCGGACTTCAAGCAGCCTGAGCAATGTGTTATCTGCCGCAGACAAAATAAACTTTGCTATGTTGACAATGAATTGGGTTTCTTTTAGATCCGAATCAATCAAAAACCGCACTGTTGAAGTCCAGACAGTGTTTATCAACCTAGGAGCCGCGTGTTGCGACCCAAAACTGGGTGCTGCATGCGTGTGTCTGCGTAAAAACCTGGCACCATTTAATTTCCTTATTAAGTAAAGCCACGCGTCGATTTCAAAAACTCGCTGATAGCAAAGACGCTGTTATATGGAATGTTTAGTATACTTGGGTCGCTATATTTTACAAAATCTATTTTCTTTAAATGTGGGTAGGTTGATAAAAATGTCGGGAACGACTGGTCTAGTCTAGAATCTAGATTACGATGGCAGCCAGATTTTTTTAACAGGTGTTTAATACTTTTGGAGGCTTTAATTCAAGCAGTCAAAAGTCAATTTTATTTGTTGATCTATCAAAATGTGGTGTACCCGTTTGACATTACGTACCATGGTTCTTGCGTGTGTCTTTGTGACAAAATCTCCGGATAGGACGAGCAGTCTCATTTAATACATGCTAACTTTGAGCACGTGTGCTAAAACCGACGAACTTTAAACTTAGCGCAACTCAAATAATGTGTTGATACTTTTGAAGGATTTTATTGAGCAGTCACCTCTATCTGTTGGCCCATCAAATTGTGGTCCCGATATTTATTTTTGTCGCGAAAACACTATCCAAATCGTCGGGTCAGCGAATTCATTATTTCAGCAGCAGATGACGTCAAACAATTACGAAAGTATATTAACATTAATAAATACCACACATTTAAAGTTTTAACTAAAGTTCAAGTGCCTGGCCTCGTTTGACATTACACAGCATGATTCTTTTGCATGTCTTTGCGAAAAAAATCTTCCGAGAGAGCAACAATCTAATTTTATATATGCTTACTTCGAGAATGTGCTCAGATTCTACATCGTTTTTGTATTTGCGTATAGTGTTGATGATATTTTTTACTTCCATTGTATTATTGTAATGCGTATAATACCAAGTGGTCTAAACCCAGGCCCGCGGGCCCCGTGCGGCCCGCAGAACGATTTATATCCTTAATATAAAAAATGCCACCTTTGCAACATAACAATAAGGTGATTATATCAGTAAACTCCCATTTTTTAATATATTTAAAGTAAGTAAAATTGTAATATTTGATCCTTTTTTGGGTTTTGCTTCCAACTGCGGCCCGCGAGACCTCCTCAAAAATGGTTGCGGCCCTTCAACCTCGCAACCTTGGATCACCCTGATATGAGATATGCATACATTATTTACTGTAAAACGTAGTACTGTTTCGAAATACTTTGCGTTTGCTAAAACGGGCAAACTTTGATCTTACACGCAACTCAAACAATGTGTTATCTGTCACAGACAAAATAAACATTGCTAATTTGAAAAACTCGATTTCTTTTAGCTACGGATAAGCCAAAAATACACAACTCGATCTGATGACGTGCTAGATTACGATGGACCTCTTTGACATTATCTTATAGTTTTACTTTTTTTTAAAGTGCAACGTACTTTGGATACGGCTTTTAGGTTTTAACCTGGCTTTATTGGGGACTCCCGTATTATGGTTAGGCCATAATTTTATTCCGATTTTCCTTATTTTAGTTATATTACGAGTTTGGGAACTGTCTGTGTTAGCCAAGTGAATATAACCCCCGCCCATAGGTTTCAGTTCCTTTACACAACTTGATGTAAATTAAGCGAACAAAATGAGTTGCCTCCATATTGGTACACATACTTCTGAAACGCCATTTTTGGGGTGATGTGCGTCTTAATAAAATTTTCGCCGAAATTCGAAAAAACAGTTCAGAAGCCGGTATTTAAGATTGGAAGGACCTTCCTGGCCAGGCAATGCATATCTAACATATTATCCATTTTTAGGGAGGATTTTAAGACAGTTTCAAAACACCGACAGACTACTGATATAACTATCAGTAGCGGTGCGCGAGACTAACCCCCAATCTTTTCTTGTCATTGTTGTACACTGCTTGTCTAAGGAAGTCTGATTTTGGTCAGACGAAACGTTACAGAAATATATTTGTGTTAGTGTGCAGCAGGACTCTTGAAATGCATATTAAACTACTGATAGGTGTTAAAGCCACTGCCAAAAACTATTGCAGAACCAGGGATGTCAAAACCTTATATTTTACTATTTCAATTTAAAATTAAAATTTAAAAACATATTTTCAAAATTATTCAATTCTAGCTGTTTATGCTGAAATACTAGGTTAATTTGCCCGTTGTGTTAACAGTATATTTCAATGTTTAGTTAGAATGTTACCATAAATACTGAACACACAGCTTCTCAGTGTATTAACACACAAGTTAAGACAATATGTCATCGCGCCACCACGAGCAAAATCCAAACAGCTGTTCAAATTGTCAGTCTGACGTAAAACCGGTTTGGTTAAATGAATTTTGGAATACAGCTGATTGAATTATATCCGAGTTTTGAAGTAAGTTAAGTCGGGAATACCCCCCCCCCCCCCCCTATTTTAAATTAAAATATGAAAAAAAATATATCTACCTCCATTTAAAAACTATCATTTCTTGCGGTTTGACAGTGTCGGAGTCGCATATCGTTTGGAGCGTAGAGTCCTAGTCGAAATTTTTGTGAACAAGTAGTCGGAAACCTGCTAACCTTAACCTGTTACACATCAGTTCATGTTGTGCGCCATCTTTATACGAATACTACGGGAGCACCCAAAATTTTAACTAAAAAAACAGTAGGCTAACTTCAAATTTAAATTGTGACATAAAAACTAGAAAAAATAACGAATCTTAAAGCGTTGCCCAGGATTGAGAGTTGTCAATAAATGATATCAGATGTTTCACAATCACTCACGCTTTAAATACAAAAAAATTCATATAATGGAAGACATAGTTTTTGTGGTTGTATTCTGGTTTACCCCAATTCAAAGTTTTCCCGACCCCAACGAATCGTTTTTCTGAAATGCCGAGTCAAAATCGAGTCGGCACACTTTCATCTTACCCCGATTCCAAATTTTTTGGAATACGAAAAACACACAATTCAAAGATGAAATTTTTCATAATGTAATGACGGACAAAATTTCATGATTGACTTTTAGGTTTTTTAGAGTTGGTGTCGGAGTCTTTTCGATCCGGAACCGGAAATGTTTTTGAAAGACGGTGTCAGATAAAAATCAGATGTAAAAACATGTCATCTCCTGAAGCTTAGTTCCACACAATAATAAAATATCGCTTGCCAAATCTTAAAGGAAATATAAAAGAAAAAAGAAATTTTTTTTGGCACCTGGCTTCTTTGAGCAAATATGTCTTTTCCCGCGCGAATGAAGTCGGCAGCGTCGAAGCATGGTTCAAATTCCGTTGTTACGAATTTCCCTTGTGACGCAAGAATGTGACGATCTTGAACGTTGCTCATTGGATAATCCTGTGTAATGGTAATTTTAGAATTCAAACGATTTTTCTTTCTTTCAAAAAACTGGGATGTTTTAATTGCTTTTACGCTTTATGATTGCCGGGCACATTTGTTGAAAAAGTTAGCAAAATTGTCGCTATCTACCCCGCCAACATGAACATTAATACTCGCTTGAAACAAAATCGAAACAAGGAATACAATAAGAAGGACTCGCATCTCAAACCAATGATCTCTGGAAAATCTCTTAGAATCCCAGACTGGAATACATTCATCGACTACTCAGTTACAGACAATTACAACAGCTAAATGTGTCTGGTCCGGTGCTCGTTGTTTTTTAATAGCGATCATCTCATCGAAGACTCAACCAGAAATAGAGCTCATCACGTATACTCATATAATTCATCTATTTTCCTAACGTGAAGAAGATATGGAAATTTATGATGCCATACTTGATGACGTAATTGGAAATTGAAGATAGTTTTTATTTGTTTACGTGACACGGAAAAAACAGTATGACGTCATTGAATAGTATAACGCGAATAATTTTTATGACATCATACCAGATATACTGGAGCTAGTTTTAATTTATTTACTGAACGTGAAGAAAATATTTTATGACGCCATGCTTGATGACGTCATACGCTATCGAAGAACAATGCTAGTCACGGAATACAAGGAACTTACGCAGTCATAAAGATCGTCTTTCATCTCTGGCTTAGGAGCTGTCGTCCACTTTGCTCCCCTTCTGAAATAATCTTTGACTATCGAGCGATAAGCACGATACTCAAAGAATCTGGATCGCCAAGCCATTGGTGCCTCGATTATTTCTTCTCCTATGACGATCAGAATGTCGCGAGGCATGGCGGAATATAGACCTGTAAGTGTGTGAAAATGTTAGTAATTTGATTTTGAGGTATTTTGGAACGGGTCACATCGCAGGGTGGTAGGCAGGAATTTTCACAAAAAGAGAAGGGGCTACAATTTCTAATTGCAAATGTCCAACTGCTATTCTAAGTTGTCACATATATCTCTTCAACCATTACTTTTTCAATCTCATACGACGTTTTCATAAGCCTTCAGCAAGACTCTGTATAAGGGGCCATTAAACGATCAAATTTAATAGGAAATAAACTGAATAACTTTTAATATTTTACTTAAAACAAAACAACCCGAGATGATTTTACGGCGACCAATTTTTGGGTCGACGCCTATAGTTAGGCAACGGTACGGTCTTCTGGAGGAAACGAGAAAAAGACTTTGCTAGGCAGCATTCGCGACGACTACATTAATTTGAAGTAATTTCACTGTGATTTTTTTAATGTTTTCAATGTTGAACGTAGCTCATAAAAAACTGACGAAGACGCGTTAAAAGCTGAGTGCTGAGAGTCTCGACTCGGCAGTTGGCCCATTGCGCTATGCGTTGTGAATACGCTAGCCATTGTACCTCTGATTTCTCTGTACGGGTTCGTGGGTTCGAAACCCGTGGGTGATAGTTATGTGTGAGAGGCCCCCAGTCGCCATAGAGTGGCTCAGGTAATCGCTAGTCGGTTACGGCTTTCTCCACCCTCAAGTTCATATGTCTAAAAAAAAAAAACTGACACGTATACCCGACACGTAGTGGTAACCGACGAGATTGATTGAGTCGTGATATCGTCTTTCCTGGCGCCCGTGATAAATTAAAAAACGATATCCCAAAACGATTCCATTATACGAACCTTTAGCTTTGAAATCCGGAGTCTCATATTCCTTCGCCCAATCAACAATATCCGGTCTTCTTACGGTGACTCCTTCGTGTCGAAGAATATTGCAAAACTCTTCGACTTCTTTCACTGCGAGTTCAAGATGCTTCTCCGGGAATAGTTGTCCGCCATGTTTCTCGTAGAAATTCCAGTAAGCTTGGTTTGTATTTGCCTATAAATAGACACAATCCGATACTCCCGTAGTATGTGTACCAGGTTAGGGTTAGGCCAGGGGTGGGCAATTACTTTACTGAGTGGGCCGGATTCGGATAATAGACTTGGTTACTGGGCCAGAGGATCCAAACTCAAAATGATCAAAAACGGTTATTTGTAAATACGTAGACATAACGATTATTAATGGGACGTTATTGCAGAGGATGGCAAATTACGGCAGCTGCACGAATAAAGTTTATAGAAAAAGAAGTTTGCAAGTGTTTTAGAGAGTTGACACGTACAAACTGATTTACATGCACGAACCTCTCCATTTTTGTTTGATTATTGCAACTGAAGCTCACCGAAAGACATAGTGACAATTTAAACAGTTCATTTACAACTAATTTATTGAAACACAACTAAAAACCGACAAATTCACGCAAAACCGCTAAAACTAGGCAATGTTTACATCTATGCTCGAATATCTTTAATTGTTAGCTACGTCATCGTAAACTTTTTGATGATTGGTCATTGTTACGGAAATAACCAGGGGGAAACATCCATACGTAGGGAATTACGGTATTTACTTTAGCCGGCGATCGGTAATCGATATTTTTAATGGAATGTCATTTTAAATCATCGATACTTTCAACGGAAATTTATATTCATAAAAACCATAGTCCTGATGTCGGCACAAGTGGGCCGGATGAAACACTCGGGTGGGCCGGATCCGGCCCGCGGGCCGTAATTTGCCCACCCCTGGGTTAGGCCATAATTTTATTTCAATTTCCTCATTTTAGTTCTATTACGAGTTCGGGACTGTCTGTGTTAGCATACTGCACAGCAACTGCATTATGTAGTTGAACGGTCACAAAAAATAACTGACTGACTGAGGTTCTTACGGTGACCGTACATTTGAACCCATGCGTATATCCACGGGTTCAATCTATATGCGGGTGCTAAAACCCATGGGTTAGGGTTAGTATGGGTTTAACTATCCGTGAAACAAAAAAAATTCCATAGGTGCAATAGCATACAGGTGCAATTGTCATGGGTTCAAATGTACGTGGGTTCAAATGTAATGGAACCGTTCTTACATATCATACAGAGTGTACCTTGCTCGAAGTGTATTCTACAAAAGAAGGGTTCACAACCCGCGGCCCGCATGCGCCCGTCGATGCATATTTTGCGGCCCGCAAAGATCTTTGATGAACCCAAACATATATCACGATATCTGCGGCGTAACAAATATAAAAGATTTTTCAATACGGTATCATTCTTTTCATCCATGACAGCGGACGATAAGACTATGAATTGCGTCATTACAGAAAACAGATTAATTACGTATTGTTACGTGAAAATTGAGGTACTTAGCTCGCTTATCGCATTCTTTATCTACCTTCGGAAATGCGCTTCAAAATAGAATAAAAGAATGTAAAACATTGCTGCTGTTGAGTATACCCTTGCAACGGCAAAGTTACGATTGCTATCCATTAACCACGTTTCATAATGCATATAAATGAATACAAAAAGCATATTAACGGACTAATAAATGAATTAAACAGTATAAATACCCGACAATAATATTCTGTGGCCCGTCGCATCTTTTGTAGTTAAAATGCGGCCCGTTTACTTTGGAAGTTGAGTACCTCTGCTATAAAATATATATTTATTTACCTTGACTTCAACAGTAAAACTGGGAATACAGGCGCCTTCGGGTCTTCCAACGATAACTTCTTCAAGAGGATCCCATTCATTGTATGAAGATACGGGACAAGTGTCTTCGGCTGATTTCTGAATGAGATTAAGATTTAAAAACATGGAGCCCTTGGCACACTGAACTAGGAAAGTGGGTCTCGTGGTCCACAGCTCTTTACAAAGACTCTGAGCCAGGAGTTTACAACAGACGGCCCGTCAAGCAATCTAGTGTAGTCCATGTCAACACTTTTCGCCGTTTGTCCAGTGCCCTCGTAACTGAGCGTTCTGTCAGGCGAACTCGAAAGATATTGTGCGATCATTGAGGACGAACGCTGAGCGCAATTATAGGAATGAATTTGGAGCCTAAATTTGCGAATTAATTTCATTCTGATTGTTTTCTTACCTGTCTGCTTTGATCGTCTTTATCGCCAACGTAAAATAAAAAGTCAACAATATCTTTGATACTGGTCCCGGGACTCGTCCTTTTATGTTTTTTTTTTATCAAATGTTTGGGTTTAAATTAGATTTCGGAAATGTCGTCACTGCGTATCCGTCAATAATTCTGATGAAATTGACATTGCTGCATATTGGTCACGAATTAGTATATAAAGGATATTCGTCCAGAAATCTTCGTAATATATATTACTTTATCAAATATTTGTATTGGTGTCAAATTTTACGAAACGGCCAACTTAAACTTGATATTCCCGCGACATTTGTGCTCATTTAAACATTGAGACAGTATTATAGCTACTGAAAATGAATGAATGAAAACACTATATAATGCAAATACAAGAGAGCTATGCTCAAATATATGGACACGTAGCGCCACCCAATGGCAATAATTTTGATGACGTCATAGCGAAAAAAAAAGCAATAGCCTTCTGGAGAAAAATTTTATCTCTAACCACTGAAAATATCAAAGCAATTGGTCCAGTATTCGGAGAGAAAAGCGATTTTTTATTGATAATGACGAAAGAAAATATCAATAACAACAAACGTTTGCGGCCCGCAACGAATTTCGTAACTTGAAAGTGCCCCGCGAGACGAAAAACGTTGGGCAGGTCTGCTCTAAGCCTTCGTTGCGCTCTGCTCTTTCATAAAAATATTTAGGTTATCTGTTAGGCATTTTATTTTATGTTTATTCACGTTTAATACTTAAATCTGACAAGCGATTTTGAAGGATTTATGCATTGCAGTCAAAGAAATAAACAAATCGTAGTCAATTTAGTGTTAATTGAGGTAGCTGCCGAAAATACAGAAATGTAGGGGAATTTTGTTGTTCTCGGGAGAGAAATACAGAAATATTACTTTGTATTAGCTTTTGTTTACAATAATATTGTTCACTTATTTATTATCATTTCAGGACATAGGGTGTCCATAAAAAATTTCAAAATTGCAAAGGTAATTTATCGCTATATATTGTTTTGGCTTTGGCCCTAACAGATGCATTAAATGAAGTAACAATACTTACTGTAGTAGCTTAAGTTCTTTAACATGTACGACGAAACCAATTACAATTACTGTACTGATTAATAAACAACAAATCGGGTTAAGATATATTGAGAACTGGCTTCATAACAAAATCGAAATGGTAAAGTTATGGACCACCTACATGTCCCAGTCATAGATAGATATAACAATGACCAAGCACCAAACGAGAATATCGGTCAGAGACCGAAGACTTATCGATCGAAAGTTAGGGGATCCCAAAACAGCGCTCTTACTCTATAGTGACACCTTTTGTCCCATTACTAATTAAATAATAACTCGCCAATTATGCGACATAATTCATCCAAAATCAATATGAATTCTGGTACGACATATGATGAATGCACATGCAAAATCTGGAGCATATTCAATCTTGTCTTCGTGAGATATCGCGTGTATCTAACAGACAAATACCTATCAACATACTTACCGATTAAAATCAATAAGTAACAATTGTGTCAAACTTTTACGCATTTCATAATAAAAATAAGTGTTCTGACCTCGATTGGAGCAGCAGCCGTTTGTTGGCTTCTCTTCGACTGCTGGCTGATTAGACGAGCGTATCCTCGGTGCAAAACCCTCTTTTCGTGTATTTCGGACGTGTAAAAGAAAAATAGGCAAAATAAAGTCGACGCTGGGGATTTTTACGATCATTTCTGGCATTTAACGACAATTTGTCCCGTTACTGAATGACCAAAAATTGGAATTTAACCCCAGTTCACTAAGTAACATTAACGGGAACTAAAGTTCTAATGAGGATTCAAAAACACTTAAATACATTTAAAATGCCTTTATTACTTGCAACGTATAATAGATTATTAGATTTACGTAGTCTTTATTTGCAAATTTATTCGTTGACTTTGTTTTATCTATAACGCGAACTACTTAGAAACTTTCCTAATAATATTATTAACGCTCTGACTATTTATTTAGCGGACCACTGCCTGTTGTGCAAGTTACGGTTACCAGTTTGTGTTTTTTTTGTAACTGCATTGGTTAAATGAAGTTTGCAAACAGAAGCGCGGCATTTGCAATCTTGGGTTAAACTCGTACATTTTGCCATTCAAATGAAGGGTGTTTTTATATGACTGCGGATAGAAATACTATTAATAGTTTGCGTTGGTCGGATATAAGGGAGCGACTCTCGATTACACTCATAGACCTACGCGCACAATGAGTTGCGGGGCCAGCTGACTTTTACCCCTCCCTGTCCCGCTAGAAATCCATGAGGCGGCCAAAACCACTTTCTTGCGTTATTATCACACTTGGAATTTTTTCAAATCTACTTTTTACAGTGTTGGAGCCGAGCGACAGCTTTAAAAAATAACTTAGATTCCGGGAACGTCACTATTTCAAAGATGTTAACATAACGTTACTTTTAGCACTTCAATGATTGCACGCAGCCTTCTTTTGGTTCATGTTTTGGTTGAACAACAGAAAAAAATCTTAAAAATTCGCAGAAGATAGGCTAATTTGTCATGAGGTATACAAAACAAATTGAAAAGAATCATGGTACAGGTAAAATGAAGATGGATGGTATTTTGGGATATCTTAATTACAAAATCGAAAGCACTCAACCCTATAGTTACCAAGTCATAGATAAGATATTCACGGAGGAGTTTGTGATGAACGTACGAAGCATCTTCTCGAGATCTTTTCTTCGAAACTTGAGTAATTTTATCCAAGATAATCAAGTCAGCAGTATAACCTGTAGGACTATAATATCGTCTAACTCTGAAAACGCAAAGTATAAAATAAAATGCGCTCCCTTCTAACTTGGCACAGCCATTGAAATACCTGAATTTCTCGAAATAACTGGAGTAAAACAAATATCTGACAAACGCAGCACGAGTCGCTAAACTGCATTAGCATTTCAACTGTCCAGAGTATTGTTTTGTCATAATATATTTATTAGGTCATAATAAAGGTAAACCACATCACCGGTGCGGTGATCCCGGGTAATTCTTGTCCGGTTATTTGAAATTAAAAAAAAAAAACGCTGTACGTCGAACGCTTACTTCAGCAAGAGCCTTAAAAAAAACTACCATTGCAATATTACATGTGGTAAGAGAATATCGGTAATGTTCGCGCTGCAACGTTGGTCACGTAATCGCTGGTATCCACCTACGTTTATGCACGGTTGACCGTTAAACTTTTTATCTATTCCCATACCGTTGTCAAATCGATAACCCATCGAGATGCTGCATTGTGCGCCGCACAATTGGATTTCCGCCAGTCTGGTATAAATACGGAAATATATTCTATTTTGATACGGATAGTTGTATTAGCAATGCAAACATTTTTGTTTTACGAGTGGTATAGTCTGTGTGGCATTGAGTCTAGGTGGCTGAGAACACGAGCTGTGAGCGTGGTATGCGCATGCTCAAAGCGTGAAGGAAACACACGTGATTAGCCAATCTTGAGCAGACCAGTACGCGCTGCTTTACCGATGCTCGAGGTAGGCGCAAACGTCTAGCATCGTGCTAAACCAATAAATTAAGTAACATTAATTATATTTTACAGCGTGAAAATCGTATAAAATTGGAAATTCGCTTCACTTATTGGTTAAAACTTTGGATCAAGCGACACAAGTAAGTACGAGATGCGTCTCATGTACTTGAGAGTGAGCACTCTTGAACTTGCTCCCAGAAATTCCTCAAGAAAAACAATCACGTCCCTGTTGTTATAATGAATAGTTCTATTTATCGTGGTAGCGTGCTCAGTGAAAATATTGGTAACTTTATTTTAACATACCTATCAGTAGAGGTTACGCGGACTAACTACCAATCCTTCCTCGATGCATTTATTTCAACAGCTTATCATTTTATTCTGAGTAACGTCCTAGTCATTCCATCGCGGCTATAGCATTGGCAGAGAAGCGGGTGAATGAACTCTAGTCCAAACTCAAGTCTGTTCGTTAACTTTGCAATACAGAGCAATAAAATTTGCCGATCAAAATGATGACGAAACAGGAGACCACGTTCTATTTGCTCAAATTGCATCATGTTCATGACGCAATGTTAAATATAATTTGAGGTTCTGTGTGGGTCGTTGATAACACATTGCTATTGATATGACATGTTATAATACAAGTATTAATAAGTTTTCAATAAAATCCCAAACCATTCAAAGTTCTATATTTTCCGACATCTTCAGTCCTGCGGTTTAACTGGTACGGTGTTGACTCGTAGATCCATGGGGCGTTACCGGGGCATGGCAAACAGACTGATGGTGACTTGGTAGTGGGGGAAGCCGTAACCGACAAGTTACGTGAGCCACCCTACGACGGCAAGGAATCCAGCGATCCTCTCGCACATAATTAGCCCTCACGAGACCAACGAACCCACGCAGAGGTGATGGGACAAAAGTATTCCTAACGCTTAGCACGTTGCGCCACACCACCGAGACGTATAACGCATGTATGTATGATTGTGTGTTTAGTTTCCTCGAAACTTAACAGTATTTACATGAAGAAAAACACATGATAATACAGAGATTGGATACATGTGCAAAACCGTGCTGGCATAAGACACAGTGGATCTTTCCCCGAGCATCGACTTCCTTCTTTACTTCGTGACATTGGCCAATCAGCAAAATGCAAAAAGTGACGTAATAATGCTCCTTTTTCGCATCCACTCAGACAGATTTTCAGGCGTGGTCGTAAACATTACCTCGTTTTCGCGTTTTGGAACTATATTCGTTAGTTTTCAGTTGTGTTTCGGAAACTTAAATATAAATAAAGATAATACAATGATCACTCTGTCTTCCTATGAGTTTTAATTTAATTACAGTAATGAAAAATCTGTGTAGAAATAGCTGTGATAGACTAATGAGCATATATACAATGAGTGGAAACTTCCAAATATTTGCTCATTAATGCATTGTGCCCTGCATTTTTACGTCGTCCAGCTAATGGTTCGTTGCATATGGAGAAAGCATATCGTTCGCTGCAAAAATCCCTTGTTTCAGCTGGGCTGGGTGCAAAATTGGCCGTATTGAGGCTTTTAAATTTTCGATTCGTGTTCGGTTTTGGGTTTCGAAGTATGGTACGTTGAAATCATACTAACTAGGAGCATATGCATATTGGGAATGCATAGCTATTAGGCAGAAAACGTAGCTACAGAACAGAATATGAATCAGTCGCCACGTGGGGTGCGGTTATTGCTGTATTCATTCATTGATATAACATAGGACTTATTTATATATATCCAGGGAGAGAGGAAAGCCTGAATATATATGGCGAACCACGGCCTCTCCAAATAGCTCTGTGTTCCATATGACCCCCAGACTGCCAGGACTTTGTAAGCTATTCGTTTACTTATTAAAAATACTGATTTTAACTTTAGATTACTCTGGGATATCTTGCCATTGAAATTTAAAATTTGCCGTTTTCATGTCTTGTAAATTTACAAAAAAAAAAAATTATTATATTATTTAGAGTATATATAATATTTTGTTATCAATTATGATTTTTGCATATATATTATTTAATTTTAACGATCCTTCATATAGTCATATATATAGATACTGTTGATTTGAATGCAATTATATACTTGTAATTAATAGTGAGATATAGAACTTGGACAAGGGGCGCAGCCAGGATTTCTCCAACGGGGGGGGGGGGGATTACGGTGGTTTTAAAACAGTGCACCAAAAGTTCAATTCATGACGGCGAAAGGCGGGTAATAAATTAAAAACAATGCGTCGTTCACAGCGAAATTCCACAGTTACGTGTAGCTCGCCTCTGGCGGTTTTGGTGATTATATACAAAAACACGCTCGCGTGTAGCGCCGATCGAATGCATGAAATGTGGAACTTTTACTTGGAATTTAATGCTAATAAAGTTGATTTTTTATTGTCATTCAATGATTATTTAGATGCGTCTTGATTAGTGGTGGGCAAAATCGTATTTTTTTATATAAAATTATTCGAATATTTTAACGAATATCGGCGAAGATGTTAAAGACAACTATTAAGGAATGCATTCACAACAAAAATTAATTTTGTTCTGATTTTTATCTTTTGTGTAGGATTTGTATCACAGTTACGGTCCCAATTTTGAGCGAACAATATTATCCTTACTGACCCCGGGATGCGATATTTGTGAAGCTGATAGTTGACATTTTTATGTTTTAATTTTATATCGTTTCCGTGTTACTTTCGTATTAAATAATAATTAGAAAACTCCGCAAATTGTTGAGTATTCACGTAACTCAGCTTTGGTTTCAAACACTGATACTTAACACGTGAATAAATCAGCAATAATAGCATTTCTACGTGGTCAAAATATTATTTCTCCACAATATCTCGGGAAATTTGCATAGAATACCCTATTCACATGCTTTGCTTATCCGATTCAACGTTTTTAAAATTTACAAAAACGATGTTAACGCGATTTACGCAAAATTAGAAATTGAAAAATAGGATGGCGCAAAAATGGAACAAAGTAAAAAAATCTCACATTAATCGTTTCTGCCTGTTGGCGATAGCCGCAGTAAATTTTACGTAACTTGTTGTAAATTTGTGTTAATAAACTCTATTTTGCTTTTATTGCGCCCTGTATTTGTATTAAAATAAAAGAGAATGTCCTTAAATTAGCTAATACCCTTCTTTCATTTTGAACGCCCTAAACGACGGTTACATGCGCGTTACTGAATAACAATCACGCACTCTTATTTATCATTATTAGCGCCAACTAAAAACGATAACATGTCGTAGAGATAAAAAAGTCTGACGGTGTTAATTGCGCTGCAGTGATAATACACAGATTAATATCGTTTTGACGAAACCATAATGCGCGACCGTAAAACGACGGTGCTGCTTTTTTGTGGAAGAAGTTTCGCATGAAAAAAATTTTCTCAAACGGAATGCGACCCATATAAAGAGGGACGTGGATGCATTGTATTCATTGATATAGGATGGGGTTAACATATTTACCCAAATGGAGAGGAAAGCCGATTCCCTGCTATTCTTCGAATTTTAATGTCAAGATATCCCAGACTGACAGAGTAATTTAAAATAGGGGAGCCCTGGGGATTCGTATGTAGCACCTTATAAACGATGATTGTGAGAAGCCGTGGTTCGCCATACATTTAGGCCTTCGCCTTTGCCTTCCCCTGGATAAATATGTACCTAAATCCCTATAATTAGAAATAACCGCACTTGACTTCATATTCTGTGCTATAGCCACGTTTTCTGCCTAATATATATGCATTCCCAATAAGCATATGCTCCTAGTTAGTATACTTTCAACGTACCATACTTCGAAACCCAAAACCGAACACGAATCGAAAAATTAGAAGCCTCAATACGGCCAATTTCGCGGCCGAAGCAAAGGATTTTTGCAGCGAGCGATATGCTTTCTTCATATGCAACGAACCATTTAGCTGGACGACGTAAAAAATGCAGGGCACAATGGATTAATATGCAAATATTTGGAAGTTTCCACTCATTGTATAAAAATCTTTACCGGTACTTTTAAAAAACAGATTGTTGTATGCGATGAATCATAATGATGGTTTGAAACACATACCCCATTTTGCAGGCGCCAACTCGCAAAAGCACTCTTAAAATAGCCCTGAAAATTTTGCAATGGTAAAGTATAGTAAGAATCTTTCGGGGGCCAAAGGACGGGGAAAGGTCCATTGTGCGACATTTCCCAATATTACAGCAATACAAAGAGAACATATGTGACTGCTGCGTTATACGACATATATATTAACGAACATATACAGATAAAATTGTTGTGCAATATAATACTTA